GCAGAGAGTATGAGGTGGTGGCTGGGAATGGACGGCTTTGCAAAACACAAATGTATATTAGCAACCAGAGAGGAAGGTATGCTAGAAGATGAGGAAGATAGATTGGTGTGGGGGGATACTCATAATGATTTGGATAGCAATGACGAGAAGAAAAAGTCGACAGCCAAAGGAAAGAAGGCATCAGGCACATCAAATACAACTGAGAACGAGATGCAGCCCGGAGCAGAGTTGATGGAAAACGAAGAAAAGAGAGAGCCTAAGAAAATTAGAGCTTGGTATAATGAGCAGGTACCCCCGTTCGCATTATGGGTGTCGGGATCCGACGATTTGGTCGATGGAAGAAAGCTGGTCCGGAGATTCGAGAGAGGAAGAGAACCATGTGTGAAGGTCGTGCATCAGAAGGTGATAGAGGAGTATGAGCACTTGGATGTCATCGTATGTACTACCCACGATTCCCTCACGTCTTTTATTTCTTTCCACCTCCAATAAATGTATTCTTGGAGATTCTTGGTGTCCTAAACTAACATATATAAATTCAACAGTGGGCTGTGGATTCCCTCGAAAAAGTAGGCCGAGAGGTAAAAGAAGTGATTTGGAAGACGTGTTCAGCACCAGACCGAAGCAACTGTCGTGTTCCGCTTGGATGTGAACAAGTGGGAGTCTGGGACGGCGTAGAGAGGTCCGATGTTTTTGAAAGCCGCGATTTTGCAGAGAGCAGTCAAGATCAAAGTGACAGTGATCGTACCCTATGAGCACGGGTCGGGACTGTTCGAGGGTCTATAGACTATGATAAAATTAAGGCGATAGATATCGACGAGAATGCCTCAGGGGGGTGAAGCATCGATTGTATAAAGTTTATGACGGCGTTCTCGGTACTGGTGTATGATCATACTAATACAATCTGGATGGATAGAATTGGGAAGGGGCGGACGGCGGAATTGTTATCAAGGTCTATGCTACCTACACTTGGAGATCTCTAACATCATAATTGATTTGATTAGCGGCATTGTAATAGAATATGTTTAGTAATGAAAATAATCTTTTATTTTTCTATAGTTTAATTAGTATCTGTAAATTGATCTGACGCATGAATTTTATATATTCTGGCTTATTGAGATTCTGTACATGGAATCCACAGAGACGTGCTTGGACAGTTAATACTAAGAACAAGGTCAAGATGTTACCAACAGAAGCCCGTGTTATTTTCACATAGCCGAAGTCCATCACCTATCGAGCATCGGATGGTATGTAGATTTGCAAGAAATTATAGTACAAAGGTTTTCGCTCCACTTTCTTAAATCCCCCAGAATATTTAACAACCACCTCATTTTTAATACACTCCCAGCCTCAACAGCGTCGAACGTCTAGGGATAAAATACAAAACTCTGCGATTTAGTTTGCGCTGACATTTGACGATTTGGATTGCTATCATTTGCCACTCGGTGGATTGATTGAATGATGCTATATGATTTTGCAGAAGATCTCGAATTGACTTCCGAATGTTGAAGGGAAGATAGCGTCGAAGTCATCCGGGGAGCTGATCTAGATGCTTGATATTGGTGCAGCTAAATTTGATCGTAACACGATTGATTACTCATCCCGTGAATGTTGAAGACGTCAAGACACGGTCTCGTATATTCTCTCGCTAAGGATATTCAAAAGACTCATACCGCCGAATACCGTCGTACTTCCAAAAGATTTAATCTCGACGTTTGACACTTACACAATAGGGTTGTTTTCTGATTGCTCAAGGATGACAAGCCGATTTAATGTTTCGGAGCTGATTCTCATACAGATTGTGCCTAGATCTCTTCAGTAGTTGTAAATATTTTCAACCCGGTGGCATTTCAAGTAAAAAAAAGCAGCATCTTCCTCGAATCAGTCGTAAAACTTTGCGTGTTCTAAAATAACCTTGGAATCACCCGGATGAATGGAGTCTCGCTTCGCGAGAGGCACAGACCACAGACCGCATGCAGACATTTTAGCGAGTCTTGAAAGCGTGTAACAAATTAGCTGTCACGACCAGCGGCAGCGACATAGCCCTAACGGCAACGTATCGTATGGTTGTCTCTCCCAATATTCCGCGCTCGTATATCAATAAATGACCAATTGAATCATTATGAGCCATCAGGCTTTTTTTCGGTATAGACAACATGAAATCGGGAGCTTTGTGGTTATTTTTGTTCTGTCTTTGAGGCGAATGAAGCGGAACACAGTAAGTATATAATCGAGCTTGTGTGAAACAGGCTCTCTTTCTATATTTCTTTTCCCAATTGTTGCCGTACTGTCCTACTTCCTGCCCACCGGCGCCCATTATGAATTATTCGTAAATGATTTGATAGTACCGCGTTCGTTTTCTCTTCTGTTATTTGAGGGAAGCCTGACAACAACCATGGGCACTGATTCCGCGAGGGTCCCTGGGAAAGAGGAATGTGGTCGGGCGTTGGCGGCTGCGTGGACTCGCTCGACGCATTACAGGGCCGTTGAAAAGCTTATGTAGTTCTTTGCTTTGTTTCTAGCGGTATGCATTGTTGGCAAAATCCTACTGGTATTGTGCGACTTCCTTCGACTTTAATCCCAGGAGAAGTAAGATACCGAGTCAGTGGAGGTGAAATATAGTTGGTGATTGGAATAGAAATTATATTCACTAGATTGAATGGGGCAGTTCGCAGACGAAGTCTGAAAATGAACATCAGAATGCGCTGCGCAAGTACCGTCGGAGAAGTCTCTAAGATTGGCAAACAAAAAAAATGTTCGGAGAGGGACAGTCGTGAAAGTCGGAAAATAAGTCTCATACGGACATCGAGTGGGGAGTATGGGTAGGGATTCGAAAAGTCGTCCGAGAAAAAAAAGACTAACGATGTTCTTGTATTTCTGTCAGCGTTGTACTTTTAAAACATCCTATCCTCAAAACAGAGCGCACTCAGCATTTCACTTCAAACCAGCTTCGAGAATCCTAAAACCCACCAGCCTGGTCAAATAAGAAGAACAGTCGTTTATGTGCAGCCAAAGTATTATCATTAGTGACTCGAGGATTACACACACGGTAAATTCAAAGCGCCAGCAGCCTGCGCCAAAAATAAACGCCCTGAGCTGATAAGCTCAACCCATCTACTCCATTTCCATTTCCAGTGACTCCGTTCCCAAGGTTCCTGCCCTATATTCCGATTTTGAATTCCAATTAGGAGGTTAAGCCAGCTAAAGAACGGGAGTCAGTATGTGGGCCAGATAATGAAGATAGTAGATATTTTTCGTTATTCAATTGGTTTCACACGCACCTATGGCCATGGTATTCTCAAAATACCAATACTCTATTTTTCTTCATCATAAAGTTCGATCTAAAGCATCAATTTTCTCCCATACCACAAGGGCAATCTGTATATTGCCTGTGATAAGAGCAGCCGCGACAGCCTTGCGTTCTCTCCATGGGAACTCCACACATTACTATACCACCTGTAGAAATACGTCGGGGGGTGAAGCCGCAGGAACATTGCTGCAAAGGTCCTGCAGCAGAAGACAGATATTCATGGTAAGTGTTGCCTCGGCAGGCCGTAGTTCTCTCCATTGGAACACCGCCGACCAAACTGCCACTTACTAAACCACCTCTGCCGTCCGTGACACCAGTACCTTGCTGTTGCGGGTCGGCAGTGAAACCCGAAGAATTACCGTCATTATCTGCAACAGATTGTTGATTTATCGTCGGACGTGGGGACTAGGGACACATACTGTTAGTAATCATCCCAATCATCTTCAGGGTTACCGAGATCCAGGCTCTACACTTCTCGGCGACACGAGAAATGCCAACGATTCAATAACATTGTGTCGGAGATTAAATTTTCAGAAGTGTAAATTGCAAGAAAAAATTGTACTTACAAGAGGTGGAGACAATTCGTCCCTTTGATTGTTGCTGTTTTGATTCATTGTTATTATTGTCGATTCGGTGTTTTTACTGTCGTGATTGATGGGTGTCGATATGTTTTGGTGTTCAGAGAAATTAAAAATGAATTAGTTAGGTAGAAGTCGAAGAAATTCGTCAAGAGGAAAGGAAGCTAATGCTACTAAGCTATAGTAGTAGAGATTTAAGTCTTGAAATCACATGAGCTCTCTAGATTCGAAAAATGGAAGGCACTAGACACCGGAAGGATACAAACGTGACACCACGAAAAGAATAATTGCCATTCTGTAATCATACTCCCTCAACATCTCTATCAGAATCTAGATCACTCGAGATTTACTCGATTCGTAGAGAGTTTGCAATAGGTTTTGATGTGTCTTGCATAGACTCCATACTTGCAGTGGGAAACTTCAGTGCATATCATTTTGCAACTTTTCTGATATATCTTGGAGAACGTTTCACACGATCTGCAGGCAACAATCATGATGAGAGCATCTCCAAATCTGGACCGAACTTCATCATAGAGGTCTTTTCTTATTCTATATGTAGACAAATTCGCAAATGTGCTTCCTTATCTACGGAGAATTATTTACAGAAAAGTTGAGAGAGCTATCTAGTTGAGATACCAAGAATTCGGCCTCACGATTGCAAGGTTTCTTCCATCCAGCAGTAACTCAAAACTATCTATCTCTTAATTCACGAGGGTAGGTCAGACCAATAATCTCGGTAAAACTTCAAATCTTAGAACTGAAAGCAGCAACGCAATCTGACCTTAAGGGTACCACTAAAGGTCATGGGGTATCATAGAAGTGGATATCCAAGCCGTGAAACTGACACTATCTATTTGGTTCCTTTCATTTGCTGCCAGTATTTTCAAAATATCTGCAGTAAAAACTTTTTTGGTATGCGGTGGGCTCCTATTTATCGCCGGAGAAGGTGGAAATGATCTGGTGGTGTAACATTTGGCCTTGGATTGAGATCTGGGAAGTTCTCTCAAAGATCTCTCTTTTTAAATGTTGACGACTACCTGCATTCCACGTCATTTTGAATATCCGTTCCATTCTTGCATCGTTTCTGGCCTATGTGTGTAACCGGTTTGTGGTTGCTAAGGAGAGAACGAAGGGCTGGTTGGCGACTCAGAGGATTGGCCACTTCCTCTTTCGGACCCTAGGAATCCATGTAAAGAAGAAGGAAATGCAGTAGCAGAATTTCCGTTTCTCGCCTAGAAAAAGTCAGTCATCGCTGGATTAGTCATCTTGAGTTATAGGTATGCTTACAGTCATGTACTGCTGAGTCTCAAAGCCCTGTGTATGAACGGCAGGTATTCGAAATTGATCATGCGATTGATTAGATAGAGTTTCGATTGCTCGAGGTGCCCATAAGTTTCTCTCTGGAAACAGCGGCGAGTGTGGTATATTAAGAACTGATATGTGATTGAAGGGATACAAGTCGCAATCATAATATGTGTGGCCCATTTGCTGGAAAGAATAATTTGGCTGTTGGGTTCTTGTGAGTTGAGGTGACGGGAGAGATTGGCAATGGCTATGAAACTTTTGCACTTCATGCGTCATTGGACAAATCATTCCCTGGCTCATGTGCTGGAAAGACATCGCGTTTGGGGTTATCCCTCCCATTTGGCCCGTGTACTGGATAGAGTCTACACTCTGAGGTACTTCTTGTGCTTGGCCCACTTGCTGAAAAGAATCTGCCTCTTCAAACATCCAGGACTGAGTTGATTCATCATGATCTAACTGATATTCCTGATAGACTTCAGATAAGCCTGGTCCACTGTACTGAGCTTCACATTTTACCATGAATCCTTCCAGACTTCCAGAATATCTATTTCCCTTTCGTTTAGTTGGTTTCTTTTGAATGACCTTAGGAGCTAGTGGTTTTGAATTGGCTTGTGTAACTCCTAACTTTCCAGCGTGCTTCTTGTTGTGCTCTTCAATTATTTTGTCGATACTGTTCTTTTCTCTGCGACGACTAGAAGGTCTTGGTGCCATCACAGAATGAGACAAGTCTTCTCTGTGCTTTTGTTTATGTCTATTCTCCTTATCTGACAAGGGGGATGACAAAGCAGAAGATCTTTCAAGCACAGCTGGTTGTCTTATGATGTTGGAGATTTTGGTGCTAGAAGGCGACATTGTTGCATAGGTGGAATGATTTTGAAAATATTGTGATGGCATACGAGGAGAATCAACCAGAGAATGTTGAGCCAAGGATAGTGATGTCTGCTTAAGACCATTAGTTGCTTGTAAGCCAATGGAGAGAAAGGGGTACTATTTACAGTAGAACATTGAATATTCCCAACATTCTCCTCAAAGTTTGTATCAACTGGCATTATCAATCGAGTTTGTGCCTCTTGGTCTCTTCCTCTTCTTGCAAATGAGGTATACATGTTCTCAGAAGGATGGTCTTCGAGGTGTACCATGGCAGTGTCCTCATATTCCTCAATGCTGTCTTCTTGAAGAACAATGCGACTTTCTTTTAGCAGGTCAAGAGACTCATCTTCGTCGTTTGCTTCTAGCAGATCAAAGCACTGCCGCTCTCCCCAAATGTCCTCGAATAATGACATGATTATTTGAAAATTTTGAAAGTTGATAAGAAAAGGATTTTTGAGGGAATGAAAGCAAAGTTACTTTCGAGAGTGGTGGCCAATGAAGGTGGAACCAGAGCCGACTTAATCCACCAGTCAAGCATTAATCAAATTTTTCCCTCTCAAAAATTAACGAAATTCACCTTTGTGGCAGTGATTAACGAAATGTAATTGGAGGATAGTTCATCTGATAATCATAGTTTTTTTGTCTTTTTCTAAACCAGAAAACATTCATCGATGTGGTGGTATTTTGTCACATATCCCATACACCAAGATTCGGAATATCCATTTCACAAAAAATTTCACTTAACACCTACTTGAAGTATATTTCAACTCTTCAAAGAAATTACCCTACATTTGGGACTAATGGAGAATTATTATGTTGGATAAATCCCATCCAAATAACCCCTGCTCTCACCCAAGCTCTCGATCATCCCGAGTTTGGTTCTTTCAAGTTAAAATGTAAAGTCTCTGGTTTCTTATCGTCTTCCGAATCTCCATCTGATGAAGGCAGCCAACTTCTCGTTGAGCCAAAGTCGAGATTCATTTTCATTTCCTCTCCGAGGTTATTTTTCATTGTGATGTCGTTTCTAGTTGAATTCTGGACTGCATCAACTATTGTAGTATTCTTAGAATCCATAACTCCACGTCTAGATGTAGAAACCTTTAATGATTTCTTGGTAGATCCGAAGAGAGATCCGTCTGCTTTGTTCATGCTATCTCTCTTCATTAAGTTAGCATGGCCTGGTTCAGCTGTGTAATTCAACCCTCAAAGACTCACAGTGGACCCTTTCTCCTGTGGACTGACTGTCGGTTTGTCCCTCTCAGAAATGATCAAGATCATCGATTTAAAGACTTCGAGGCTTTGTAGATCGTTTCCTTGGGTTTTCTAGACTTTTCAAATGTAGTTTGAGAAATGAAAATATCTCTTCTGAATCATACTGCAAAGGAATGATGATTAACAAAGTGGAAAGTGAAAATAGCTCTCATATAATTCTTTCGAATTCTGAATGCTCTATGCAAACCCACTAGACAACCTTGGGTCTCGACAAGCATTCCTCCTTTCAATGAATACACAAATTCTGAAAATCTTAGATGGTCTGTCTCCTTTGTCTCAAAAGGAACCTTAGTGATACTAACAATATAGTCAAGATAATAGCTTTCTCGGGAAACTTGCACGATTAGCTTGATAAATTAACAGAAAGGTTGAAAACATGAGTCAATCCTGGAGAGAAAGTTACTATTCATAGAAAATAGGCTAGAATAGTCGTAGCCATACATATTCGTGTATTTTCTAGAACCGCTCGTAGATGAATGAGAAAACACATTGTCGTATCATCTAACTGCCTTGGCAGAATCATCTCTAATTAGGTACACAAGTATTTCGAATAGATATTCGTTGTATCGAGACCAGAACAGAGCCCTCTCTGGTTCTTTTTATATTCTAAAACGTAGCCATATACTCATAATTTGGTCAGTCGGCCACCAAAAACTTAGAAATCCCACCAAATATCCTAAACCAATTTCCTAAGTAGCTTCTTCTTCACATGATATATAAGTCCAGCAGTGTCTCAATGGACTAGAAAACGAAACGAATCGACCCGATTCCCGATGTTTTTGATTTCGCAAAAGCTCTGTATCTCCTCTGGTCGGTCGTGCACCATTTATCTTGATTCCGTTCATGAATAGAAGTAGAACATCTTCGCTAGACGGGTATATAAATCTACCAGGTCCTCTGGGCATACGACGGCGTCTGCTCTTGGCTTTATTGGCTAGGAAGCGTGTGACCCAGGTTCTGGATAGCTTCTTGTAAGAGCTCTTCTCTGATGCTTCTTTCGGGTTGGTTGAATTAGTCAAACTAGCATCATGATTGTTTTCCTGGTCCTCAAGTGCTTGTAGTGGGTTGCTAAATAGATGTGCTGCAAACTGAGGCTCGTCCTCTTCTGAGATTTCTTCTGCCTGGTCATTTATGTACTCAGACATTCCCTCCCGAAGGTTCCCGTCGTATAAAAAGTAATCATCGTCGCTCAATTCCTCTTCGCAATCGAAATATTCCTCCCAGTCATCGTCTCTATCGTCTTCGACACCTTCATTTTCTTCATCGGAGTCTTTCAGAAAGGCGGCTTCTAGCTCAGACTGTTGATCTTCCGCCCCCGTATCTGCTATTGAATCAATTTTATCAGCATTTCTTTCGTCGTCCATTCTTTGACCACCAATGAGAACTTGTTTAAGAGCATGCTGAAGAGCATCAAAGTTGAATCTGTTGTACGTTTCTAGACTCCCCCATTGTCTAAGAACATCCGGCATCTGACATGATTGTGATTCAGCTGTTGGTTGTGGTGATTCTAGGGATTCTGAGATATGTGTTTGGAGTGGTAATAATGGTGACGCTGAGGTCAGGAAGTTTCTCGGTGATTGTGTTCTCTCAACCTAATGAATAATCAATACTGGTCTCCACTATTGAATTGTGCGGGAACTTTTTGTTTTCTTACCGAATTTGAAACTTGCGAAACACGCGCTTCTTCTATCATCTTATTCTCCTCATTTGCGATCAGTTGGTTGAGTTTTGCAATTTCTTTGTCTACCCACTCGGCATCCACTTCAGTATGATAAGACATAGTGGCCAAACATGAAGATCTTGAGTAATTGCGTTTTCTCTCAAATATCTCGGTCAACCAGAGGATGGTATGGTGAAGCCAACGTTGTTTTTTGAACTTGAAAGTTAGGTAAATCGATTCTTATATCATGGATATCAAATTAAGCAAATACCGAAGGCAGTATTTTATGAGCAAGAAACAGTCTTTGAGAGGTAAGTTGTGGAAGTATATATATAAAAAAATCGGTGCTCGCTGTATGGCTCTATAAAATCATCTACGGCTTCCATGTATTGATAGCTTGAATAATCTTTTTTGAAGAATTTGATCGCATCCCAGGTACCGATGATTCTTCTTAAAGTTGATTGGCCTGGAGGAATGTAGACGATAATAGCCAATAACATCAAACGGTTAATTACTACAACTTATGGACCAAAACATGAGAAGCGTGATTCGCTGATTGATTGAACTAACATCTAAGTTTGGAATCACATAACTCGCTGTATGCAAATGCGCAATTGATTATACAAATCATTAAAATTGTAACTCAAACACCGAGACACAAAGCTGCAGCGCGTACTGTACCCCAACGAGAAAACCACTGCCTATGATCACGCGCCCACGAACTTCCAAGGTCAGATACTGTATCTTGAACCTGCTTCAGATACGTCAAACAATAACGCAGGTTAGAGCAACCCGGCTTAGGCTTCCTCGTATTAGCGATTCTCGAATCTACTGCCATATGATCTCGTGGCTTCCAATCTGCTCTCCTCACCTCCGAATACGAAAGTTCTATCCCAAGGTTTTTGTATTCTAATCTTCTCAAGACACGCTTTCTAATGCTACTTTTAGGAGATTTTGTGTTGTATTTTCGTCTTCGATGAGGGTTGATTGGCTTTTGAGAATCTTTGAAACGAGTCACCCAGGTTTTAGTGAGCCGACCGGATGTGAGCTCTTCCTTTCTAACTACACTTTCTAATGTCGTTCTTAACCGAAGAGGAAACGATTCAAGGCGATTTTCATCGGCTCCGCTGGTTTTGTCTGTAGCATTTCCTCCGCCTCGAACCGTAGTCTTTGCATGCTTCACTGGATTTGTGATTGTTTTCTACATTATCAGTTAGCTCAGGATTTTGTTCTAAACTCCAGGTTTCAATATTCAGAAAGGAATCGGATAATACTCTAGGTTCTTGGATTTTGACTCCATTCCAAGCAGGAAAGTGGATTCAGAGTTCCAAAGTCTCCAATCCTTCTGCCAGCTCAAACTGTTGAGGAATCTCGAAATACTTAAATAGAGTGCTTACTGAACTTTTCTGACCATCTTTATCACACTTTGGCTTTGCTGTATTGTCTCCTGCTAAGATAACATTCGAATATCTAGTGTTTTCCGCTTCGAGTGGATCATTTACCGTCTTCGGGCTTGCTGGCGATACAGAGCGACAAAGCCTGTTATTATTGTCGTCGGACGCTAAGCCATTGTTTTGAGTGCTGCTAATCATCGACGGCAAGTTTTGAGCGTCTGTCGTAACTCTCTCTTGCCCTCCAACTTCATTGGCGCCAAAAGACTCATTCGGCACATTCGTTTCGTTGCTGGAAATTGAATTAGAACATCTCGGACGGAAACGGTGAAACAACCTTAATTTCAGACGTCTCAACTTCACGAGAGGAGCCCACCATGGTGACGGTAATTCGCTTGGGCTATGAGGGTTGGACAATGTGCGAGCTTCCTTGCGAGCACGGTGACGTTGACTGAATCCATAACGCGTCATATTTTACCAGATTGGTAGATTCTCGCTTTTCAGTTTCTCGTAAATAAATGAGTATCAAGCTGTATTCTTGAGGTTCCAAAATTGACATTAATTGATGATATGATGAAATGATGTTGACATGGGTGACCAGAAATGCTTTGCTTGAGAATCCGAAATCTGTACAATTCTAGCTATCAAGCTTTTGGCAACTTCGATGGAAGGTTCTTGCTTTTTCTAGATTCTGATCCTCTGGAGATTATGCTCCTGCCGTTCCGATTCTCAGTCATTTGGGATGATTCATCAACATTATGACGTAAATGACATTAAACCATTATTGATGAGCCGTAGTGAATAAAATCCCGATGTGTTGTATGATATGCCCTGGGCAGCTAAGTATTGGATACGGTTTAATTTTGTGCTGTACAAAACTTCGTTATATTGAATCATTACGATATACCTAGGTAATTTGCTTACCATGTAGTACAATAAGTCTTATGATATTATGGCTACTAGGAGCTTTGATGTTGGAGATAGATGTAGATCTACAATAGACAAGCACTCCCGCTTTGCTGCATAAATTCATCAGCAAGATAACCTCATACGGCCCTTCAGACCGCAAGGTATCGTGGGGTACGAACTAAAATTACTTCTTCTAACTTCACTAGATATTTGTAATAGATAGTTTAAACTTGATAACACCTTTTTACATTCCATGTTGTCACTATTTTAACATCTACGAAATTCATCGAGAGCTTTATATGCTTACCGTGCTGATCTGTAATTGGGCACCTTCTCAGGCATCTGATGTCTTGGTCAAGTTGGTTTACCTTGCATTCATCTCTAAGTATTCTGCTGGTCAAGCAAATTTCGTAATTTTCACGTCACCCTTTTCAAGTGTCATTGCAGGATGTGAAGGTGACAAAGATGGTCGTGCATACGTAATATTACGAATTTCTTGGGGGGAAATCACTCATTCCTTCAACGCCTTCCTTTCAAACTAGATTATACATCCCTCAATCAGTATAGGGTTTTGAGAGCAATTGCACCAATTTTTGGTTTGTTGTTAATTTGATCAGACTGCACGTTGTCATATAAGGGGATGGAATCATTAAGCGAGTTAAAGTGGGTCTATTAAGCTGCCATCCGACGAGTACAAAAATGTCCCTCGAATACATGTGAACGCTGATGAAAAACAATCAAATAGACCCCCCACCCAGCATATGCCGTGCACGAACGAGATTTCTTATGACAATACCAGTATTCAATTATGTTCTGAAATCAACTTTCGTATCGACCCCAGCCTCCTCCGCACCGTAATCATTCACAGCCACCAATGTATTCTCCAAATACTCGTCAAAGATATCGTATGGAGTCCAGCATTTTCGGAGAGATGATGGTATCTTTGAGATTCGTCGCCACCATATTCCTGGTAACTGTCTTAACGTTTCTTCTGCAGTCGTAAGACACGTATCATGCATGCGAACCTTTCTGGCGTTGATCCTAGTGGCGTAACGAGTTGGATCGTCGAAAAATGACATTTCTGAGACCGAGGGGCTGCCAGGACTAAGGGTAAACATTGGTAGAAGTTTCAAAACCGGTGTTGGGGGTGGCGAGTATGATGGTGGTGATGAAGGTGAGCGAAGAAGCAATGGCGCTACATCATCGGCAACCTTCAGAGGCACTTCCATGTCCAAATCTTCCTCATCACTATACTCGGACTGAGATGCTTCCTCATCTTCGGAGATGTTGTTGTGGTCTGATGAAGAAATAGCGAAATCGTTGTCGCGAACAAATTCGGTGTCACGAACGGGATCTGTGTTGCGAGTGGGATCGTTGTTGCGCATCAAACCGGAGATATCCATCAAATTGATACCCAAAGCATTTCCAAAAGCTGCTCTAATGCTATGGAAATTATGCGCTCTCTCTTCTGCCTGTCTGGAGTCCTCATTTGTATCCAAAACTTGATTGTCATTGGCAGCCTCGACTCCTGCTGTTTGTCCTTCACCATTTGATTGTTCAAGAGATATTTCAAGGGACAGTTGTGGATCGAGACTGGGGTTTTCGTGCGACATGACTGAAAGGAAGGGATAGACGCTGGTAAATTATCGGGTTTTATTTGTAAGAAGACTCAGTTTGCTGTCTTAACTCGAGGCATAAGACCACCAGGGTTTCTGTCAAACTCGTTAGTATAATTTGACGTCGATATCATTAGTGAGTAGTTTTTTCACCTTATGTTCACTGCACTTGTCTTCGAGTTGATGGATTATGCCTCTCCGAGAATTCAGTAGAGTTAAAAAGAGAATATTGAGAATATTGAGGGGTTTGTGCGAGAACCAACCTGTTTATTCAAAGAATCCTCGCTTGATAATGTAGTGAATATTGTGAGGTGAAATTGTCATCCGCAAGTTAGTCTTTTGATATACTGTTCCGATTTGACGCGATTGATTGTTTCTTATGATGGTTAAACAATACCATTGCTTTAGTTCCGTCTTCCAGAAAATGATACCAGAAGAGACACAGTGAAATAGATTTATGGATTGATACTTGACATAGTCTTTATTAATATGTCTTGAAGTAATGAACAATTTACAGAAGTGTTAATGATGATAATATCACAAAGAAACTAGATTAACAATTCACATGAGATTCAAAAGTTAATATACTCTGTGATTGGAGGAAAGAGTAATGAAGTGAAGTGAAATTTATAATTCACAATTTCCTATTCTGCCAGCTTATCAAAAACAATGTGAAATATCCTAGGATGCAATTTCCATTTTATATCTGTGCTTTCCTCCACTACTCAGCACTTTCCTCAAAATTCTTATGCATCCAACATAGTTTTTGTAGAAACCATCATCTTCTGATTTGTGTCATGTAGTATGTTCTCACACCAGCTACTGTTCTGAGCAACCTTTTATGTCATCAGAATTCATGTCACTCAGAATATTCTTGCGACCATCGAAGTGGGCTAAACTTTCGACATCTGTATTTCAATGACTTCTCTGTTGCAGTGGCCAAACGAACGCTTATTGTGATCCCGTGGCGTTGAAGCCTTCTATTGCGAGCGAGCAAAACCTTGTGTACCCGACTGTTGTTCGAAAAGCGCGCCGCAAGCACTGGGACTGGTAATAGTAGTGATTCTCCGCATTTGGTGCAAGTTGAAGATTTGGTTGGCGCCGGTGATAGTGGTAGTGGTGTTCTGTCGGGAGTGTTGGATGCGGAAGGCCGGATTAAGTTTTTGTCGCATGAAGCTTTGATAAGATTTTGATTTCGTATGTTCTCCTTTAGCTTTTCTACGATGATACGTATTTCATCTTGCTCCTCGAAAAGCTCCACCTTCGTCGCATTGGTTTGATTCATTTTCGGTTTCGAGTTCAAATGTGAGTCTGACTTGCGATTTAGAAGTTTCTTCGACCTGTCGTAGTAAAATGAAGTTTGTACAGGATTTGATCAATGGACTGTCTGCTGAAGATTTTCTCCGAACATAGGCCTCGCTTCTTATATGTCTATCATTGTTGGCTCTATGATTAGCGTAGTCTCCCACAACAGGCTAGTCTTTCTAGTCAATGGCCAATCTGAAGCTAGTGAATAGTTCGGCTTCAGCTAGGACTACTTATTGTGACCGTAATGCAATCTCTTTCAGATACGGGAAAAGTTGATCCCATCGAGTTTTTAGGTTTGGTTTGTGGTTCTCATGATCTAGTTGGGCGTTTTCAAATGCCATCGGTTAATTGTCATAATCGATGGGATATTGAACAAGCGTGAGAGCACACAGAACTCGATCCTTTTCTGTAAATTTATCACGGACTTCTCTTTCTATGATACAGAATACATTGTCACATATTGCGCAAGTCTATGATGTGGTCAGTTGAAGATATACATTATGTGAGTTGTCTTGAACTAAAAAATGCTTCCCCTTGGATTAATTTACCCCAAAGTCCCCACGACAGCTTCTTCCAGAACTCACTGTGATCCCCGTCTCGCTGAATACCCGATACTCTGATTATGGTATTGCTGTTTGAATAATTTAGCTTCTGCCCAAGGTAAGAATGAGCGCTCAAGCTCCAGTCCTGTAAGAATTGAATTTACCCACTCTTTTCACTTGATGCTCTCTCGCCATTCCTCAAAAGTAAAATGGAGTCTGGGTATCCTTCAAATAGTATCGAATACAGCCAAGCTTCTTTCTCACAGGTCCATTGTCTTGCTCTCTCGTCTCTGGTGTTTCGTTACACCATTCACAGTAACACTCTTCAAATATTTGGGGACCTTGGCTCATGAGAAAACGGCATCTGATCACCTCCTGGCTCACTTCCTCCTTTGGGATAGAATAGTACCTGGCAGTATCAATTACAAGCTGCCACATAACGGCTCTTCGTGAAGTCCTTGAAGAAACTTCATTTTCTCTATCTTCGAACGCCGCATACTCTCTTGGGAGTTTCATTTCAAGCACATAACTGAATGAATTGGTCTTTGACTCGGACTCTTTAGCTGAAGCCATGTTCTCATCGGTAGCTTCAAAGTTGGCTGAAGAAATTCTTCTCGTTTCGGCCGTCATTACTGCTTGCTGATAAGACTAATTCTTTGTAACTTGGATGCATGAAGCAATTAAGGATGTAATTGAGGTGATTATGAAAGTATTTTTGAAAACTATACAATTGAGAATACCCTGGAAACTCTTTTGAGTTGGTATTTGAATTGAGGTACTATTTGTAATGCCCAGACTTTTGATGGAGCTAATGAGTACTAGTTGCTGAGTTCTACTAATAAAAGTTACTACAAACTTGATCTGTCAATCCCCCATGCAAGGATCCTTGTGACATCTTGATTTCCAGCCCCGAAATTTGACTTTATCACATTTGCATCTAATCATCAATTATTTTACTATTAAATCTTAGGTTACAGATATATATCTATACATTTGAGTAGCTTCGGAGTCTTTTCATATGTATGTACAAAGAAGCATTGACAATATGAATATCTTTGACTTCGGTATTCAATAATGAATAGACAAACTTGTATCTCCATTACAGATTCATTTAAGAACCAGGGTGTTACCAAAGACAGTTTTGATAAAATGAATTATAAGACTGATATGAAGAAGTTCCTTCAAGATTATTTAGTTAGCATTATTCTAGTCTACTTTTTCACCATAGGCAATCATTAACTTACTTTCAGTTCACAAGGGCATCAATTTATCACTCAATATCAGAAGTCTCATAGCTAGATCTCTGGGGTATTGATTCAATCTATTATTATAAATTATAAATTATCGCTTTCTGCTCTTTCGCCACATCCTGAAAGCAAAGTCGCTAAATTAAATTCAAGTCGCAGACACTGTTACATGCCACTCATATATTGGCTCAGGACTATGCGGATGGTGTAGGGAAACTCATTGTCTAAACTTCTAGGAAAGAAGATATAGACTTATAACAACTAGTATAGTTTTTGAGAGCCACATCTTGCTCCACAGCTCGAACTTACTTCGATTCTCGCGAAGTCGTCCGTATGTTTAGACCGCCTGCCAACTTCCCGGTCTAACAATATGCGGACGACGTGCTCTTTCAAATGGTCTGCAAGCAATCATGGATTTCCAAAGCCCCGGTTGAGCCGCAATAACAGCCCGAGCCGTAGAGCCTGTCTTTTCAACCCCATTCAAGCCATGCATTGTGCTTGTATCCTCGATCTCGACAAATCCGGAGTCGCATCCACAAGAACACTCTCCTTTGCAAGCTTGATTTGATGGAACCGCGGCCTCCTCGTCGAACATTGAGACTAAGCTATAACCAAGATCGGAATCAAAGTCACTATCATCGTCCTCTTCATATGTGCGTACGCCCGAATCTTGGATCGATTCCATCGCCATGTCGACTTTATCCCATTCGTAGCTATCGGAACCTTTTCCTTCCTCAATGATTTCTCCCTGCAAAATACTGCAAGACTTCAAGCCATTGCCAGATTCTGTTTCACGTGCGCCATCTTGTTGTAAAGTTCTTGAAAACCAATCATCGCAGAATTCAAGTGGCTCGTCACTCCCCTCGACTGTGCAGCCATCTTCCTCGTCTTCCTCAAATTTCCCAACTGCCTCATCAATCTCGACATGGTTCGCATCATTCTCATAGTGAGAGATTCCTAAGATTGCGGCTCTGCGAGCAGCTCTGAGCTTTTCTTGTTTCTTCTTCTTTTCTTCTGCTGCAATAGCTCGTGCGCCTTCATGAGTATACTATTTGTTGCGAGAGTAGTTAGCATGTGATCGCGCATGATACCAAATGGCTCTCTCATTTTTTCCTTGACGAATTAACTTACTGGACATGGTTTCACTGCCTCCGAATATGACCAAGAATCGCGCTCTTCATCCGGATCCCCAAAGTGTCTGAGTTCATTCTCCAAACCTCCAACAAGAACTGCGCCATCGTAGTCTGTATTTATGACAGTGCGCCATCTAATAGCGCGCAAGATCTGAGGTGAGAACATTGTAATGGTAAATTTCTTTTGTGAGTGCGATTGGTTCCTGATTTGTTTGCGCTCGGAGTTTTGTAGATAGCAAGTGAGAATGGATGGCTTTCTAGATTTATTCGAGGGCAGGAAAGTAGCTGATATAGATAGAGACATCTTGTACGTTCAGGTTGATGACCTTGATACATTGGTAAGATACCGTAAGAGCCGCAAAAACTGTAGAGAAACGTAAAAACCGTAATTGTATAACAATTTCCAGCTTTTAGTCTATCGAAATGAAAAATAGTGAATTAAGGTCACTGCCGTACGTACGATATCATTGAGTTCAATCTGCCGTAATTGATGTAAGCTGAGAAAAAATGGCAAAAATGGCAACAATCACTATCAACAAGGAAGGAGCGGATAATAATATGAATATCTCAAATTGCAGAATATCTTGATAATCCTAAAACTAACTATATTCATCTTCACTTAAGATCCTAACTTCCCCACCCTATCGCTATGCCTCTGTCTTAATATTTCCCAATTCCAATTCCAAGCAACTTGAAAATTGGGCATTTTACTTCATCAGAGATACTTAACTAGAACTCATCTCTAACTCCTGCCATGTAAATTATTGCGCCAGATAATGGAAGGCCCCTCGTCACATACAACCATCTTTCTGAACAGCCTAGATATAGCATCTAGATGCTTCCTCACGAATAACTGTCTGGCAGTGTCTTAAATTTGATGGAGTCCAGCCCCAAGTTGTTGGTTCCTATGGAGTCAGAACGTCAGCACTGCATACGGTGACGAGGCTTTAGATCCAATGACGGGAACAGGCTATTATTATAAGATACGTTAAGGTGATTCAACCCTGAATCAAGTGTACGAAATCAAGAAATATGCAGACTTACAGAACTACGATAGAACACTCTTGTAGGATGAGCTTCATAGTCACTATCCTTTACTGCCGTGAAGGACACTTGGATGCAAACCACGTCTTTTCCCATTAGCGGGTGATCAATTCGAACATCTTCTTCAACCTCCTCGAGCTCAGAATGATAACTGTAGGTTGAATCACTATCCCAAGCGTCGAAGCCACCAAATGCAGGGATGCTTTGAGCCGACTCGATTCCCAAATCACAATCGTCCACTACAACCGGGGTATCGCCCTGCCAGTTATCAAGAGTAAGCTCGGTGACTGCTGTAGTTTGATGATCATCTTGATCCTTGGATTCTTCGATTTCAGGAATGGAGTTGAGAAATGCATCATATGAGGACTGGGCAGAATAGGGTACTGCTTTAGGAATTCTGGATGTCATGTTTGTGCCTAGCTTTGTGTTCTTGGGAGAAATGGTCTCTTCAGGAACGGTGATTACAGCAGCGCTGTCTTCATTCGACAATGTCTCGAATTTCAATGCATAGTCGTAAGAGTCGATGGTATATTCGTCGTCAGAGAAATCAAGAGTCTGGAATGGTTAACATTAAAAGTGCATTCGAACAGTTTGTGAATCATTCATACCTCATAGTCTCTGAAATCAGATGGTTCTCCCATGACTGCGTCACTATCGAATTTAGATGTATCAACAAAGTTACTAGTAGGTGGAGCATTGATGCAATGCTCTTCCAATTCGTCGTTGGCTTCGTCGGCCCAGGATTTGGTCATTGGTGGCAATAAGTTCGCTAAAGACATATGTGGAGAAATATTATTATGTTTGTGAGTTAGAGGTAGCGGGTGTATATATCTGAGATAGATATAGTGGTAGAATTCTTGGTATAGATCGTTGATCTACTAATTTCCGTGTTAATAAGTCGTTGTACTTATTAGTTGTTTTAAAGTAGAGAGTCAGTGGCCTGATATTCGTTTTTTAAAGTGTTTGATTTGGGTGAAAAAAATGATTTGTAGTGAATTGATTTATGTGTATTTAGAATTTGATTCACGGAATGAGAAGCTCGAATATGTATGAGTAGATGAGAGTGGGCACACTAACAGCATTGAGTAGTACTAGCTGTATTTCGAAAATCTTTAGTGATTAAGTAGCCGTATATCTACCGCTTGTTGGTAAGCAATGCATGCTATGAGATCATATAAAGCAAATAAGCACAATTAAGTTACGGATTTTTGTAGCAGTAGTCATGATGTAGTATCAAAGGGCGTTCTGCACATCAAAATGTTGAACTTACAGATCGAAGACTGTAGATATACGGCCATGGATGCAACAATTCTCTCAGATCACGTTGTACGGTTTTTTGAATCATGGCAAATCTTCAGTGAGGCTCAGAAAGCAAATGAAGATAGTATGAACTGAATTTCGCCATCTAGCCAAGATGACCTGGGATGCGTTGTAGAATGTGATAGAATCACTGGTACCCATACTGTGCATCATAACCGTACATCCACATCTGAAATACCATTTGTGAATCCGATATAACTATCAAAGCATATTCATCGGCGGTCTTGTGAATTCCCCCACACTCTCTCCTCCTTATTTTTCCTATGCGAACATGACTTGTCTCAATGGACTCTGTTTCTTGACTCTCAACGGAGTCTCGCTCTTAACTCTCCACTCTTCACCACCTGGCCACAATAATGCTTCTCGCAACTTAGCCTCCTTAGCCTGTTACTCTGTCAATATCTTGTATGGCTATTCTGAGTCGTAAGATGCTCACCTCTTCTTCTGTTTCTTCTTCCATTGCCATGTTCACTTTCTTGTAGAATGTACGATCGGATTGGCTCGTTCCGCAATCGGCTTTTCCATTGGTGTTAGTTTGAAGTTTTGTCGTATCCTTGAGAGAATCGTCGAGGTTATTTTTGTCGCTCGAACGATCTGACAATTCGCCGGCGGCAGCCTACGATTTCTTGGTTTAGTGTTTTTGCTTCATCATGATGGTAACGTCTTCTTAAACTATCATGGTAACTGGTGAAAGAAAGATGACAGGGGGGAAGATAAAAAGTTCGAGTAACTTACTGCCTCGTTGGTATTATCTAGCCTATCGAAAGTCATCTTCGCTCTTTTATTTTCGCTGCTGGTCATTGTGTGTTGATGAATAAAAAATGACTTTTCAGAATAATTTTGCGGTGAAATCTTACGGAATTTAAGGAAATGGGAAACAAAAAGCTAATACACCTCACATTTTAGTTTTGAGCACTAAAACTTGGCTAGATGCCACTGATATCACCAATGATTCGGTTACTGAAGCTTTCAAGGGGCTAGACACTCTTAGTGGGAAAAAATATTTTCGCTTATTGTCCTAGTATACGTACCAAGAAGTCTAGTGTCATGCCTATGGAATTGATCTTGTCTGGAATCAATGAATACATAACATACTAGGAAGCTCTCATCGCCATTTTGCTGGTGACCAGGCACTACTTGCTCCTACCATAATCTAAAAGCTCTAGGGGACCACGTGAGTCTCAGCTCTAGGTCGATCTCAAATAGTTCACTCACACGAGGAATTGTTCAGCATCTCAAAACCAGTACACCTGAATCCATGCAACATATCCAATTAATACTCACAAGAACCAGTTGAATGACATTGTAGATGAACAAAAGCTATAATTTCCAGTAATGAATGTTAAGGTGGAAATGAACAGACCTTCGATGAAACGAAAAACTACTGCTGAATTTCTGCAGCGATAAATTGTGATCGAACCTTTGAAGATTGCTGAATCTACTAAAGCCATTGGATATATACAATAAACATAGGTAGGAAAAGAATGGTATGCCCTCTATTTCTTTCATAGAATATCCATTTCCATCTACACACACATCAAGCACAGCACAATCATAAACTAGCCAAAAAGATAGTACTAACCTTCGAATGCTTTTCAAATTGCGCAATATTTACCCCTTATGCCAACCTATGCATTGCTATATCCCAACCACATCACCAATCTTCCCGTCTGTAATCCTCAATATTCATCTCCAACCAAATTGCCGAATCCGCCTTATCCCTAAAAATGCCCCAGCGGGTCTCAATCACTACCCTCCCCTTCACCCTCACGTACCTCACTGCCCTCCTCAACCAGCGTCCAACATTTTCTCAAAGGGCTCGGTGTCGCACAATGAAAGTTTCCATATTTTTCATCCGCTTCCGTTTGCTCCGCTTCCGTGCTCTTAATGCCATACACAATTAAGAGAACCTCCTCCTTTCGTTTCTCCTTTCGTTTCTTTACTCTCTTCTGTCTAGCTTTGTCGCGGGCTGATAGCTTCAATGTTTCTGATGTCGAATCGTCATTCTCGACTATAGTGGATTGATTCTCAAGCAACGGCATTGTTGTTCTAATCTCAGGTCGTTATCTCTGAATTGCAGATATATTTGGATAGACAAGATTCTGCTACGATAGAGACTTTTAGCATGTTTTCTTCTTCAATAGTGGGCAAGGTGAGTTCTAACTGGAAATAAATTTTATTCTGGATCAGATAGGTGAAGTAGATGAGAACCCAAAAGTGTTCTTGAAATCAAAGTTTTGTACTGAAATTGTCTGGTTTTGTGAATCAAACTGGTATATTTGTGGAAATTCGTGTTTCTTCTCAGCAAGGTGCTTTATACTTATACCTGGGGATTTGAAATCCAAGGCTATTGTACTGCAGCTCAGATTCACTACCCCTATCACATAACATTTTTTCCCAATCTTTCGACCTCTTGTTGGATGGCTCCTGGTCTTCTCGAGCCACTCTTTGATAGTGAATACTGTTCCTGGTGATTGGAGAACAATGATTTGGTAAACTCTGTGGCACTAGTTGCTGCACACACCTGCATTCATAAAACCTTTTCCAATGCTGACCTGAATCTAGCCACAGTACAGGAAACTACTATCTTGTATGACTAGGTTTTTTTCATGGCTTGAGTGGCCCAATGAAGCTCTGAGATCAACGAAATGCTTTAAGAACACGATTCGCTGTATCCAGCTAGCATACTTGGAGGTTGTCACTTGGGCAAGCATCGAGGAAGGATCACAAAGTGTAAATACTTGTTCATTTGTGTAATCATAATATATGACAGGTCCACAGGTAGTATTAAGAGAAGATAGATGAGGCGCTTCCGTTGATCAGTTCATGACGATTCCGCCATCAATGACCAACGTTTGTCCTGTCATATAATCGCTATCTGGGCTTGCCAGATAGCTAACACATTTGGCCACATCTTCTGGAACGCTTGTTCTTCCAAGTAAGATGAGATCATCGGTGTACTTCTTGATCGTGTCTCCATTCTTAACACCTTTCGTCTTTCCCAGCTCCTCGTCGATCAAATCCCACATGGCAGTGCCAACTATGCCCGGTGCGTACCCATTGACAGTGATCTTATGTTCTGCCATTTCCATAGCAAAGGCTTGAGTAAAACCTCTCACGGCAAACTTTGAAGCACTATAGTGGGAAAGCATAGCGAATGGCTTGAAAGCAACGATACTAGGAAATTGGTCAATAAATGGTCAAGTGGCTTAATTCCGATTTGCTTCAAACATACCTGGCAGCACCAATTATCTTTCCACCTCCACCTTGTTTGATCATTTGCTTTGCAGCAGCGCTGTAGCAATTGAAAGTTCCAAAGACGTTGACGTCAAACATCCTCCGAACTTCGTCCTCGGATAGTGATAATAGCGACTTAACTTGTGCAATCCCGGCATTTGCAATCATGACATTCAAGTTTCCTAGATTCTTAACTGAAGCTTCAATCAGACCTTCGACTTCAGTGAGTTTGGACACATCTGCGGCGTGGCCATAGGATGCTCGGCCCATGCCCTGGATTTCTTTCACCACCTTTAAACCGCTTAGTATTCTGCAGACCATAGGATGATTCCCGAATACCAACCTCGTCGATGCCAGCTTGGTTTGCAGGAATATCATTTATACAAACGTCAAAGCCATCCTCTGCCAGCCTAATTGCGATGGCCTTTCCACTATTTACTCGTTAACTGATTGAGACTTTCCGAAGAAGCTTCTGAGACCTCACATTCCCCTTGCAGATCCCGTAACAATGACCGTTCTCTTTCCATAATCTCTGGTAACTGCAGTGCTGCTTGCCATTTTAACTTAAAGTTTTGATTTGGAGCGAGTTCTAGGGATTGTATAGACAATGGATGTGCTTCGCCGGAAAGGTTGAAGAAAGGACTTTATGATTTGAGGTTCTGGCAGATGCTATAAGTAACAGCGCGGCGGACCGCCGGTAGTACAATAACATCACGGACTCATTCCGTACGCCCATGAAGTGATTCTGTCAAACATAGAGAGAGGGGTAGATAAGATTCGCGGGGTCAATTATCTACCCCACACAAGCCCCATGTTACAATGCAACTTCCTATTGGTCACTAGCTAGAGCACTGTGCCTGTGCGTAGTATATCTCGGATCACTCTGTCAGAAATGCGAGTACTAGTCATCCCTTAGAAGAATGTAGGCCGCCGGTGAGCTCGGAGATTGATGGTTTATAATACTTATACAATAGGATCTATTCTATTGTGGAAAGACTTTGTTCCTAGAATTGAAGAAAGCCCTCACATGATTACTTAGGTACACAGCTAGCAGATCTGTTCATGCTTCTCTTGCATACCAAGCAGACGGGAGTCACACATTGTTCTACAACTCATTCGTGTCGCTAAAGTCGTTACACCATCACCTCGGGACTCTCGACTCCATTCATCAAACTCACCAAGTACCAAATTACTCTTCATCTGTGGTACCATCGACACTTATAGATCCGGCTTTTCTTCCGGGGCCTAGATTTGATATCGAAGTTATGAATCTTGTTTCAGATGACAGTATCTTGTGTTTCCTCTCACGGCAGGGTTGAGATAATATCACAATGCTCCCTTGACATAATCTTACATTTTTCATCAACCTACCTATATCATCATAACTACACAACTTTGATTACATCAAGCACCACGCATCTGCAAATCGACACGGCTTCCCGAAGCCCAACTAGATACTGCTGAGAAGTCTAATTCATACACGAGCAAATAAACATCGATAGCCTGATATCAGCTGAGCCTTCAACAAATCCAGCGAGCGGAGCAAAAATGCCAAGATCTCACACGATCCAATAACCCGTCATTTACTCCAAGATGCCGTCGAACACCCATAAAAATCACTTCAGTGATAAAGGAGAATGAGTGAATGAATAGATATAAAGCCTTGCGACGTTCCTATAAATACCCCGCGCAAGTATTCTCACATCGAATAGTCGCAAGAGGATCTTTCCAGCACCTGGGCCATGGTTACCAGAGAGCTGGCGAGCCACCTATTCTCCGCCTTTGAGCGAGAAATCGGGGGTCGAAAATGGCGAGAATTAAATACAATGAGAGGTAAAATATTTCATTCAATAATGATTATTAGGCACTGGACAAAATGCCGTTGTCGTTTTGTCGTGTATACTGTCGATTTCTCTCTCTTGCCTTGGTCTCTAAAAGTCTACACTGATCAGCTTGAATCTTTCCCTACTTACGAGGATTTTCACCGTGAATTTCGCAGGAAAGTCTGCTATTTTCTCAGACAGTATCTACAGTTGACATATATATATTTATATAGCGGTACATGTTCATGCAACATCAAACTGCCATGAACAATCTCACGGAACGACCCTTCCGAGAATAAGCAAACGCAAACCTAACAATAGCTAGCTAACAAGCTAACCCCCAAGCCTCCCCAGATCAACCACTCACACCCCACCGGAAGAACTAAAACCCATCCACCAAAACCTCACAGAATTACAAGGCTCTCCAAATATCACTCAATATCAGCCGACATCCCCGCCACACCTCGTGAAGTTTCATCTGATCGGAAGTATTCCTATTGGAGCTCACCCCCAACACGAACAGGAACACCCATGAAACATCCCCAGCCCTGTTTCAATCCACCCAAGAGCCCCGGATCCCCTTCCGTAAGAGGCTACCAACCACACTTTGGGGATCTTAAACCATGGAAGCTAAGTCAACACTATCGAGAGGCCATCAATACCATTGTGCAACCCTTTTTCCCTTATGGGATGTTCTCGCATCCGTACTGCTGACCCGGTCGGTACTAGTCTTTTCGTTGCACGTCTGTAATTTAGCTCCATCTATTTGTGTACTAGTCTCGCTATTCATCCGCTCGATGGCGGGAAGAATGATCCAATTCTCACCCTCTTGCACGTGCATGGTAGGTAAAATATACGATATTATTTCTTATATATTTTCTTCATCTATAACTTGGCAGCTGAGTCATCGGAATCGAGAAGATTTATAAATGCCGCGTATACTTCTTCAGTAAGGTCACTGGCTTGTAGACTTCTACCCTTTTTGGCAAAGGCCAGCCTCGAGCATTCCTATCAAAGATTAGTATTTGCAAGTGGGGATCATCTCTGGGAACTCTTACTCTTGTGATACTACTGCCTCCAAAAGCCGCCAATGCTAATGATTCAATATCATCAATATCTGCCTCATGCTCCCATAATCTATCCAAATACGCCTTTCGCCACCCCAAGAACGTTGCCAGGCTACCCGTCAACGTATCACCTTGTCCACCACTTCTCTTCAGCCCTCCTTCAATATCACTCACATACGTCTTCTCCCCATTAGAAATATAATCCTGCGACCCCTTCTGTATAACCGTAACCCCTCCAAACGCCCTCGCCAGCTTTTCCGCTCCCTCCGCCCCATCCAACCCTTCAACATCAATCCCCTTACTCTTACACAGTCTCCCAAACTCCACCACATTCGGCGTCAATATACACTCCTTATACCCCTGCACCAATTCCGGTTTCGTCTGCACCAGCTGCAATCCATCCGCATCCAGCACAAACGGCATATTCTTCTCCCTGGCCGCCTCCAAAACCTTCGCACACGTTTCCTGCATCAGTTTATCTCGTCCCAATCCCGGTCCCACAACGATCACATGTAATCGCGGTAGCATATCAATAACGCTCTGCGCGATCGAGCTCGCCGATTCCGTCATCTTCGCATGCGAAGATTGTCGCATCAGCGGGTGAACCATAAGATTCGGAGAGTACGTCTTGATGACTTGTGCTGCGCCAGGTTCGCAGATGACATGACTCTGTGCATTTTTAATATTAGTCAGATCGCTATTCATGTGAGAAATGGTAGGAAATCTCGTACCATGTCTGCCCCAAGTCTTGCACTGGCCATTGCGGAGAAATATGGCGCGCCAGTGTAGTCTTCACTGCCCCCAATAACAGCTATTCTACCCATTTGTCCTTACATGTGTCAACTGATTGTATATTTACGCAATAATTAAGATGTAGGTAGGTACCTTTGTGAAATTTACTCAGCATTGGTGGCACAATCTTTTTGACTTTCGCCAGAAGGTCTTTCGTCGTTTTCGACATGGCTTGTGTGTTTTCTGACATTTGAATTTGCAGAAACAGTCACAAATTATTCGTAAATAGTTTGATTAAAATATATTGTCGTTGCAGGTATCGAAATTGAAAAAGGTGGTGAAAAGACCGTTAAGGAAATGAAGGAGGGGGTGGAATGTTCTCTCTCTCTCTCTCTTTCACGATGACGTAGGCCATCAATAATTTCCTTATCGCCAAAATTTCCACATTTTTCGGCTTCATTAGCACGCCGAATTGTAACCTCATGGCAACGTCACCTATATATCATACCACTCCGTCACCTCTTCATATTACTAGATCCAATTAACACGGGTAAAATTTCTCAAGCTGGTGCCTCGTATTGTACGATGCAATCTCATCCGTTTACATTGCTACGATTCAGTTGGGTCAGGATCACACGATTTATGTTCTTGAGGACAAAACACCATGGGACACCATTTCTTTCCTTTTCTGCATCCGGTGTCACCAACCCATCGTTTTCACGAGATTCAACTATGGCCTGCTTAGTAAGTACGATTGCAAGCAAATCGAAGTGTTTAGGTGATAAAGCAAGTGTATCTTGTAATTTTCATCTCGCCTCGAAGATCATAGAATTCCTGTCAACATTTCAATGAGAAAGCAATGACGACTAATATCACCACTTGTTCTATGATAACGCTGTGTTATTTGACTCCTACTAAGACCATTCCCATCAATTCCCTTTCTAGGCGCGAAAGACCGCGCAATCATTATCTGAAGCTTCGAGGGACCAATGGTCTATCCAGGCGCTTTCAGATATAGCACCATAATTGGATCAATATCTAAGACTTGTAGACTTGACCGAGATCCTGACCATCGTTATAGAAACCAACACCGTCCATCTGCGCTAACATGGTGCATGCGGGTTTGATGAGAGTGTTAGAAACTTTCTTTGCTGCCAGGTCCTGAACCGTCCATTGTACCTCTTCGCCAAGCTCGAGCGTTATATTCTGTACAAGAAGTTTATCCATTGCCACAGATGTAATGGAAACTTCTTGCCAATTCGTCTCGACGTTGAGATCTCTTTTCTCCTCTTGGAAAACATACACCAAAATTCCTTGATCTTTAACCTGCAATTCATGACCACGAGATTTATCTACCTCTGTAATATTCAGTTTGGAGTTTCCATCAGAACTAATATAACTTCTAGTCTTGCGAATCTTAAGATGATAGATAATGAAATGGTCCATGATATCCTTCGGGAGTTTAAGGGCGTGATTTGGTTTCTTGTTTCCAGGACTGGAACGTAGAAGTCAGTTCGAGTTTCTAATCGATTGGAATTTCAAACTTACGGAATGTAGAGAGTCTTTTGCATCTCTGTAGCTAGTTCGTCATAACGAGGCCAGTTACTTCGGATATCTTCTTCATCTTCGATTCCCTCGACAATAAGCTGCAGATCCCAGTGACGCATTGTACCATGGACATACGTTCCGCCACATCTTTTCAACACCACAATGTGAGTTTCGAAGGTCTCTGCATCGATCTCAATGGTAAATAATTTGTCAGTACGTAATTCTAGGCATGTGAACTCGTAGGTAACTTTCCACTCGGAACACTTTTCGGACCAGAGACGAACACCTTCATTGTTTTTGAGTTTAAGGAGGAAGGCGGTATCGGCTTCCAATGCTGTTAGGATATTGGTGAACGCAACTTCAGGGCCATCTCCCTCTCTAAGTTTGCTGCCTGGCGGGGGGTACAGATGTGGAATAATAAAATCCTCATCATATGGTTTGATCTGTTCTTCTTTCGAAACAATCTTCACCGGAAGATTACCCAGTAAGATTCTACCAAAATCCATGTGCACCTTAACCTCTCCTTGAAACCCCCTCACTGGCGACATCAAACTACTAAGCACTACTTCGAAGTGTTTCAGGAATGACTCCTGTGGCATTGGCACAATAGCTGGCTTTGTCACTTCTTTTTTGATTGATGCCTTTTGACCCATGGTCTTGTGGAAAACTCGAGTACGAGTCTCATCCTCCTTTTGGCGGTGAGGCTGCGGCAATTGATTTTCGCGACGAGCGTTTGAATCTGAGGATCCCACGCGTTGGGGAGAGGTTAATATTGGCCAATTGCTAGAAGACGACAAAGTAGGCTTCGATCCTGGCAGTTCGAGAAATGCCACTGAGTTCAAAAACTCATTGCTAGGATTCGATGTTGAATCTATCATCGAAGCAGGTGCCATATCCATCAAGCTCTCAAGCTCTTCCGACGGAAGCTGTGGCGATGCCAGCGATCTCAGCGAGTACGATAGGGCTGGTGGCTCTAAGGCCGTAAACTGTTGACTTCCCAAAGCATCAGAGCCGTCTGCCGTATCAAATATTCTAAAATTGGGGGATCTAGTTGGACTCGAGCTAACATCAACAAGCGTATTCTCCGTAGCCTTGTGTCTCAATGCGTTCCAATCGAAATTCGCCAATTCCGTATCAATTACAGAATCAAGAAGGCACGACTGCATAGTACTGGGTCCGGTTGCGACTCTGTCCGGTGAAAGCACCCCTATAAAGTCATTAGCAGAGAATTTGGCTTTGGCACATCAAACTACACCCACCACTTCGCAGGTTTCTCTCTGTCTCTGAGGGAATACCTCTATATTTTGCCGGAGTAGGAGGCATACTGAAGTTGGCTGTTGTCTCTTGATGAATCATATGGTTCCAGCTTTCGGCGTTCGGCTTCTCGTATGCTACATTTGAATTCGATTCGGAGGCCATTGCCAAGCGGGCTAAAGAATTCAGGCTCGTGTCAATGGTTCCTCTCCAGTCTAGAATCTCGAATCCCTTCGAAGCATCGGTAGTAGTGGTGGCATTTGCTACCCAGCCCTCAATATCAACGCATGTTGAACTGACATTTTCATTACTTGACTTGACATCTTCCTGTTCTCGTCTCTCAATTTCCTTCTTATATCCACCGGGAAAGTATTTCACGGGATCATTTTCTGGACTTCCTCGAGATTTCCAAACAAATCCCGCCCATGGCTTTGTTGCAGAGATTTGTGTACCTGGGCTTGGGACTGCAGGAGTGTACTTCCCAATCTTGAATGGAATAAATGTTACTTTTGCTGTACTCCATGGGCAAGCTCTGACTGTAAACTTTGTCAATAGATATCCGGGAGGATGCTCTTGTTCGAAAAGAGTAGTTTCAAGGTATTTCTTCTTGATCTCTGAAAAAGCTTTGATAATAAACTTGCACGATTCTACCTCTTCTGTGTAGAAAATATGATACTGCAAGGCATATATCGACTGCGGATGTGGTCAGCTTCAAGACAGTGAACGAGAGAGAAATTCTTGAGATTTCACTCACACTATACTTCGCGATATTATTAAGTTTATTGATAACTAAATCAACACTTCCATGCTTGTTTGAACCGATATAAACCTTCGATTGGCTAGGTGACGTTACAATTTTGCTGTCTGTTATTGTCTGCAACGCCAGGACTGTGGCTAGTTTCAAGAACTCGTCAATCAACTCTTCTCCAAGATAGATCCAAATGTCGCGATAACTATACTTCTTGATAGTATCTGGATAAAATGTGTCATCTGAAGCTGAATTGGGTGAGCGCGTGTGTTGAGACGGTTCGTACTCATCCACTTTGACGATTAAATCGCTATGAAACTAACAGCATCTGAGCAATTATTACGAGCATATCGCATTGGAATTGTATACCTCAGCTGACCAGTCACTACGCGTATCTGCTTCTTCATCTTCATCTTCGGAATCTGCTTCTCTATCGCCACGTTCTTGTGCCACTATTGCTTTCGTGATCTGATTCATCTCTTTTAACAGAGGTATGAGATGTCTTTCTGAGAAAAGCTTGAAGTGATGATCCTGATCGAGCCATTGAACATAGCCGTCCTAATATTCTGTTAGTAACAATTTTTCCAAATCCCAGTGGCCACATTGTATTGATGTAAGAAAGCATGTGATGTCTTTAAAAGAAAATCATCCGCGCTGAATTCATGGATGGAAAGACACTCCAACGACCATATTTCGAGTTTGTCTCGAGAAGTCGTTGCTATATGGAGACAAGCTGTTGAACGCATGGCAGCATAAACAGCGCAGTCAAGTATTTATCTAGATCAAGAAGGAAGTCACTACTCACAGCGCGCATTCGATCTCTTTTTTCCGCGAAACGTTTCTCAACTTCCATAACTCCTGCTGGCTTGAAGTGCCATTCCGAAGCAATAATGACTGACGAGATTCCACTTCTCGCAAGACTTCCTAGATCACTGGTATCGGAAAATGCATCAGTAGCAGATGAGCTGCGCGCAACGCTTCCTTTAAAATATGCGCTCATGGTTGAAAAAATTGCTTTTGACGGCAGACCTTACTTTGTTGTCGGCAGTATATCAAAAGTCTCAGTAAATCCTTCAGAAGAAGATAAGGGAAGAGTAAAACTGAATTTGATATCAGATCCACATGACTATGGGTTTGAAGATGAGATTGATCTAAGTGGTAGTATTGTTGTTGTGTGCGTGGGGCAATATTGTGATGGGAAAAGAAACGGATTTGGCGAGGTGAATGAGGAAGGAGGGAAAACAACAGACGATATCAAGAAGTGAGCTAGTGAGAAAAGGCGACCTCGTCAAAGGGACTGAAGAAAAAGATAATACCGCAAAACATCTATCAGATGAACGATGTCAATGGTTTAGGTCCATGTCATTTTACATAAACTCGATTGTTTGTTTGTCAGTGACGTGGGTACCTGCATGCGCCAGTGGCTGCACGACTTCACACTTTTGTTGCAGGCCACACAGTATCAAAATAAGAAAAGACGTCAACGGAGATAGAAGAACGGGCAAAATAATTCTTTGCTTCTGCATCAAGTAATGATATAAGATCAAAGCAGCTATTGCACGATAGAATCATTAAAAGAAATCTAGTTCATTCAATCATCACCAATAACCCTGGCAAATCTAACTCTGATGAACTTCCCAGTGTTTGCCCCAATGTACAATTCCTAGATATGATGATCTCATGTAGACACAAAAAAGAAACTCCTTAACACCCTGGGCTTCGTGGCCCAAGTTCAACCCGAGATACCCTGACCGCAGTGTCTAATGTACAAAAGCGCAGAAAATACAACTGTATCCTGTTTCTCCAATGCAATGCAGTCTTTGATGTCGCTGGATCGCTCGAAGAGAATATCATAATTTAATGTAATTCGAAAGTAGATGATTGATGTGAGTGTGTGTCGAGATTGCGGGATTCATGTAGAAAGAAAGTCTTTTAAGTCAGTGAAATATTTATGAGTCTGAGACTTGAAATTGGTAATCGGGCTTCTTATTCGGCCTCTTTGACGTATTTTTTTACGTTGAGAGCCCATCTTAGCTCCCCAAGAACCTTCTGCGTCTCTAGCATAATCTCCTCGTTGGCCTTCTGCTGTTTGCTTGCCATTTCTTTGATATCTGCGAGAGACTTCTCCTTCTCTGCCTTGTACTCCTCATATTTCCGATCAACGTCATCCTTTTCTCTCTGCAGTGTCTTGAGTTGCTCGGCTTGCTGTTCTGCGAGGCGTTTGAGCATGGTAATCTTCTCGTCGTCGGCTATCCTCTCCTTCACAATGATTTTGATCTCTTTCTCTAGCTTCGCTACCGTTCGATTGGCGGACTTCTCCTGGTCCTTCCAATGGTTGGTCATGACATTGTTTCTTCCTTCGTATAGCTCCGCCCGGCTCTGGGCTTCTTCAACCTTTTCTTTGCATTCCATTTCCAATTTCTGCATCTCAGTCTTCCAAAATAGCTCCCCCTCAGTAGCTTTCTCGGCCTTGTGTCGTTCCGCATCAATTTTCTCTTTGGCATCCGCGAGTTGTCGCTCCCTCCTCTTTAGAACCGTTGAATTCATGGCAGCATCGCGCAACTTCCGCTCCCATTCTTCGTTTTCTTGGGCGAATCTGCTCTCCGCCAGTCTTGCTTGATCGAGAGCCTCTTCCGCTCTCAACCTCTCAATCTTGACATCACGCTTCAACATGTCATTTTCCTTTGTAAGTCGCTCAATTACTCTCCCCGACTTCCCCAGGTTTGCTTTCCCAATAGCGGAGTTAAAGTCTTCACCATCATTCGCTGCCATATCTTCCACAACATGTACATTGCTACTCGAGTATTTGGTAGGGCCAAATTCGGTAGATATACTTCTGACAACTCCTCTAGGCATTCCTATCGCGGACGGATTCTGTCGACTGAGTGGTGGTTTCGAACCATTAATGGAATTATAGCTAGCTTTTCTTGGGGTAATAGGTGTAGTTGACTCGTTTTGTGATTGAGGTTGCGCAGTCGGACTGTCGTCGTAAGAATTTGGACCAAGTCGAGAGTCATCAGAGGGTACGGATCTAATTGTACCCGTCGAGGATTTGAGTAAGGACGGATCCGTGTTTATGTGAGGCATGTTCATTGCGCTGGAAGAGAGTATCGTGAGAGGGGCATGTGCAGGACTTTGCATCCTGTTAATATGGGGGGACTCGGAATCTGGTAAGAATACTGGTTAGTCATTGTTCATGATCGCAATGAGTACCAGACTTTTGTTTACTAAGTCGAGGGAGTTTTGCATAAAGAGACAAACAATTATTCAATGGACCAAGAATTGTTAATCTTTTCCCGGTGTTTCCAAGTCTTCATTGACATCTATTAAAATTTAAGGTGCAGATCATGATATCTTGCGATAAGAATTCTGGATCATAATTAGAAATGCAAGCTTACCTGTACTTGGAGATTCCGTATGATTATGGGTACTTCGTCTCGAAGATGTATCCACTGGAGGAGTTTCTGCTCGAGTTGGCATTGCTCATTTCTCCTTTTTCGCAATCTAGGATAATCCTATCAAGCCATGCACGACTTCCATGAGGTGTTTGACGTTATGTGCAATCTTTTATGCGTGTAACGAAAACGACGCTATGAGTGACCGTCTCTCCTTGCGTAGGGTAATAGATATAACGAATGATGGGAAGAATGGACTTTTTACCTAAGTGGGCTGGTTGGCTGGGTATTTAATCATAAAAGATATCGACAATGCAATGTAGGTAGGTAGTCAGTCGCCTTTTTCCGAGTTACTGTATGTTTTTCTCAGTAGACGCTTTTCGAGTTTACCAGATAAAGGATGGAAAGCCCGTATGGCAATTGAGTCTCATCCAATGAATCTGGCTGACCGAGCAACGAATCATGTAAGCCCCAGTAATGAAAGGATTAAAAACGGTCTAACCTGTCAATGCCGGGAGACCGGTAGGGGGTTGACAATACCTAGTAGGTATGGTATGGTATGGTATGGTATGGTATGGTATGGTATGGTATGGTATGGTATGGTATGGTATGGTATGGTATGGTATGGTATGGTATGGTATGTATGGTATGGTCCCATATGCTCACCATTTTCCTTTTCATTACCTTTGCAGTACGGACGGTGCTAGTATGTACTTTGTACGTCAGAGAACATGAAGTGGAGCGGAAAAAGTTATTTTGATATTGGAATATCCACGATGTACTACTTAGGTACCCTACCGAGCATCTACCAATGCACTTGTCTTGCTAGCTAAATTTACCCACGACGACCTCTCTAGATTTCAACGCTGAGCTCTACACAATACTCATTATTGCCTGGTATACCTGTCAGCGCCGGTCAGTATCAGTATCAGTACGAGTGTCAGTGTCAGTGTCAGTGTCAGTGTCAGTGTCAGTGTCAGTGTCAGTCATCTACAGGTTGGTAACCAATATTCTCCGTAGGTGATTTGGATTGGATGTCTTGACTCTTAAAATCAATTTTAACGTTCAACTACCTAGGTAGATGAAATTGGGATTCCCCCCATCATTATCCCATCTCGTTTATCCAGAGTACGAAGCATACAGTCCCTACCTACTGCGTCCTACCAATGAATGATTCTTACCTAATCAAAGCATGAAGAAATAGAGGTAGAGTTTTGAATAAATTCATGATAATGTCTTGTAATTTATGGTATAAATTATAAGAAGCTTCCTTTCCATTTATTTCACAAGTTCGGCGTTTTGAATTTTAAATGCTGGCTCCTTGAGAATTTAGTGCGTTGGTTCTACTTAGCTGGAGGTGATCACTGTTCTCGCGTTCTAAGCCTCAATAGCCTGTGCCTGAGTCGAAAGTCGATAGTTTTCCGCCAACAAACCTTTTCCAGTCAACCATCAAACATTTCCAATTCCCGTGGACCACCAGGACCCCCTAGGATACTCAAAATATCCTTCTTGGAGTCCTGAAGTCTTGAATACCTAAGACCATACATCCTTTTTCTTCTGCTTTTTTCTTTCCTCTCCTTTCCTTTCCTTTCCTTTCCTTTCCTTTCCTTTCCTTTTCCCGCATTTTCTTTTTCCTTTCTTTTATCCAGTCGATCCTGATTAGGGGTCGTGATATTTATCTTCATCAACATCAATTGAAATTGATGGGTTTCCAATGGGAAAGCTTCAACATACATCCATTGAGCACTACCCGCAACCTCTTGACGCACCCCAGATCCTACTCGTGGTGCAGACAGGTACTCTAGTTCTTATATGATATCATTCTGAGTGAAGATTGTGTGAATCGAGGTCAACAGAATTGTCTAGAAGTATCATGGTGGAGCATGAATGCTAGCAGCACAAGTTGAAATGCCGGTGCTCTTGGGCATCGGATATCTTCGGATATTTAATTCCTTCACAACACCGGATATTTAACAGTTTGACCATTGGCCCAGTGGCCAAACAATGGAATACCTCCGCTGGACTAGAAGATCTCTTCCATAGATTTACTCTACCGTATCCATTACCGGACTGTCGTGTTGAAATCCTCAGTGGATTGCAGTGCTGTTCATACCCTACATTCATTATCTTGGAGATTGTAATCCATCTCCCTGCTCTGTTACCCGGATATTTCATTACTTTGTAAGCTTTGTATCGTCGGACAATTTCTCAATATGATATATACAAGCCAATTCATGTTCAGTGAGAAACATCTCAATATATTGCTACCGGTCTCTCGTTTTGTCCATCTTCATTGACACATTTTGGCCTTGGATTCTCACGGTATTTGCGTGATACGATGAGTTCAGGATATACAAGCGAGGTAAGTAAAACCTATCTCTTGTCTGGCTTTCTTTGCCTATAACAAGGATTCCATCCTCTCAATTCGAGGAAGAGTGGCTAGAAGCAATTCAACTGACAGTTCACTTCAAGGGTGAGAAAACCGATCAACAAGATAACCCCTCGCAAAAGTTGCCCATATATCGCCCGGAAGGTCGTTCACTTGGAGTCCTCTTTGAAGACATCACCGTTCATGGTGTCTCTGCTGGCGAAAAACGTGCTCAGGATCTCCTACGAATTTTTCAAGATGTTTTCGTCAACTGGCCAACAGGCTTACTATGTAAAGTAATACACCCCGGCCGCTCCATGCATCCCACAAGAAGATTGATACAAGGAGTTTCCGGTGTTTTGCCTCCTGGTGAAACGCTTCTAGTTCTTGGGCGTCCTGGTGCTGGCTGTTCGACTCTTCTTAGTGTGCTTGCAAATCAGCGAACGCAATTCGTAGATGTTGAAGGTAGCGTGCAGTATGGCGCAATCGGGTCGGATGAGATGAAGACCCTTTACGGTTCCGAGGTGGCCCTGAACAATGAGGACGATATTCATTTTCCTATCTTAAAAGTTGAAGACACTATGCAGTTTGCACTACGCCTGCGCAGGCCGAAGTCCAATCCGAAGACAGATGCCGAGTTCGCTGAACACTGGACTGACGAAATCCTCGATTCTCTTGCAATCAAACATACCAAACCCACAATTGTTGGTAATGCTTTTGTTAGGGGCGTATCTGGTGGCGAACGTAAACGTGTATCGTTGGCCGAAGTTCTCAGCGCTGCTCCTGCTGTCGTCACATGGGACAATCCATTGAGAGGTCTTAACAGCTCATCTGCCCTAAGCTTCTTACGTCTTCTGAAAGGCATGTCAAGGGCTACTGGAATGTCTAATATTGTCACAGCCTACCAAGCCTCTGAAAGTATATACAGAGAATGTTTCGATCATGTTATATTGTTGTATGATGGATGTCAAATCTATTCGGGCCCTGCAGGCGACACTGCTAAACGTTATTTTACCGGTCTCGGGTTTGAATGTCCTCCCCGTCAAACGACTCCAGATTTCTTGACAGCTATTACTTCGCCAGATGAACGCCGTATCAAAGTTGGGCATAATCCCCCGCCACCACTTGATCCTGTTGGCCTTGCTGATGCGTTTCGAAAGAGCTCATATTACCAGAATCTGCTAGGGGATATTGGACAATTCCGTGAAAAGCATTGTGACTTGGCGAGTGCTGCAGCCTTCAAGTCCGAAGTAGCTGATTCCAAGCACAAGTTTACTCACCCAAAGGCTCTCGCGCTCAGGTCGTTCCCTACTCAGGTCATAGTTGCTATGCGACGACATTATCAACTTGTCTGGGGATCTCGGAGGTCGCTCGCCATTATTCTTACCCTAAATGCGGTAAACGCTCTTATCACAGGCTCCGCATTCTATAAGAGACCTCTAACAGCGACTGGAGCGTTCGAGCTCAGCGGTGCTGTCTTCTTCGCTCAGATATACTTCTGTCTGAACGCTTTAGGAGAAACAGTTTCCACGGTTAGTTCACGAACAATTCTCCAAAAGCAGCACGCACTAGGCATGCTACATCCGGCCGTTTCGGCAGTTGCGCTCAACATTGCCAAGTTGCCGGTGTGTTTTGCACAGACCATTCTTTTCACTCTACCGTATTACTTTCTCGTCTTTGCAAACCCAACAGCGGCAGGGTACTGGTTCTTTGAGCTTTTGATCTTCGTTTTCTATGCCAGTCAGTTAGCACTTTTCCGAATGCTGGGTGCATGGTCACCGAATATACCGGTCGCTCTCTTATTAGGTGGTGCAGCTATGCCGGTCAGTTTAAGTCATTCTGGTTATGGCCCGACGTGGCCAACACTATTGAAATGGGATTCTTGGATCCGTCGAATCAGTCCAAGTCCATATTCACTGGAAGCAACAATGGGGTTTCTTATGAAAGATGACACTCTTTACTGTAGCTCTGACCAATTAGTCCCAAATGGAATAGGATACGATGTAAGTGGCAAATGCTCTGAAATATCTTCTGCATTATTTTTGTTTTTCTAGAAGACAAAAGCATCAAATTAAGCTAATTATCTTTATAGAATATAACAATAGCCAATCAAGGCTGTCCTATCTCAGGAAGCACTTCCGGATCTTCTACTGTACCAGGCTCAACGTATCTACTCACGCATTTCGGTTATCGCCCATCTAATGCGTGGCGAAATTTCGGACTTGTCTTAGTCTTCTGGGCTATCTACACCGGTTTAACAGCTGTGGGTTTGACTTTGATGACGAAGAATCGAGGCGGAGGTGGAGCAAGTCGTGTATTCAAGCGAGGAGCTGTCATCCTGACGATATCCGAGGCGACGAAGAATTGCGCGAAAAAGAATCTGATTTAGAATCTCAAGGAAACCCAACCGCTATACATCCTCATGAAAATTCCCAGAGTCTTAATGACTCTAGCAGTACTTTGTCCGCAAATGCCGCTGATTGGACTGAAAATGCGAAAAACAACTCTAGAGTGAGCTATACCCATGTCTTATATTGCGAGAAATGGAAAGTCTCTACTGACACGGAGTAACAGCCCTCATTTACCTTCTCAGATGTCTCGTATCACGTCCAAGTTGATGGGGAGAATCGACAGCTCCTTACAGATATAAGCGGATATGTCAGGCCTGGTCAGCTCACAGCCCTCATGGGAGTATCTAGTGCCAGAAAAACAACTCTCCTCAACACTCTTGCTCAACGCAAAGATACGGGTATCGTGACCGGTGACATGATGATTGGAGGTCAGCCTGTCGCCAATCTAGGAGCAAGATTCTCTCGGGCTTGTGGATTTTGCATGCAGCAGGATGTTCATGATTCGGGGGCCACAGTCCGCGAAGCTTTGATCTTCTCGGCGATGATGAGAAGGCCATTGTCCGTATCGAGCCAAGAGAAGGAAGCGCACGTGGAAGAGGTAATGGATCTTCTGGGGCTTAGGTCAATCGCCGATGCTTTGATTGGCGTTCCAGGGGAGGGAGGTCTAGGAGTCGAGGAACGGAAGCGAGTCACGATAGGTGTGGAGTTAGCCGCCAATCCTACAATGTTGCTATTCCTTGATGAACCAACTTCTGGACTCGATAGTCAAGCCGCATACTCGCTCGTCATGTTTCTGCAGCGTATTGCAGCTTCTGGAGTACCCATCATCTGTACAATCCATCAACCTTCCGCAGTTATTTTCGAAATGTTCGATCATGTCCTACTTCTAACAAGGGGAGGACGCACTATATATTTTGGCGAGACGGGTAGTAACTCGAGCATTGCTGTGGATTACTTTGCTCGCAATGGTACCACAATGGATGGCACTGCCAACCCAGCAGAATTTATATTGGATACTGTGGCTAGTCCTACAGGAAGTGATGAGTGGTCCAGAAGGTGGAATGATTCACCCGAACGCCGCAATCTGCAAATCCAGGTAGAACATCTAAACTCTTCAGTCAATATTAATTTAGAAGTCTCTACTACAGACGAAACGCTTCCATGGATACACCAATATATCACCCTCACATCTCGACATTGGCTAACCATATGGCGTAATGGAGTTTACAGTTTTAGCCGTCTTGTTAAAGCTATATTCATGGGTCTTTTTCTATCATTCATCTTCTATCAAGCCTCAGACACAGAGCAAGGAACCCAAAATCGTCTCATTGTCCTCCTTCTTCTACCATGGCTCATCCCCGCTTCTGCAGATGATATCCAAGCTATCTGGTATTCCAAATGGGCACTTTACACGGCACGCGAGCGCTCCGGTGTCGGTTATCATCCACTCGCTCTATGCGCCGCTCTCGTCACAGTAGAAATCCCACTTGCCATAGTAATCTACACAATATACTTTCTCTGCAGCTGGTTTACCATCGGCCTATCAGAGCCTGGGTTTGGCTACCTCTTATTCATCGCACTCGGTATATACGGACTCGGTTTCGCCTTGGCAATCGCCGCGCTGGTTCCCAATAGCGAAGTTGCTGGGTTTGCAAATAGTCTTGTGTGGTGCGTCCAGACGACTTTTGGTGGAATGGCTCTTACGTATAGCGACATGCCTTCATTCTATTCTGCGTGGCTTTTCTGGGCAGACCCCCTACGATACTGGCTGGGATCTGCCATTTCGAATGGAGTTCACTCTGTTCCTGTGATTTGTTCTGCCAGCGAAATGACGATTGTTCATCCACCTGTAGGACAAACATGTGGACAGTATCTCGCGACTTACCTCTCGGGAACTGGAATTGGTGGTGCAAGTATGGGATATGTCTCAAATCCTAACGCGACAGACGACTGTAGTTACTGTCCCTATCAAGTGGGGGACGATTACGCGGCTTCGTTTTCGTATTTCTACATCGAGAGAGTGAGAGATTGGGGGATATTTACGCTGTTTTGTTTTAGTACATTGGCGATTGTCTTTTTGGCTACTTGAGGGAGGTTTTCAGATTTGAAAGGTCCTTCGCTGAAGGGTTTGGGTTTCGGGAAGAAGACGAAATGATTGGATTCGAATGAATATGATGCGGGATACTTTTATGCTGGGAATGATAATAGACAATAGAAGGGTGTTGGCGTTAGGAAAGAGGGTAAATTAGATTGGGGTGAGAAGAGAATATTCATAGACATTAGAAAAATATGGTAATTAGATTTTTCGGTAATAACCCCATATAGCATTATTCCATATATTGATATCTCAAATATCAGGAATATAATCAAAATGATTTTAATTAGTATTTTTGATATTTCAGTTTTGATTTTTTTTGGTAATATTATTATTCTAATCTCAATTTGATTTGAATAAAAAATTGATATTCTAATTTTAAAAATATATAATATTTTGGTTTCAAATTGATTTAATATTCTGGTTTTAAAAATCATATATTATTTTAATTCCAAAAGTTATATTCTGATTATAATATAATATAAAATAATAAAAATGAGAAATATAAAGCAAAGCAAAGTTCGTTTAAGAAACAAAAGCTTTAAGGTTCAATTTAAAACTAGAATCTGATTTCCTAATCTGATTGGTTATAGTTTGAGTAGAAAATTCAAATTTTGTATTATATTTAGATTAATATTACTTTTGAATCTGAGATCAGAATATCAATATCTTTATGAATTTAGATTAGACTAATACTTTTCAAATGGAGATTAGAATATCAATATCCTTATAAATTTAAACTATATTAATACTTCTGATTGAGACTAGAATATCAATATCCCTATAAATTTAAATCAAACTAATACTTTTCAAATTGAAACCAGAATAGTAATATTTTGAAAATCAAAACGACCTGAAATAGCATATACTAAACCCCAATTAGCACTTTTGATATTTGAGATATTAATACATGGAATAATGCTATATAGGGTTATTACCGTAGTTTTTTTTTTTTTGTAGAATATTGCATATTTGGTACTAAACAATTCTACATTTGATAATGTGAAACTATGACCTGCAGTTCATCTATTTATAATTTTGCTTCGTGAAATAAAAACTCATTTGAGACTTAATCACATACATCATTAGAGGGTGTTGACAAAATGCCACACAACATGATTCTGGTGTGCGCCGCGCTACATACATTATTGTAGAACTTACTGTCTTGAAAATCTCCCTACTCTTCTCCTTGATAGAATAATCTCACTCTCATCTACTGAACCTCAGATCCCTCGGATTTCTCTTTAATATGATACAACTAACTATATGATTTATATATATATATATATAATGCACAGTACCAGATATTGATAAACAGTTTAGTTTGGATACCCCGCCAGTCCCTTGTAGTAATTTTCATTCTGCTTTGAAATTCATATGTTTTATTCATAGAAAGAATGTGAGATAGATGTGCAACCCCCATTTATTAATACGCGTACAGATAAAAATACTTTGCATTTTCACGCCCATTCTATATTCTATTTTGTATGCTACTTCATGTTATTCCTTCACCTACACTTCTAATACATCGCGGCACATTCACACCACATCAGACCGTATCGTATTTCGAGGGATGACAAGCTTCTGCACCTATTTGCCATGATAGCCACATGTGCTGTTTGATTAACAGATACTTCAAGCTCCAACAACATGATCCACGCTTATATCTCACAGCAAGCCCCACGGTACACCATTACCATTCGACATACCATGATCCGTAAAGACCTGGCCGTTGACATCAGCCCATTGATTTACACCTGTATTGCTACCGCCGCTGGTATTCTCAGCAACCGCAGCTTCGTGCGTAGGTGCCTGTTGCGGCGTTGATCCCTCGAAGCCATATAATGGCATCAAGAGAAAGTCCGAACTTTGTGGAAAAGCTTGAGTTGGATATTGCTGAAGCTGGTCATGTTGTGGTGTACTCCCATAATTTGAGGAAGTGGGAAAATTGGCACCAGAAGCATTGTGAAGTGGACCCGAAGTGTTGGCTAGAGGTATTTCTGTGGCAGAGTGAGAGTTCGGTGTATTTGCAGTTGTGTTTGCGAGCCATGGAAACTGTCCAAGTAGTGTATCTAGCTCATTATCAATAGCATTTACAGTTTCAGTGTTCTCTTGAATAGGTTCATATAAAGGCGCCGCATCATAAGCAGCTGTTCCGTTGCCATCGGGTAAATCATCTGGGTTAGGGCCTTGGGCAGAGCGAAAAGCATCTTTGGCCACACGCATTATGAGTGAACTAAGCGTTCCCCCAATCTTAGGCCCAGAGTGCTCCATAAAACTCAAACAACGAAGACCGTCTTCCACAGCTTTGAATGTAGCTGCGACGTTACCAGCGCAACTCTTTTTAGGCCCACCTAAAACATCATAGAGCAAGGTAAGACAAGCACCCACAATATTATAAGCGACTCCAGAATCTTGCCTCATCGGAATGGCACGCGTATTATAGGCATCAAGCGCGAGGGTAATGAGTTTTTTCGATGCGGACATGGCCTTTTCGACAGAGTCAAATATATTCGTGAAGCCTAATTCTTGGGCTGCGGCCAAAGCTTCGGCCTTTGATGCGTGTCTGCTCACGAAAGCTATTACAGGACGATGAATGAGTACGATACAATGATAGTAGTGTAATCCAAGATGTGTACGTTGAACTTCATGCCACAATTGAGGACTTGGAGGCATCGAAGGATCAAAAAAGTGCAAGAAATGGGGAAGGTCTCCCATCGCTTTTTCTAAAGCCGATTCACACTCGCGGGTAACATGGGGAATATTGGCGGAATCAGTTGCGACTCCGCCGTAGAAGTATATTCCGCTTTTAATACGATCAGCCACACGGCCTAGGGTAGCCATAGCACGGACATATGCCATGTCTGTAATTTCTTCTGGAGTATCATTTTCCGGCTCCAAGCTTGGTAGATCTTCGGGAAAGGCAGTATCAATGAAGTCATCTCTCAAACAAGATGCCCGACCATGAAATAGAGAAACGAGCTTTTCCGTCGAGTAAAGATTCCAAAATGTTACGCGGAGACGATGCATATTGGGTCGGGTGCCGTTGGCGACCTGGGCCCTATTCATGCCTAATGCAAGTGCGTTCAGCGCTGCATGACCTACGTAGAGATAAGAGTCATTTGGTCGCATTAATTCGATGCCATATATAGATTTCAGAAGAAGTAGGTGAACACCCTTGAGGGAGGCGTCCTCGAAAGTCGAACCAGACAGTATTGCACGTGATGACAAGTAGGATGCCCATCTAGCCATAACCTTAGCATCTTTATCAGGAGAAAGACTAGACATTACGGCGCCAATCGCAAGCACCATAAGTACAATATTTTTCCGAGTTAATTTGCTACTATAATAAGCGTCTCGTTCTGGTGGCGGAGGCTCCCAGAATAACTCCCAATCTTCGCGAATCTCGCGCAATTGAAGGAAGGGCCACTGTGGATGAGCGACCTTGAAATAAGTACCAATGAAATAATCCCCAAGATCTTTACTTAGATGAACGGGCAGAGATGTACCGCTCTCATTATGATGCTGGTATTCGGGACGCTCAGGTGGGAAGGCAAATTGGTCCAAGCCCCAAACGCGCATCGCTCCTAATCGTTCATTGCTTGAATTTTTGGTGCGATAAATACACTGGTAAATGCTTTGAAACAAAGCCAGGTTAGATGCTGGCCCATATACTGAAATGCTCCGGTACCAGTTTGGCATACTCCAATACCAGAAGAACGTAGCTCTCGACGTCTCTTGACTGCAAGTGGTCCGTTGTTGTCAATTGCTAGTGGTCGATGAGCTTCTGGGCGCATTACGATAGGCGACGCTGTTGAACCATCTCTCAATCCCGGATCTTGCGTCTCCTCGAGAGGATCCAAATCAAGTCGAGGTCTCTTTTTCTTCCTACCCCGTGACTTCAGTGGCGTGTATGAGCACTCTCGATTGTGCTTAACACATGAATTGCATGGTTTATCACCAGAGCATTTTTCTTTTCTATTTCGGCAATTCTGGCAAGTAGTTAGAGTCAGTACAACAAAGCCAGACGAATTGAATGCGGAAATACTTATGCATTGGCTACTCGATCCACTGCCCCCTTTTCTCTTCCTCTTTCTATACTGGTACCACGATCAAGGGATGTATCTGGAGACGAGGTGGTCTGTATTATTCCATTAGGCTTTGACAGACTTATGGGTGCTGTAGGAACTCTAGTTTCCATCTGATTGAGTTTATATTCAGTTTGTGATCCGTACGCCTGCGATTTTTTCCAGCTCTATCTTCTTCGGTCATGATTCAGGACAAGCACAGCTTAGTAAGTATGCACGTGATTCATACCAATTCACCTACCTAGTATCTAGGTATTTAATGGAGAAAATATTCGAAAGATGACTTTGGCTAATAAAGTGATGAATTCTTATTGCATCTATCAATGACCCCGCTTCATATGTCAGCCGTTGCGACGAGAGGATACAACACAAAGTTCATCGCTTATAAATACATCAGAAAATAATGAGCCTAGATACCTAGCTGGGTATGTCAACCTTTGTGAACTTGTTGAATTGGCCAGTCAGAACTGCGATCTAACTGTAAATATTTAATAATTCATGTACCGCCCCGCATCTGTTTCTGACTCCCGGCGAACTCCTGATCATACAATAATGTGCGTATAGCATTTTTTAACCCCTACCCCAGTCTTAACTCACGTCCTGTGAAATCCCTTATACGCCGATTGATGCTGGAATGCGAGCATTGCTAAAGTACAAGAAGGGCATGTAAACTGAAATGAGAAACGAATGCACCTAAGCGCTGATGATCATGCCATTCGATTTCGTTTCTTCGTCGTCGCCTTTGAGTCGGTCCTCAAATCCTGGCCGCCATTTCTTGAGATATTTGGCGGCGATGGGTTTCGCATTGTCGTCTTTCAAGGTTATTAGTATGACCACAACGAAAGAAGGAAGTGATAAAATCTTACAGGTGTTCCAAATATCTTCAACTGCGTCAAGAGCCATGTCTCGGACCGGTGGCCGCATCATAACCAAATAAAGGAGACTGGTAAGCGAAAGATTGACCATTGTTGGGTCTTTGCAAAGCCCTTTGATTTTGTTCAACACCTCTGGACTCAACCCTGGAATCTCGCTTAAGAACCTAGTGAGGACTCTGTCCTTCGCATCAAGGTAGATTGAAATTCCATCTAAAACCTTGAGTGTCCATTTCTCATAATGTAGCACCGCTGAACCATCTCCAAGCTTCATTTGTACTTTGTCGTTGTACCATTCTTCGCACAGCCAAGCGACGGCGATGTCGATTCGTTTTCTAAAATCTTCTAGGATGTAAACAAGCAGTGATTGCCGAATAGTGTTACTTAAGGACATCCGCTCGGTATCTGGCGACTCTAATTTGACAGCGTCTGAGGACTCTTCGAGACCGGCCCCAGCACGCGTTGCAAGGCGCGTAATGATGGTAATCCACGCATCTCGATCATAGGCACTAGCTGCTAGTCTATTTATGCCAGCCTTAGTCTTTCTTGCGGTAGGCTCTTCTAAGGTCTGCATCACACCGAAGACTCGAGACACGGTACCTTGGCCAACCAGAGTCACTTCCTCGGCATTTAGAGACGGAGGGGGTGGCAACGTGAACGGTCCAAGAGCTACATTTGCAACCTTTTCGATATCTACCTTGAGCTCTTCAGGTGGTGAACTATCTAATTTGTTCAAAATTTGTTCTGTATCTTCGGCATTGTAAAAATCAGGCTCGTAGTCATCGTCGTCTTCTTCTACGCCCAGTGGAGCCGTTTCAGGGTTGATTTCTTCGGGCCTAGGCTCTGAGAGAGCTTGAAGTCTTGCTTTCACACCCTAATTGCCAGATAAGTAATCGTGCAAAGATATCATTGAATTTGGGAAAACTCACGCTTATAGCCTGTTCAATGGTGTCCGTATCTATCCTCTGGAGAATTGTTATAACAATCTTGACGACTAGGTCTTCCGATAAAAGTGCAACGTCAAAACCCTTTAGGGCTTCATCGGTGGTGATAGTAAAAAGCTCGGCGATTGTGTGATTCCCGGGTGTTAGTGGTGGTATATGTAGTTGAGCAGATTTAACTTGCGCGCCTAGCTTTTGACGTTTGGCGGGATCTAGGGCGTCCACAGGTTCTGGAGGTCCACGCTTTCTATTTCCCTCGTCGAAGATTTCCGTTTTAGAGCGCATCATTCGTTCGACATACTGCTGGATTCGCCCATTGAGTGGATTGTGAGGGTCCCTACAACCATCAGCTTAAAACAAGCATACTTCACAGGGACAAAAAGACATACCGCTTGCTGATATGAATAAGTAATGATCTAGTAGTCTTTTCCATAGATTTAACCATAACGCGCAATTTGGGAGTCATTGGAGAATTGGCTAGTTTCAGGGGATTGAAGTTTAGAAGGACATTTAGAATTTTATTTGCAACATGGGGACGGGCTCGGATTAAGATGGAAAGGGAATTCAAAGTTGCATCAACAAGTACAGCATCGCTAGACATGTCAGTTCCTAGATGGGGGGAGAATGGGGAATACAACGAGCTCGACATACCTGGAGTTCTCTTGGAAGACGCTGAGGAGTCTATCGAGAAGACCTGACGCTTCGGCTTCAAGGTTTCGGGGAGGAAGAATGGTGTGGTTCGGAGGAACCATGGATAGTGATACCTGAAGAGGATCGCCGCGCTATACAGAAAACACCATTAGCATCTTGCCTGTTGGGAAATTCTAGGTAGCTCTCATACTCTAGAATCTGCGTCAGGTCCTGTTGTTTGCACCAACACAACCCTCTGCGCAAACTTAATACAGCATATTCTGATTCCTGGCTTCGCAGTATCCCACATTCGAAGTATGCGAGTTTTGATTGCGACCATGCGCTCCCAGGTTGGTATGTCGTAGGCATTGTTGATACTGTTTAGACACACTAGTTAGAACCAGCTCTAAATTTGGCGCTTTTTGCTTGCGCCATCCAAAGATATGAATATAGGAAGATAGGAAGGATGTTAAGTTCTAAATCATAGCTATAAACGGACAAAAATTCAACATACATCCATCGAACGACAAGTGGGTATATGCTAGCTGCTGTTTGCACTATACTCTTAACTACTGCACTGTCTTCGTGCGGGTTCTCGATCATATCCTTCAAAGTATCAAGTACGACCAAACTCAATGTTTCTTTCTGTGACGAAGGTATGGTTGGACTTGAAAACGTCTCTGCAAGGAAATCTGCGCCCCATCGTCGTAATTCAACCCTCGCGGAAGGTCCAATAATTGGTAGTATTCCTTGGATGATTTGATTGTAATAGTTGGCATCCGATAGCACAAGTTTTCGAGCATCATTCAATTGATTGATTTGTTGTTCAACAGTCAAGGTAGCCATGACGATGAGGATAACCTTTCAAGGCTGTGGGGAAAGAAGTCGAATATGAACTACTATGGATTGTACTGTGCAAGCTGCATGTGAGAAAGACTACACCGATATCCACTATATTGATTTGCTGAGTTTGTAGTCAAATTGACTCCAAACCATTCTGCGAAGCTGTTGTTGAAAGAATCAAGGTTGACAAACAAATTGTGTTTCTTTGATGCAATATTGGCTGAAGGTAAACGCGACCCTGTTTAAAGTTGCGCGATACTGGCAAGCACCTACCTGGCTCGAGCCTGGTAGGCTTATTTCAAGGTAGCCTTATCGATAAGGCTGAATCTCATAAATTCCACTACTTGGGAATTTCTTTTTGGAAAGTGGCGCCATTGAACCATATCAATATACCAATTGACAAAAGTTCACAAGTCAAGATGCCGTTGTAAGTTCATATTTTGATTCTAGACAATCGAATGCCTTATACTAATAAAGAACAATTATAGAGTTCCTAAGTCTTCCTATTACGATAAGAATTACAAACAATCTGCCGCCCTCATTCGAGCGCGGAGACCATATCTTGTAAAGAATGCTTTGACAGGGGTTGGCATTGCCGCATTTGCCCTTGGAGTTTGTAAGTATCTGCGAGAGTATTTCAAGCCAGTTCAGGGTAATAACTTTGTACAGTTGCTTTCACTATTAGAGCAGTTTCGCAAGACGACTTTGAAGATGTCAAAGTACCAGCCGCACCAACCACACGGGATTCTTGACTGGATTGTGACGACATGACTGAGATCAACAACAGTTCGTGTGTGCCAAATCCCATATACGTGGAGGGGGCGACTTCATAATACCAACTTCGAGCAGACTAGGGGCTACAAAATCACAAGTAGATGCAATGATTTTCATAGATTCAATGGGAGGCGTTTTGATGAAGGAAAACTCTTGGGGATCTCAAGGGCTTTAACTTTGTAGCTTTCTATATTTGAAGCCTCGCGTTATAAATACAGATGGAGCTGGTATTATTGCAATACCGCCTAAAGGTTGAAGGGAATCATATACCATGGGTGGTAACCATCATATCACAGAACGCCGAACCGAATGAATGCTTTTCTGCCGTAACACCCAACATGCCCCTTGAACCATATATTTGCGCCCTCGTAGTCATTAAACTTTACTTGTAAACTCGAACGTGAGTTTGATTTTGTGGAGATGCACGAGTCACTCACGGTGGAGATATGCGGGTCATCTCTTGTACAACGTCCTGTAGTCCGGCGCGTGACGTCTGGTGGATTTGATTACTAGCAACGGGAGGAGCCTGATGATTATGCTGCTCGTTGGAAATGGATAACAGTGGATGAGGAGGTCTAGTTTGCTTTGGTGACAAAGATGGCTGTCGACTGCCCAATGGTGATGGCACGATGGTGTGTGAGTGCGAAGTAATGGAAAAAGGATTATGTGGAGAAACTCGTCCACCAGACGTCATGTATCCATTAGTATGCTGTAGTACCGATGTTGACATATTAGAGAAGGTTCCTGAGATAGGGCCACCTTGTTGATGAGAATGGCGACGGGGCTGTACTTGAACTTGCGACAAAGGACTTGTGGTTCTTGGTGTTTGCTGGGCTGAAGACTGACGCTGTATTAAATGGGAGTTAGAAGGATGCTGCGGATTCGCCCAGGGTGTTTGTTCAATGAACTGTTCTTCCGCCGGCCTATATCGCGATGTCGACCTTGCTGTTCGCAATGCCGCGAACTCTTGCAGCGAAAAGCTTGCAGGTTGATGCACATTTCTAGTCCCCTGTGAAAAAGCCCCGTCAGCTTGCCTGTCCCCTTTTGGACAAAGGTTTCCTTTTTAAACTAAATCCAGCCATGGCTCCCAAATAATGCACTTACTCCTATTGCATTAGTTACACCCATCTTCTCAAAGTCTTCTTCGAGCTCTGCAGGCGTTGCTTGCGACATCGAAGGAGCGGCTGGAAATCCGACATGTTTTGCGATGCCCGAGAGAATAGAAACCTCGTTGGAATATGCTACCTGGTTCTGAACCTGTTGCGATCTTCGAGTGGGGTAGTTCAGAGTGTACTCGGGTACGCCAGTGGAGTAATTTCTTCTATCATGTTGTATTTCGTACCATTGTTTACCTAGTTGCTCCATCTTATTTTCTCGAATTTCTCTCGCTTCTTGACGATATTGAATAAGAATCTGACTCCTCCTCGCGACAGCATAAGTTTTGAGAGTCTGTAGCTCATATTCCCGTAATTTCTCTGCGACACGGATTCTCTCATCTCTCCGTGCCTCGACAGGCTTCATCTGCTCAAGAAGATCGGGGTGCGTTGGATGGTCTTGTCGGAGCATAGCCTCCTCTCGACTTATTTGCTCAAGGCGCGCATCGTATAATCTATAATCATATCAGCGGATGAAACGGTGACCATGAATGTAATCTGACCTGTCCCTAAAGACTGCGAAGTCCTTCTCAATGCCTCCAAGTTGATCAAACGCGCTTATCTTTTTCTCCACTGATCGAATCTACGTTAGAATAATTGTACATGCTTAATTTCAATTTGCTGCAACACAAACTCACATTCTTCTTCTGTCTTTAATACGAGATCTGCTTCATCATCTTCCTCATTATCTACTTGGTCCTCCTCGCCGTTTCGTGTATCATCTTCGCCGTTGGTTATGACGCCATTGTGCAAGCTGTCTGACTCGTCCTCAATATTTATACCATTCTCCACAGCTTTTTTCTTCTTCCTTCCTCGTCTTTTAGGTGACGCCGGTATGCCAGCGGTTTCGGTAGCTTCATCATCGGGAAGCATCGTCTCTGCCACCCCCGCAAGAGCCTGCTCCTGTGGTCCATCAACCTCTTCGCCTGATATATTACCACTTATTGTATTTGATGCATCTTCTTCTACGGGTAATTCGTCGTCGATCGCAAAGTCGTCGCCTTGATTAACTATAGAGCCTGTCCGCTTGGGCAAAGGTTCATCAAAATCATCTTCGAGTCCACCGCTGCCCATTATTGATCGTTTGCGCTTTCTTGAATCGATTTCGGAAGTCGATAATGCTCTCTTTCCTTCGCCCGCAGAATCTTCTAATGACGTACGAGCTGTGACTGGCTTGCGATCTAGCTCACCATCATCGTGGTGAGAGCTTTTAGGGCTATCATTAGAAACGGCAATTTCCTCGTCAGATAATTGGTCTGCATCATCTTCGTCATCTTCCCTCTCATCTGCCATGATCTGGTTGTGTAGTTTGCTTGGGCTGCGCTCGTTCGAATCGGCGCCATTACGGGAATTAAGAATCACATTCTTTTGCACTCTTAGTTTGTGCGGAGATTCTTCCAGTCGCTCTGTCTCTGCTTCAGAATCGTCATCTTCAGAAGGGTTACTAAGGTCGTCTGATGCTTCGGCATCGTCGTCATGATCTTGCTCGGCATCTTTGTCTTCAATATCACTCAGACTGCTAGAGCGATCTTCTTCCACGTCGAGATCACTAAGCTCGTCATCAACCGAGGCTTCGTCAGGTATGATAGGATCAATCACTGGCTCAACGTCAGTTTCGCCACCCATCTTAAGAGTAAATGAATTGTTGCAAAATTGTTGTGGTATTCGTATTGCTATTGTCGCAAAACGAAGCATTAGGAATCAAGGTATATTTATCGGTAGATCCTCGGAATATGAAAGGCGGTCACTAGCTAGTGGCAGTATCACCACCACTGATCCCTGCAAGCTGCAGCTTTTTTATTTTTTTAATGAAGCCCCGAAATCTCAATATCTTGCGTCGTCGAAAGGTAGCATATTACCTGCATTACTTATTTCCAACGAAAAAATAACTTAATCGCAATGGGTAAACGCAGTCGCAACGAGAGTGCTAGCGGAGGGGAGAAAGCCAATGGTAAAGATAGTACTGGTAAATCAATCTTCACTGAAAACAAGGCTGTCGACCCTACTCTGGCCTTGCTATTTGCATCAAGTGTAAGTCTTGAAATTCTGGCATCGCGCAATCTTGCTGATGAATTCTAGGCTGGCCCTGTACAAGCTCCTCCGAAATCTAGATATCAAGAAGCACCTTTGCTTCGTAGAAATGTCGAATCGCAGGAGGGAGAATCATCCGAGGTTTCTGACGACGATGAAGACGCCGAAGATATCAAAATGGGCGAGGGTGACGATGACTTGAGTAGCATTGATGGTGATCTCGAGGATGCTGAGATTTCGGGTCTATCTGCTGAGGAGGATGATACCAACGATATACATGACGAGGCACCCGAATTGGATAAAATCATCGAAGCCAAAAATGAGAAACCCGAACGAAAACGTAAAAGGAAGACCGATGAACCAGATCTTGAGGGAAAGTACCTTGAGAAGCTGGCCAGGGAAGAAGAAAAGGAGGAGGAAGAACGCCAAGCCGAAAGACGATTGAAGCGCCAAAAGTTAGCTGCAGAGCAAAAGCCAGTTTCAGACGAAAATATGGAGGAAGGTGGTTCTGATGAGGAGGACGAGGAGGATGCTGAATCTGATAGCGAAGCCGAGGCTGAGGATGGTACAGAAGAATCTGGTTCCGAGGAGACAAGCAAAAAGAGAAAGACGCCATCCGATGTTCCCTTACATGAATCCCTCGTACCGGATAAGGATGCTGCTGAGCTCGAAAAGGCATCGCGCACTATTTTTCTCGGAAATGTAGCAAGTTCTACCATATCTTCTAAAGCAGACAAAAAGATCTTTATGTCTCATCTGTCCTCTTTCATTGACGATCTTCCTCCTCCCCCAGCTGGCAAACCGTCTCACAAATTGGAATCTCTCCGCTTCCGTTCCACTGCCTACGCTACTGCTGCATTACCAAAGAAAGCTGCTTTTGCCAAGAAGGACATTATGACTGCTACAACAAAAAGCACAAATGCCTACGCAGTCTACTCTACAGCATTTGCAGCCAGAGAGGCCGTTAAGAAACTCAATGGAACTATAGTACTAGATCGACATCTCCGCGTAGATGGCGTAGCGCATCCTGCAAAGACCGACCACCGTCGATGTGTCTTCGTTGGAAACTTAGGGTTTGTAGACGATGAATCTCTTCTTGAACAGGATGGGGAAAATAGCCGCAAACGGTCGAAAATACCCTCTGATATTGAAGAAGGCTTGTGGAGGCAATTTGGAAAGGCTGGTGAAGTAGAGAGTGTACGGGTTATTCGCGACGAGAAAACTCGCGTTGGAAAGGGTTTTGCTTATGTACAGTTTACCGTAAGCTTCTTTCATCACTCAAAATGTTCGAGCCCTTATTAATGCAGAAATATAGGACGCAAATGCAGTTGAAGCTGCCCTCCTTTTCAATGAGAAGAAATACCCGCCGATGCTTCCTCGTGTCCTTCGTGTTGTCCGCGCCAAAGCTCAGCACAAACAAGTCTCGTCCCGACCCACAGCTCGTCAACCAAAATCGTCAAAAACCTCCCAAATATACAATCCAAAGGTTGATCCAAATCAAGCTTCTTTGCAGGGTAGAGCTACCAAACTGTTAGGGAAAGCTGGTGGCGCAAAATTCAAGAAAACCGGGGCAAACGATACGACTTTGGGCTCCAGGGGAGACAAACAAGCCAGTGGAAACGGGGAAGCCAAAAGTGGAATGGCCGGTATCAAAGCACCTGAGAGTTTTGTTTTTGAGGGTTATAGAGCTAGTGCAAGTAAGGGCAAGCCGAAGGATCTCAAGCTGGGAGGAAAGGGTGGTGGAAAGAAGAAGGGTAAACCCAGAACAAGATCGTCAAACAGAGGTGCTGAGTGGAAGAAGCGAGGCTCGAAGTAAGCTTGTGTTGTTTAGATTGTAATCAGAATAATGATATAGTAGAGTAGTAGTATTGGTGAATCAAATACCTGAGAATGGCAACTCTTTGGGTTGGTCTTGACTTTCATATTTTGAATGTACATCTATGGATACGTGAAACCGACTTAACCAAAATTGAAAGATACATTCAAAACATTGCGTAGTCGGATTACTACTTGCACAGTTTTGCAACGAACTGCTCTTCAATCATCACTCCAGCTTCTCTTGCTCCAAAAGTGCGGGGCTGTCTGTGATATACAACACACGTGATACCAAACAATTTTCATGGCCATTTTTTCTATTGAACAACCCAAGATTTTCCTTCCCACATCCACATTCTTCTGAAACCCAATTTCAAGATGTCTGGCTTCAGCTTCTCATTTGCAGGCGATGATATAGAGATAGATTCAGCTCAAGATGCTCTTCCATCTGTCTCCAACCAAGCTGCAGAAACCGGCACCCTTGCACCACAGAAATCGAGCGGGGCATTTCCGGTAGCAGGACAACCACTTTTACCACCGACCTATCACACTTTGGAGGAATTTCTAAAGACATTACCATCTCAGATTGCTTATTCCACGCTGGTCGTTAAGTTGGATGATGGTAAGGAGATTGGTATTCCAAGAAGGGAGTTATGGGATGTTAGAGCGCAGCTGATGGCTGAGGATGAGGGAAATGGGGAAGGGCTTTTGGGATTGGGAAATGATGATGTGAAGACGGGGGTTTATGAGGGAGGGTTCAAAAGTTGGGAAAGTTCGGTGGATTTGGTTAAGGTTCTCAGTGGGAGGACAATTGTTGGGGAGGGGAGGAGGAGAGTTTTAGAGGTATGTGTTATTTTCATTGAGACTTGGATCACGTTCAAATCGCCAAGAGCAATCATACTGATGAATCTGATAGCTTGGTTGTGGAACTGCTCTTCCATCTCTAGCAGTCTTCCAATGGTTCCTGGAAAACACAACCTCTTCCACATCCGGGCTGGATCTTGGACTTGCAGACTACAATCCTACAGTCCTACAGCTCGTCACCTTGCCCAATATTCTCCTTTCCTGGGCGCAGATCACAAAATCCGAGTCTTGGGAGGCAGAAGGCGAACTCGATATCGATGAGGCACTTATCTCTGAATTCATCTCTGCGCTGACTTCTCGCAACATCAAAATATCACTCTTCTCCGGTGCTTGGTCCTCGGATTTTGTCTCTCTGGTCACTGATAAACTGCATCTATCATCCGAGAACACAATCATTATTGGAGCTGAAACTATTTACTCTCCAGCTGCTTTGAAATCGTTTGCTGAAACTATGATGGCATTACTTGATTTAAGCACAGGGTCAAATAAGACGGCGTTGATAGGGGCCAAGAAGGTATATTTCGGAGTTGGCGGTTCAATAGAAGATTTTATCGAGGATGTTACAGCGCGTGGAGCTCTTGTAAACCAGGTTAGGGAAGAGTCGGATGGTGTTAGAAGAGCTGTTATAGAAGTTGTGAAAGCAGGCTGAAAACTAAATTTGTAATCATGAGTCATATTCGTAAGTTCCCAGACATTGGTGATGAGCTTTCGACCGTGTTAGCAAGATTGAGGAGTGATCTTTTTTTGTTAGTATCCTTGAATATTTCTCCTACATCCCCAAATCATATTCTGCTACGACAATAACTTGTATCCCCGCATGTTTGAATACGTATCAGGAAGTTTCTGTGATTCAATTCGGTTTGATCATTTTCCATTTCTATTTATCGTCCCAAATACAGCAAACGTTGCCCTCCTACAACTCTTCAAATCAAATTCTGTCAGACCTCATCGGGGCACACATAGTCCTATCTTGGAGGCATTCATAATCAGGTGAACTTTAGCCATATGCTCGATCAGTAGCAAAGCTATCAAGCCCTCAACACCTTCAGTTCCCTTTACTGTCTTTACAATTCCATTTCAACACTTCTATCCACTTAACTTCTTACTCTTAAGCTCAATGGTAACGCATCCCTACTCTAACTTTGTTTTGGCATATAGTCATAACGTCGATAAGTTAACTTTGTGTTCCTTGGATGACACTATCTATCAATATTCTACAGAGAGAGAGGACAATTCTGAAAGATCTTGCCAGTTCATCCAACTCCACGGGAAACACCCAATTATCTGTCATCCGAATACAACAAATTTGTCCAAAATATAAAAGAGCATTGAATTACAAATTGCATGTTGTATCCCCAGCTAGCCCATACATTACACTCGGCGTACTCTGTACCCTCAGCGGTACAATAGAGTAGATCCAGCTCATTCAAATAACAACAAGCATATAGTGAATCACAAAAGAAGATGCTCTTCCATGTCAGCCATCATGTATATATACATGCGCCATTTTCAAAGAAGAGAAATTTCGACCTCGGGAAGCCAAAGAAGCGACGACAAAACATGTGAGTGGGACCCTACTCATAAACATCAATATCAACAACAACAACAACAACAACAAAAAGTCTCCAGCCAGGTAAACGAGCCTTCGAAAAAAGAGCCCACCAGCAAGATATCAAGATATCAAAACATGTAACGCAGCGCTGATCAAGCGCTGAGATGTTTCCCATATCGTGTTTACGTCACAATACAAGTCGTCAACACACAAGACTCTGCATGGGTTCGGATGTAGCTCGAGAGACAGAAACTGAACCACTGAGCCACGATCCTCAAACCACTCACGTTGGTCGGCTGATGTGATTGTCCTGCAGTCATGCGATATCATATAAACTCGAATGAGAATTCTCGCCTATATATAGTTGAGTAATGCAAATTTATCCAGTATATGGATTTGACAGTACGTAGCAAACGGATGTATTAAAGAGACATTTTTATTCCCTGGTCCAGATGAATATTTGTTTTGATAATGATTTACCTTCAGCCTTGAATACCTAGTAGTTTCTACTTCCAATCCCATACTTGTGTTGTGCAGATCGCTGCGACGGAGAAGGAGTACACAAAGGCGTAGTATCGTTAGTAAGTGCAAATACAATGAGGATTTAAAAAACGGAGAGCTGATACTCGAAGTGATTATGATTCCACCGATTTCAAAAAGCTAGTTCGCCCCGCGGTTCAAGCCCACGTCCGCGACCAGATTGTTGATATAAGAATAGTATACGACCGGCGTTACATGCGAAAAATCGGTAGAATCGCTTCGAGCCACTCTCAGGTGACTTCCAATAGCAGATGGGCCACTTCAATCACGAGATAACAGATCCCTTCCAAAAAAAAATCTTAGCCCATGTCGCATATCTCTTTCAGATATACGATCGCGATAAAAGTCGCATTGCAGGTGGGCATTTATTTGAAGCTCGACGAATAAATACCTGAGTAATTTGCTTTTCCTCATGATTTCACAGTTGTACCAGCGCGCTTTCACCGTTTTCGAACGGTTTATCACACATGTCTCGCTATCGTTTAGAAGACTCTTCCAATCCCGTCGTTGATATATGGATTCAATGCTTGATTCGATGTAATGCATGAATGCCAATGCTTCTCTTCTACATACTCCACATTTTTATTCCGACCTATCTTCAAATTGTGCGCATCCTTTCCTGCGAGAGGAGGATCTTCCGCATTGTTTGGATCGTGAGAGAAGGACACTATCGGACGTAGACTGCAGAACTCAACACCTCGTTTCGTGAAACCAACATGCACCGATAAGGAATCAAGCACTGCCAGTGCAGTATAGATGAAGATCTTAAAGCAACTCTCATCAGCCACATTCATCACAATGACGCTACTCTGCAGATATCTGACCGTGTTCGGCTGGTCTCAAGAATCCTCCAGCTGCAGACAAAGGGAGCGCATAGCCCTATCAGACGAAGTCGTCGATCACTCGGTATATCCGAATATAATACTATGCGGTTTCAGTGCGAAAATCCGTCACTTGACATGATCAGTATTATGCGTTTATAACGACGATTTGATTCGTCAAATAACAATAGACGTCTGTCGCTCAACTGCCAAGCATGTGGACGAAACCCAAATATGAGCCTACGGAGAATAAGCTGCCAATACATCAAGCTAATGTAGCGCACTGTAATAATGCATATGTACAACCTACAATCAACGCGATACAATGCATGCAGTACTCTATTGCGTTGCGCATCACTAGCAAGTACCCATGCACGTTGGATGGATATATAAAACCATGTAAGATGTGATATCTCGGCTTGAACGGCACATTATAAGAACGTCGGGCTCATCAAGTGCTGAGGATTTGAAATTACTGCTCAATCCGCTGGGTGCTCATCTCATCCTTCATTTCGCTCACGCCGATCGAAGGGACGCACCCCCGGATTGAGCCAACTACTTGTTATAGGCGCGCTCACCCTCAACAGCCAGCCTTATGCATGGCTCGATGTCAGCCATTCATCGCCAAGAATGCCAAAACGTGCCATGCCCGCGATGTGCTCACGCCACTGAAGTGATGGCGCAAATTATGGCTGGAAGGAAGGAGCCGCCCTGTCGGGACATACGGGCATATTACACGACGGCAGGCATCCACCTTCGTCATATTTGTGAGACAGGTTGGTAGACGGACAAAGTATATGCTTGAGATGGACGTCTCCCGTTTCGAGGCCTGCGCACGTGGGAGATAGTGGTTCGGAAGAGTTTTCGAAGCGAGATTTTGCCGACTAGGAGAAATTCCGAAGTAGATTGGTGTATAGGCAATACGGTTCAGGTGATGGATAGATAATCGATCTAATTGCAAGCTCTTATCAATGATGTTTGTCAGAAAACATCGAAATCGCAAGGAAAAGACAAAATCGGTCACCGTACAGATGCAGGGACTGCAGCATCCTCACCGATATTCCCAGGACATGCATTCATCCCAGATCATGGGCTGCCCCACCCGGCCGCTAGGGCCAACGCTTAATCCAAACTCCGGAAAACCTGTGAAAAGTTGCGAGACAAGAACGTGTTGTTTTCTCGGTACATGATTGGTGCACTCCAACCTCATCTTTCAACAATAAAGGGAAACCAAGAAGAGATTGAACGGGAGTCCAAATTTACATTCGACATGAAATCCGCCAAGTTCTTCTTATGCACGATAGTAAAAAAGTTTTATCTGACAGATTTCTTCGATGGAATATGTGCCGTCTTGGAAAGCTTGTGCTAGTTAGAACTCACCCAAATGCTTCAGAAGGGAAAGTATCGCGACAACGGGCCATCCAAAATATCAAAAGACCGTTGCAAAATGATAGCTACAATATAAATTAATTATCTGGGGCACCCGCACATGGTCTCTGACTCTACTCAGCGGGGGATAGTCACAACAACTTGAATAATAGTGCACAGCAGGTAAGTGGAGAAACATGCCGTTTTTTCATCTTGACAGAAAGAATGGCAACGATTTGCTACAAGACCCCCATGAACATTGATTTTAAGCCAGGGTTTTGGATAATAGACCCGAGGAAGACTCAGGAAGTGCATGCTCTCACTGCTCAGCCATGTCTCAAAGCAGATAACCTTAAGAAGCTACCGTGGCTTGCTCCGTGTCGTCCGATTTGGACGTTTAATTCAAGAACAAAGTGGGGGACGTGGCCTTAATTTTGACGGACTTATCGTTCAATTTCACGATATTGATACCTGTCAAGTAGGCTATATGTATAGGATCAACGAGAAGCTACTGATTGCATCAGGGCACTTGAATCCATTAAGTTTGAATCCAACTGTACACTTGCTACAAAGTATTTGGTATTACAGAACTCGACAAACCTCGGGGAATTTTCTTGGTATTGGTGTTCCGGATCGAGGAAGATAATTTATGACGAACCAACTGGTTGTGGGAAGTTCCTACTCTCCTACTGTGCCTATCTAGGTAAGCTCCTTATGTATTCACAAGCGAAAGTTACAGCATCAATCTAGACCAACGAATAGCTGCTGCATCTCGAACCAAAAAAGAACAGTTATTACATTACTTTTACACACTCAGTAACCTTAAAGCGATTTAAAACGGCCAAAATTATTAGAATTTACTATACGAGTAGAGGCAATTTGTCGAGAAAGTCTGTTACTACCTACCTTATCAGTAGATAGCACTAGATGATGCATTGATTTATTTCATTCTCGATACTAAAATAATCGTCTCAATTCTCAAGTCTCAAGTGATTTTAGTTACCTACCTAGGTATCTTTAGCAAGCAAAATTCTTTAGCTCAATTGATATTCGCATCACAACCCAATCAAACGTCATGCTCCTTCATTAATCCCCTGTTCAATCCCATCTGAATTTTCTAGACTGGATTAGCACGTGACTAACATTACACAAATGGAAAATGGAAAAGAAAGATCTCTCAATGCGATCCATAATCGGTTTGCCCTCCAGTCTCGACGGATCAGACTGGAATGATCATATCTGCCGAGCCTGCCTAGGTAAGTAATGGATATGTGGCAAATTCCAATCGAGTTCCACCACCGCCCCAGCCATATAATAAATCAAACGACGGAACGACCAGAAGCAAAAAGACAAGTCAACTTGATCCGATTAAAATATATCCACCAAAGTAACTAGACCAATCTAAGTTACATTGATTTTCCTCGGTTTCTTGAAAAATCCCACCCAGATTTCGAAAAAGTCCACTTTGCCCCACCTGAAAGTTTGATGACCCACTTCGGAGTACTCCTACTTTATCCATTTTTTTCATGCTACCAATCTAGGATACCAACCTACCTGGTACATGAACATGGACCACCGTAGTGAAGAAAAAAAAAGGTAGGCTATGATCTAATTCCTTATTTATTTCATCTCCCCCCAATTGCTCTTTCTCTTCCTTTCTCTCCATCGACAGATTTTCTTCATTTCCCCCTTCATTGCCCAAGCAATAAGGGCTTCGTCGTCAAATTCCTCAAATCTCTCACCCTTTGAGGTATCGGTCGCCAATTCTCAACATGGCGAATCTTGTTCACGCCCACGAACATCACAATCCTACCAATATGGGGATCATTGGTCTTCCTCATGGGCCGGAAACCGGTGATGACCATGTGTCGATATACGATCTAGGAGCTGATGAAGCTATTTTCAACGAGTTTCTCTACCCCGATGACATTTTCACAGCCGACCATGTTTATTGGGCAGATCTCAAATTGACAGACAAAATCTCCTTCATCACTAGAACTGAGGGGGCGGATGCAAAGAAAGAGATCAAGGCAATTTTGGCAATGATGAAAAAGGACCCCCTCAGTCCTGTCAGTTGGTATTTCAGCAATGCTGTTCTCCCTGGTGCTGGTTTGGGTCTTGAAGGGTATGCCAATTTTCGTGATTTATATTTCCAATACTAATCATCTCTTCAGATACGTTCTCTTCTCTATCGGAAACTTGGGACCCCTCTTCTCAGCTGTCTGGCCGCATTGCTGGAAAACTTTCGAGGTTTGTAGCGAGCAATGGACTTATGCTGTGACTTACTTGGAAATTATTGGTATTATTGTTGGTCAAATCTTGGTCGGATACTTGGGTGACAAGATTGGCCGCCGTTGGGGTTTGATCCAAGATGCTGTCATTATGTTTCTTGGTCTGGTCATGCTCATCGCTTCTTGGGGTGTTACTCTCAATGGCTGGGTCATTTGTTATGCCTGGTCATTGTTCTTCTATGGTATTGGTGTCGGTGGTGAGTATCCAATGACAGCCACTGCTGCTATGGAAAGCGCCACTGCATCAAACCGCCAAACAACCAAAATGGACAGACTCCACCGTGGCCGCAAGGTAACCATGGCCTTCCTTATGCAAGGTTGGGGTCAATTCTTTAATCAAGCCATTCTCATCCTCTTGCTTCTCATTTTCCATCATGGAAGCGGAAACCCACCTTACTCCGAAGTCTCAGCACAATGGCTGTTCAGAGTCTCATTCGCCATCCCCGCTGTCGGTACTCTCTGGCTTGTCTATTACCGCATGTATAAGATGCCCCTCATCTCCAAAGGACTCGATATTGCCAAGAAGACTACAAACGTCACTGGATACGACAAGGAATCTCTGACCTTGACAGTCAAGCATTTCTCAGGTCGCTTGATTGCTACAGCCGGAGCCTGGTTTTGCAACGATGTCTTCTTTTACGGCAACAAACTCTTCCAATCTCAATTCATCAAGGTTATCTCTCCAGGCTCAACTTCAATTATGGAAGGGTGGTTATGGAACTTGTGTAACGTCGGAGTATCTCTTGCTGGATATTATTGCGCATCGTTCCTCATCGACAACAAGCTCTACGGACGAAAGTGGATGCAACAAGTTGGATTTGCCTTGGATTTCATTCTTTTCGTCATCCCAGCTTTCCATTACGCCCATTATACCAGTATCGCTGGTATCAAGTCTTTCCAGGCCATGTACTTCTTATCGTCCTTCTTCAACCAATTCGGTCCAAACAGTGTTACTTTCCTCGTCGCTGCAGAGGTTTTCCCCACACCTATCCGCGCCTCCGCACACGGATTTTCAGCAGCTGTTGGTAAATTGGGCGCTTTATTTGCATCTGTTCTTTACAATTTCATTACAACCCAGCAAAAGTTTTACGTTGTCCCATGGTTCGGTCTTGCTGGTATGCTCCTCACCGCCGTCTTCCTTCCAGATACCACCGGTCTTGATCTCAAGGAACAAGAACGAAGATGGAAGTACATCAGATCTGGTAGGGAATCTGAATATCATGGTATCGCCATTCATCCAGCACATTTGTCCCTATGGGAGAGATGGATGAAGGCTGGCAAGAACTATGATCCTAAATTGGATGCCGGAGACAAGATTCTTGAGATGCGTCAAGAATGGGAACTCAAACAAACTGAGAAGGGAAAGAACGAGGAGGATATCGCGACTTATGACGATGACTGGAGCCAGGAAATTCACCAATATTTCCGTTCTGATAACAGCCCGAGAAGAACTCGCGCGCCAACTCGTGTAAAGCCGATTTCCGAATCTACAAGTGATGAAATTACGAGAGAGAAGTAGCTAGACATCTGTTAATTTCTTGGGCTTCTTACGGCGTTTTGGGCTGGTATTTGGACGGGAGATTCCCCCAGAAACTTGTACAACTCGATGTTGGAAAAGTTGTTTAATCATATAAATATTTACTCATAACGATCACACTGGCCTGCATGCCTTTGGTGGGACGAGATATATAGTACCTAATGATAAAGATTTGATCTTACAATGATTGTCGTCTGGTATAGACTTGAAGTGACTTTTGATTTCCCGGTTCTAATTCGACGATAAAATTGTCCTTGATCCAAGCCAAGCTAATAAACGTCTATCATGCATACTTCTGTAGTGTATTTTAACGCGCAATTCAAATTCACATGTCATCGTTTTATATTCATCGATGACATGTGAATTTGGGCCGGTGAGTGCACGGCCCCATCGGTGCCAATGACTTCAGATGAAATAGACCTTTTTGGACTTGACACGAACACATCTTGAAGCTTAACCACCAGATGATAATTTTACATTCTTCTGCATCTACTGGACTCATGGAGATCAGTCATATCATCGGGAACGCTTATTGCGGGATCTTAGCTTGGTCATCTTTCCTGCATGAGATGGATACATGCAGCCACAATCACGGATGGCCCCCAAAACCTCACGATAAGCGTTCGAAGTACCTTCTGTGTTTGTTTGGACATACATGATGGTGTGTACATCGAGATGGTTTGGTTAATTTTATTGGTTTACTATATGTGTAAGCGTGTAAGGCTTACATACCATCAGCGCTTCATCGAGTATCTGTTTGTGCGGCTCTGAACTGCAAGGTTATACGTAACCTGGAAGATGGTTACATACCTAGGTAAGATGGCCTTACATTGAGGCTGCACATTAGATGAGCAAACAATCAGAAGATTTCTTTTCCCTACCATTGCTCTATAATTACTGTTCATACCTGATCAAAAACAAACAATCAATTAGAGCATATCGCTATATTTCTTTATACATGATTTCCTTGCATCTCTGCGTGCATCAAAAATGGAAATTCATGGTGGAACTGATTGGCATAGGGATTCGGAAATTTCAATGATTCAGTTGAGATCGCCCAAGACTTCTCTCTCCACTCGAACCTCGACTGGCGACAATGAGGTTCAATCGCAAAATTTTGTGCCACTCAACAGCGCTGAAACATCAGAAAGTGTGCTTGTTAGACTCAATGGCCGCCCAAAATATGAAATAGATGAATTACCTTTCAAAGGAAGTCCCTCTCTAGGAGACAAGCCAAGCACTACAGAAGTCGAGTGAGATTAATTTCTGCTTCCAATAATATGTTTATGACTGACAGAATGGCAGCATAATCGGAGTTCCTGCTATTGGAGGAGATCCAGAGATGACGTGGATGCCTGAAGCTAAATTCACACAGGGCGGGCTCTTTTCAACTGAGAACGATAGAGATATAAAATCGGCATCAATGAGAATGACTCCTGTGTCGCCAGCTTACTCGACGAAACATTTTCATAGAAGAAAGCCTGCGTGGATTGTCCGCGATATTCGTAGCCACAAGAACCTGAGCAAGGCTCGAGTTCTTTTGTATGACCATGGGTATCCGAAAGAAGGTGATACATTGAAGCAATTAGCCACTAGGCTTTTGGATAGCATCAGGAAGCTAAGGTCATTCGAGGTATGAAGAGCATGGTATTGGTAGATACCTCAACTCGAATTGTTGCACCTGTGAATTTAATCAAAACCCTTGCCTGACATATACACAGAAGGAACATCGACCCCTTTTTTTCGTCTGTCACAGTACCGGGGGACTAGTACTCAAACTAGCTCTAACCGATGCTCGAAGGCTCAGAGATCCTATTCTTCATGATTGTTATGGCGTCACTTTTTTCGGTATGTCCAAGAAGGAAGCCAATGAAGGGCTTACCCATTCATGCAGCTAACGCAATCATAGCAACACCACACAGAGGCTCAAGTTATTTATCGCAGCCAGCATTTTCTGGAAGTATCCGCACGATCATGGATTTATCACGGGAACTCCCAATATCTATAACAAGGCAGCTCGAACTAGACCACCATTCTCTGAAGCAAATCGGGAAAGACTTTAAAGCTATAGCCACGGAACTTAAAGTGTGGACCTTTTTTCGAGACAATAGATTCGAACATTACCGGTCTCGATCAAGGAAAGCCTTTTCATGCACCTATCACATCTATTAAATCCGCAATACTTAATCTGCGTAACGAAAGTGTATTTCCATTGGTGAGCACTCATACAAAGTGTGCCGCGTTTGGCTCCGCAAATGAGCACACCAAAGAAGCTTATTTGCCGGCACTAGCCGCTCTGGTCGAGCAAGCTTGCAAATTGAGTAAAGAAACCCACTTTGAACTAAATCTCGAGCACAGAGTGGAGGTAGAGATCAATGGGTTCTATGAAGGCTCTGCTACCATCTCAACTAACGAGCCTCCAATCAGAGTCTGGTCAACAAACAGATCTCTTCACGATTTTAGACGAAATGGTCCGACCAAACTTTTGAAGGAACGAAGGGAAGAAGTATCAACTGCTCCAGGGACTGGCCAATATTTACGTCGCAATGCCAGAGCTCCATATTTGTCTATAGATAAGGTCACTTCTGATGACAACAATATTGATGATGATACATTGGATACCGACAAAAAATCGAAATCGAAATCGGAATTGAGGCTTTTTAAGAGAAGTTCAAGCTGTCCACCTGAAAGTAGACGAGAGCTGAACAAATTCGTAACCCTTGAGTTTATGTGGATACATGTACCGTTCAACAATCCCACCTGGGTCCCAGTAAGCTCTATATTTCCCAGATTATCTCTTTCTACTGACTCAAAAGGATATTCTCGAAAGAATATCAGTCGAAAAGGGGTCAGATGTTCACAGTAAAATGCTAGATCACGAGCACTGGCATTCAAAACATGTACGTGGAAGGTATCAAGAACATCATCATGCTTGTTTCTTAAAGCCTCATTGTTCTTTTTTTGGCTTAGAAAGTGGTAAGTCTATTCTCCTATACTACATACATCTGCTTACGCACGTTTGAATTAGTATTGCCATTAGCGCCTCCTAAAATTGGCATTGGTTCTGTCGACATGAATCATGTCCAAATGTGCTTATATTTGCCTTATCTTCACTTTGATACCTATCAGGCTCTTGTGAAAAGGAGAGCTTTCGTGAAACAAAGAATCAAGCAAGGCCGATCGAGACCTATTCCTCAACAAGTTTCAAAGCTTGACTCGCAAGAGATTCAAGTCCTCTGGCAGTATTTGGGACACGACCCTCCAATAAACGCTCGGCGTACACTAGATCAATTTGCATATCCAAGTCTTCTCGATACAAGCGCGAGAGATAAGGGTCAGATGTTGTATAAGTTAACTAAAGAGCGACACATAGAGCCAAATATTGAAACATATCATTCTGCTTATGGACAAATAAATGCAGCTCGGGTGACAAGGCTAGCCAAAGAAAGCGAAGGAAGCGACTTATCCGCTGGAAATACATCGATTCCGACGACCCAAGCGATAGCGATTTGGCGTCTGACGATAATGCTGAAGATGGGACTGTCCTCATGGTTGATCAGTTTTGGCTATGGGTCGTTGATGTTACGTAAAATTGACGTGCAGAGTTTCAAAAACTAAATATGGCGATTAGGATCTCTTATCACTTTCTTTCCTAGAGTAAGATACTTTGAAGCTAAGATTATCGATGGCCTATAATCACTAATTTCGACATAGAACTCAGCTGCAAGCGAAAGGGATTTTATATCAACAAGGGGATCTTCGAGACAGCATTTTCAATGAAGTCAACGGTGACCTTATTTCTCGCTGTGAGAATGCGTATGACCTTGCGGCTTGTGAGCAAATTTGTCTTTCTATTCCTATACTCCCTTCGACCTAATTTATCTTGATGTTTCATATCTTGCAATCTCTTCATGTTTTAAGTAGCTTCACCTCCTTGGTCAAGTGCCCTGGAGGTAGCTAATCATAAGTACCTAAGCAATTGCTGACTCACTAAAATTCAAGTGGCTACCCTTCATGCGGTAACTGTCTTATTCGAACGAACTTCTCATGCTGACTTGGAGGTCTTTCGAATATTTGAAGGGGCGATCAGTATTATGGCAAGTGTTGTAACGAATGACTGTATCCTTCCTTCTCTAATTGAACAATTAGACAGAGAAAATGTTTAAATACTTCCAAAATTTACGTACACAAGCTTTTCGAGATGAAGCGGAAAAACGGGCGACCTTAGAATCAGTTCTATTCGTGCAAAAAATCAACGCGAAAACCAAATAGCGGAAAGACAAAATCGTGAAAACACATCCTTTCTCCTAGAACTGCGGGATATTGAAGATGAGTTGAACATTTTGAAAACATTGTTTACTACTCAAATGACAGAAATTAGTAAGATGATTAAGTCCTATGGGAGAATGAATTCCACTGAGAATGGGCGATTGTACTTGATGAATGCGAAGGAGTATCTGGAGAAATACACTCAGCAGGTCGAGAGGATGATCGAGAATTTGAGAGGTACTCGAGATGAGGTATTGAAGCTGATCACAATTTCCGATTCAGACCTGCTGCTAATCGAAAACAGTTCGACAAGTTTCTAGCAATGACTCAGACACAGACACAGGCTAGTCTATATCTTCTGTGAGAGGAAAGTCAATCATTAATCCTTTGTAATAGGTTCGCCTTGCAAGGCTACAGGCGGATCTTGCCGACGCTAAAAATAGATCTTTCATGATATTCACAATGGGTTCATCCAATATTCGTGACGAGCTGGACTAATTTCTATTGAGAAAAGGTCTTCACGGTCATTTTTGTATGCTACCTACAACCACGTCCACAAGCTCTGAACTGATCCCTTTCTATTAGCTGCCACTTAGTTTCTTCACAGGTCTTTTCGGGATGAACGTCCAGTGGGTTCTCCTATCTCTACTGACTCATACTTTTGCCATATCACAGGCTAACATCATATCAGAGAATGGGGTGGTGGTGATTACCTTCCACTTCGCACTGTAGGTGCAATCGCAAGTATGAAAAAATTCCCTCATCCGTTCCAAGAGATAGGGTTGACAGAATTCCACCCCAAAAGTCCCGACATCCCCTGCCCTTATAACACTTGCATTTGTCATTGCCTGGAGCATCCGTGTTCGTCGTGTCTTCAATTTCATTGGGAAAAAACTTTCGCATATCTACCCTAGTATATACAGCCATGTCAACAAAGCCATCGACAGAATTCTTGAGACCGAGAAGGACTCTGGAAAAAGAAGCAGGATGAAATAACTAAGGCAAAGGAAAAAGAAGAGAAAACTAGAAAAATCATAAAGAGCGTAGGGAGAATGACTATTAGATATCGAACAAAAATGCGGAAGAGTGGGCTCAGTGCAGAGAGTAGTATTGAGTGAAAGCGATGGTTAATTCATAAATCCTTATCTACTTTCTATATGCTGTCGTTGTAGGCAAAATGACATATTCAAACAGGAAAGACTATCATTGCGCGAAAACTCGCGCCCCCGGCATTCTAGTGAAATCACATCAAATCTTCTCAATTTCATCCCTTTACATTAAACCATCACTTTACTATTCTTCGGGCCCAATCATTATTTGTCTTGAGAATCTACTCGACGCCAGTGATCCGCCATTGTGTGCGACCACAAACCTCTGGTCTATAGCATCTCCCTACCACAGACGAGGACAACCAAAGACAGCAATGTTAAATATGAAGAATTGTATTCTAGTTGCCGTAGGCTAGAATCTGAGGAGTGCAAGAGTAAATCGTCTTTAAATTTTGGAGTGAGAGTAATTCGCCGTTCAATAACACATCAGCATATATTCAAACTTCAGACTATTTTTCATCCGAATGTCGAAATAAAAATATTGAATTTAGATTATTGTATTACAAAGCTACACGATCATGATTTAAAAGTAATTTTGTGAAAAGTCAAAAGCGTTTTAATGAATTTGCTGCTGTCTCTGGTTGTCCTTGGCTGCATCTCCACGAAGAAAGACGATGTCTCAATCTCATCACCGTACTGAAATTACATTCCACTTTCCGGAATCACAATATACGCGCTTCTTTCCCAATCTCCCATGTTAGAGAAGTAGTGACTACATGCTTCATCAACACATACACAAGCTTCATCAAGGACATCAATGAATCTTCCACATCGACAGAACGGATTCATCATATCATTGTCCAGAAGGGACAGTGATACAAATCCAAGCGGGATGCCATCTAGGAGGGAAAGCATGTCGAAATTACTTGATAGCCAGCTATTCTCAACTTCTAGTCGGCGGTAAGTTAGTAATTCGGTTTGTACAGCTGCCCACAGTTTTCCTACAACATCGCTTCGTCCATAGAAATTTTTGTTCAGTTCGTCGTGATCGCATAATGGAGAATGTGTTTCCGTTTCCTCTTCACTTTCATCTTCATCGTCACGTCGCTCATCCATGTCGACGTCACTATCACTGCCGTACTCTAGAAAAGCCGAGAAATCTTCGCCGCGATCCATTGTGTTCACACTTGAACGTGTTGTGATTTCACCGGATCTTCTTTCATTTCCAGCGTAACGTAAAACACTGCAAAAGACGTCCCATCCCAATCTTGCATCGGAAGTCCATGATGACATAAGTGTGCTTGGGATCTTATCCGCAATATCAATCGGCTCAAGAAGTTCATGACTGCATTCATATGCATTGTCTTGACCTCTAAGGGCTTTCATCGAGATAGCTGCCCGATCAAGAGGATTTGCACCATTTGCTAAAAGGCAAACCAGAACTGCAAGTATACCAAAAAGATTCTCATCTTCGCACCCACTTTGTGCAAGATGAAAAGCTACCAGGACAAGTGAGTGGAGGGGCAATAGCTGGAGTTTGTGCCCACAGTTTTGACAGTGTTTCAAAAAAAGCCCGCTTGGTGTGTCGATCTTAGGGGCGTATGATGGTCCAAAAACACGGCCTATGCAGTGACAAATGGTTTGGACGGAGGTATGACAGAACATATGCTTCCAACCGATTGGGATGGAAGCATTCCCTTCAGCTAAGTGAGAGCGGACGCACGGTGAATCAGCATCCCATCTTCCACAAATGTCAACTTCTTCTCCCGACCAATGATTCAGATCTTTGAAAGAATCGTCCACAGTGACTGGTGCGCAAGACGTATGTGATTTCAGGATTGCCATCATGAGATTATCCAAGACTGTGTGGCCACGATCGTTGATGAAGAGCTTGCGCACAGAGTTGCAAATGCCCATATGATTCATCAATGCGTCAAGAATATTGCAACATGTCTCAGACCCATCTAAAAAGCTAGTTGCTAGATGTAAAGGGTAGAAATGACTATTCTGCACGACTGTAGTTTCGATTTTGGGTAAAATTTTCCAAAATAGCTTCGGGTTCCTGGTCATGATGGCGAAGCAAAAACACTCCATCAACAAAGCAGCAGAAGAAGTTTTCGCAGCTTCCTTCAGTGACATGGTAGTGATGGGCAGATCCGAGGCGCAGATGATACTGAAGCGATTATTTTTCAACGCAGCTTTCAGCTTTTTCGCAAAGTTGGTGGGACTGCGATTGGCTGTCCATCTTTTCCAAGTACCAGGGTCACGGGTATCAGCATCTCCATTCTTCTAGTCTTCACTTTCTGGTTCTTCACTCTCCGAGTCTTCGCTGTCGCTCAAGCCTTCCGAATCGACAGAACTAGGACTCGATGCTCCTGAGTGATAGAAACTGTACACGTGAATAGCCTAATGGCATAATTGAGCTGGATGGCGATTTGAATCCGATGCTTCACCAATGACACCAATGGCACCGCTACTCCCAGGGGTTGCTGGTATCTCTCCATTGAAGTTTGGCGTATTTGACAAGCATGGCGATACTTCATCTCGATAGCGATCAAATTCGAGCATATCTGACGTCCAATTCCTTGGCCCGACGCCCCAATACTTCGCCGTCATGAAGGAGAATAGCCAAAATTGATAGAGCCATGTTGTTAGTGCCCTGAGATGATGTTAGGTACAGCCACTATGTGTGCGGGTTATATGTAGCCTGTTGCAATATGTGCCTTACATTTTCTCACGTTTGCCCATACGCTGTAAAAGTGTTTCGTGATGACCACCAAGAAAAAGGTCGGTTCTTTCGCGCTGTTCTTTTTCTCTTAGTACAATCAAATTAGGAGATGGCGCATCTAACATCGATGGGTCGTTAATGAACGGACTGCCTCCAATCCTGTTGGCAGCCGGACTGACTACAGAGATATCGATTGGCGTCAAGTTTGTTGTCCGGTATGGGGATCGATGATCGGCTACTGCAGGTGCAGAAGATGCGAATGCACGAGATGGCAAGTTCCAACGTATGAACCTAGCAACAGTATCAGTAATCAATGATTGACATAGCAGATGTGTTAGAGATTACGTATTTCCACCCGAGTATAGTACTGCCACATCTTTTGTGTGTGTCCTCTTTTGCTCAAGCATGTATCGACGAAGCTGTTTCTTCTCTATCACAGCTCCTTTGTATTTAGTAACAGCAGTAGATGTGCTATCGTCCCGGACGCGTTTTCCGAGGGCAGTGATAGCAGCTTCCTTTTTCTCTTTGGGGACGGACTTCGTGAAGTTCCATATCTTCAGCCGGTACTTGTACTGGCTTCCGCTGTGAATGAATAGTCAGTATGAAGTGCCTAGCTCATTCATGGTGAGTAATCTTCACTTACAGAGCTGAGAATTTGTGATCTTCTTTCATTATTCTAGCGACGTCTGCTACGCTACGATTGTCATCGATGTATAAGGAACGTATTATGGGCTGAAAGAGATCCCATCGTTTATCGTAAGGAACGCGAAGGAAGTAAGGGTCCAGTTCTTGCGATATGCTCGAAGCCATGAGTAAGAGAAAATGATGTGTTCAAAACAGATCCTTAAGACTATGATCAAACATACGAGGGGAAATTGACCTCTTATATAGCTAAATCACAATGGCGAATGCTACCATATCAATGCTCGAAAGGACGAAGTACTTGGGAAAGTTTCACTGGGCCGTTCAAAAAGCATGTGGAAGGTTGCTTAGATATTGCCAAAGGCGTCTTTAGCCGGCCGATGGTGGGTGCATAATAGCACCACGTCCCGACTGTGCATTCGGTGAGTGGGCGGGTAATAGAACAATCGAGCAATGACCAATCGGCGTCAATCAGAACGTTGCATACTCACACTCACTTATAGCCTCAGGGGCATTGTTATGCACACCATCTAACACAGCGTGAACAAAAGGACAATAGCCAATGATCATTACGAAACAAAAGATATCATTCTGCAAGCACAGCTCGCACAATCTGCTTCCGATGCGACATCTAACAAGGGTGAGAGCTCAATCGCCCCGGACTGTTGGGCAAGGATTCGTTTAACCGAGAACAAAAGTTGAACAGCGAATTATCATCAGTTATATCTTTGGACAAAAGAATACAACCCAACCAGAAAGAGGATTGTCACTAGCGGCTGCTAAATGATGCTGCAGCTTATGAGCATGGGAAGAGTACCTAAACAATGAATTACTACACCGAATTTCCACAAATTCAACGCTTTTGACAGTCAAATGTAACCCTCATGGGAAATTTTAGCTTGGTCATCATCGATTCAAAATGTCAAGGTATCGATTGATACAGCTGGGGAAGCCGCATATCTCTTGGCAAACTATATTTTTCATGGACCGTTCCATTGCGTTCAGTGCCATCTTGGCTTAATGGTGTCAGAAACGTAGGGACCCTGGAAATTCTTGAAATGTTCATCCAAGCATATCACTGGCAGAAGCCACCACACACAGGATCATGAACTGAATAGCTGAAGAATGTGAGGGGTTAGGCAATGTATATTCTGCCCTGAGTAGCACAGATTCTGTAAAATTGTATTTCACACTGCATGAGAGCAATAGATCTGGAACATTTACGTCAAATGTCAGTTTTGAGACTTGCCAGATATGTTGTCTTTTCAATATAGTGAAAATGGGTACGTTATGCTCCGACACTATCACGCCCGGACACAACTACTAAGTATTGTATATAGCTGTTCCCTTTGCTCCCATATCTACACATCTCTACCATTCTTCGTTTTCCTCCTCGTTCCCAATTCAAATCCAAAGACCTTATTTGTTACTTGCACTAGCGATAGGAAAATGGATTCCGTGAAAGATAGAAGGCGAGACGAGGCCCGAGCAAGGTATGCCACCTGATTACTGGTATTCTTTTGATTATTGTGTTGAGATAGCAGTTCTAACAGTCAGAATGTAGGCCTGAACATACTTCAAGGGACTATTCCTCGAGAGCCACTACTGAACCTCACATATCCTCTGACAATGCGGTGGTCGAACCTGCGACGTTACCTCGAGACCAGCCTTCAGTCACGAATGTCTCCATGTCCGGCGAGCGTGCACACCCTGATTCATATCAGAGTTCTCACCACTTGATTCGTCAATGCTCTCAGGATAGGCAGCATGATCTCCAAGGGATCGGTGCGCAATTTGAGACGTCTTTGGACGATTTCCGCCAAACACTTTCGGCGGATCTCCCACCGTTTCTAGGCCTCACAAGTGACTGCCCATATTACTCTCAGCTACTGCGATCTGATTTGCAAGGTGAGGGTACTTCTGCATTATCTCAAGGAAAGGATGCAGCCACCTACCAATCAGACGATCAATGCCATGTGACGAAACAAGGTTGTTGGTGCAGGCATAATTTGTGAAATGTTAGCAATGGCTACCGAGAGAATGTTATGAGGTTGTAGAAGAGCTCTATAGAAAAGATGAGGAACTGGCCGAGATCGGGCAGGATAAAAGGGAATTTCACATGTTTCACATCAAGGCAATGAAGAAGGTTCTTATTTTTGACGTAATTTCATATTTGCCCACTGCTCGCTATTCATTATAGCTGTGTTCCGACCGTAGTCAAGCAAGGGTTGGTATCTCAGGCTTCTGTGCCATAACATCCCATGCAAATATGTGAACCATCCATCCTTGATAACCGGTATGATACAGCGTAAATGTATCCGAGTAATTTACTTAAGAGGAATGAAACGGGAAGAGTGGGTGGCACCGATACCGGGTCTTCCGTGCTTGACTGGGCGGCTGTTTTGGAGTTAGTATAAGCTTCCAACGCGAATAACTTTGAGCTTTCGCATAGAATACAGTAGAGAATGACTTACTAAGAGATAGAGAATTCGGCCAAGTAGTGACCAACCATCTCAGGCTTGATTTCGACTTGGTTGAACTCCTTTCCGGAGTAGATACCGATAACGCTACCAATCATCTCTGGGACGACAATCATGTCTCTCAAGTGAGTCTTGACCAAATCAGGCTTCTCGTTTGGCTGAGCCTCTTGCTTGGCCTTGCGGAGCTTCTTGATGAGACCCATAGGCTTGCGCTTCAAACCACGGTTGAACCTACGGCGAGCACGAGCGTGGACGACATCGCGGAGTTGGTCGGAGGAAAGGTCGAGGAGTCTATTCGAAGAATATAGGGTTAGCTACTATGAGATCCCCTTTGATATTCATGCTGTGGATTTGTTAAGGTAGGCATACTGGTCGAGGTCGATTCCACGGTAGGAAAACTTGCGGAATGCTCTCTTTGCCTTGATCTCGGCAGCCTTTTGGGCATCCTATTAAATTGGAAAATTTGATTAGCGTTCCATTTCATTCCAAATTGCGTCCATATTTCCGAAGGAATCGGTTTTCGGAAATCCCAAACAAAAATAATCAATTGCTCACATATTCTTCGTCGGCCATCTTAGCGGTTGGGTTCTTTCAAAGGTTGTCGAAAGGATGGAGTTGTCGTAAGAGTTGTTCGACGCCAACAGAGTCCAAGTGCCACAAAGTTTGCAAATTTTGGTCTCGCTTAGATTTCGGCGCTAAAATAGGGCAAATATCCCAGGTGACCTCTCAGCCTCGTCCTTTTCCCATGAATATCGATGCCGTATCAAATCAAGGATGACCAGGGTGTTTGGAGGGGTCTATACGTAGGAGAAAAAACAGGCGGGATTTGACTACTCAAATCTTTATTGAAGTCTTCTTAATTAATTAGATCAAAATCGATTACAAATGATTTATATAAATCCAGTAAAATTAAAAGATATATTAGTTTTTTATTCTTCAAATAATATTGAAAAGTTTTATTTCATTTATTATTCAAGAGAAGTAATCGAGTTGTAAAGGTATTATAGAAATGGTCAAGTTCCGCCTCTTTTTTCTCCTGCGAATAGGGGGTGTCAGATAGTAGATAATGGTATTATGAGTGCCTTGATTGGCCTTTAAATTTTATGTAGAGGATAATATGGAGTTCTGTACGGCTTCCAGATAACCTTGATTTCACAAGTGAAGGATTTCCAGCAGTATATGTTGGCAAGCAATTAATTACAGATGTTCACCGAGATTATTTGCATTTACACATCACATAAATCACAACATATCACACCGTATAAATCTTTGTCTTGATAAGATGTTGATGATATTTGAAGAATCACGTCTTTATTGCTCTATTTTGCATGAATATATGCTTGTCATGGGAATCTTCGCGAGATACAATCAGTCCCATATGGCGTGCAAATAATGGGCGAAGCCCGCACGATTTCTCCCAGAAATCTCGAAATGATGTTCCGGTAGGTCGAGAGCGTCGAGTCCGTGGGGAAGTCAATTGACTGCTTAATCGAAAAGACCGAAACCCATGTCCTCGTCGGACTCTTCCTTCTCTATTTATTGGGTTAGTAGATTTTTTATTAATGAGGATATAGCAAAACATACCCTCAGCCTTCTCCTCAACCTTCTCCTCAGCAGCAGCACCACCGGAAGCGGCAGCTCCACCAGCAGCTGGGGCAGCACCGGCACCACCAGATGGGACGGAGGCCAACTTGGAGGAACCCTCAGCGATCAACTAGATTTCACGTCAGTTGTGTATACATGTGCGCGTTTTGCTCGATTGTGCTAACCTCGTTGATGTCCTTTCCGTCAAGCTCCTTGATGAGAGTATCGATACGCTCTTGGTCGATCTCAATTCCAACGGACTCGAGAACGGTGGTGATGTCCTTAGCGGAAGGGGAAGCCTTTCCACCAATGGTGAGGAGGAGGTATGCAGCGAGATACTTCATTTTGAATGCTATGCGCAAATCTTGTCAGTCAACAATTTCAATGATTATCTTGGTGCGCAAAACAATACTGCAAAGTATTCAACGTGAGGAGGATCTTACATTTATTTGTTTCGTTAAAGAACAGGTATATCAATCGATTTAACCGCAAGAGACGGAGACTGAAATTTCAAGTTCTGAGAGTTTTGAAGTTTGTGAAAGATACGATTGTGGATCTCAGATTCGATTAAAATCAAAAAGTTTCTTGTGTGGGCGAATGGCGTGGCGCTAAGCTACTCCTGTCAAGTCAGACACGTGATAACGAAATGGACTTAAATCCTTGCGATTGTTTGCCCGTTTGCTTTTCACATTGCCTCAAAACAAAAAGTCAAAGGAATAACACAGATACAACAATTTAATCTGAAGGCGCAGTTTTTTACTATCTGGCGCTTTCAAATTTTATTCCTGCTGCTAGCACCATACTTATCAATTTTCATGTGCTGATGCACTACAAGAAGTCGGAAATCCACGCGATCTGCGTTTGAGTTGTTCATCCATCATCTTCTGATTCATTCTTTCAAATTTTCGGTGTATCACAAGCACATCATTCAAGATGCCGGTACGTCTGCTTTGCGCATTTGTTCACACTCTAGATAATCATTATACTGACTTGATCAAGATCGGTGATCTTCTGGCCCAGATTTCGGGGGGCCCAAGTCCAGATTCAACGATGACGATGCCGACCGCCACTCTCCCGCCAAAGCGAAAAGCAAACGATGATTTGAGGAAGCCGGTTGACAAACTTCAAAGGCCAAACACTGCTACTATATCGAGACCAATCACCCAAGCGCATCGTCCTACAGCTGTTGATACGAGTATGGGCAGGATGAAGATCGACACGAAACAACAAAGACCAACTCCGAGCTCGGCTAATACCGCCAACACCACTTTCAAAAACGGCCAGCCAACACCACCTCCATCGTCCACCGAATCAGCAAAACCTCCCAAGAAAGGTTCATATGCGGAGATTTTGGCACGGGGTAAAGCTGCACAGGCTTCTTTGGGTCAGGTTGGAAAGATTCAACATAAACGCATCGAGAAAGCACCATTCAAGCGAGAGTCGGATAAACTAAGAACCCAAAAGGGGAAAACCATTCAAAAGGGGCTAGAACCAAATTCCAAATTTCAAAGACCTGGCCAGGTTCCCGTTCGGAATGGACAGAGTGTCACGAATGGTACGAAGCCTATTGGTGCCAAGGCTCCTCCACCAGCTGTTGAAAAGAAAGTCAAAAAAGCTGCAACAGCAACGACTGGATACACCGGGACTGCTCGCCCAAGACCAGGAGGTGGTGGTCCAACTGCTAATAAGCCAAGTGCACCTTCATATTCCGCTCGTAGTGGCAATGACCGATACAAAAATGGTAGAAAGAACCTTGATCGCTACTATGCTACCGATGAAGATGAGGACGAAGATGACATGGAGGATGAAGTTGAGGAGGATGACTATGCATCTGACGTATCTTCTGATATGGAAGCAGCCACGTTCGAAGTCGACGAAGAAGAGGAAAAGGCTGCTGCTATTGCCAGGAAGGAGGATGCTGAAGCTCTTGCCGAAGAGAACAGACTCAAGAAGGAGAAAGCTGAAAAGCGAGCACGACTTGCAGCTATGGCCAAGTCCAGAAGATGATGAATCGGTTAGGGGTATTGGCTATGGTTCTTAGGGATTTTTACGGGTGGGAACTTTTTCAGGAATGCTATGGATGGATGCATTGTTTGAGTTTAGCGATTTGGAGTTTTGGGATGGGAAGACGAGATATACAGGCATTGCAGGCGTAACATACTTGGAAGCTGCTTTGCTGCTTTTCCACTTCGGTGGTAGTACTACTTTCTATGCTTTGCAGCGCATTATGGTTATTAGAGGATCCTATTATAATGAAGGGCATCGATGCGTGTACATGATTGCTTACTCTAATTCATCAAAATTCATGATTGTCTTTGGTCGATCGAGCTTGAAATATGTGATGGCATTCAAATATCAAGATGTCAAGATGACACTGCCAACTCAATTCATCTTTCCACTTAGCCATACATACACGCAAAGATGTGCCATCAAATTCAGTGTCAGTCATCAACATCCATACTTCAATATCTTACTGCTATCTCTTCTAGATGTTATCCCCATTGTTTCGTACCTAGATATGTACTCGTCCCAACGTTGACGTTCTACACAGAGCTCCCAATTTGTACCCTCCTATTTCCAAGGATGTCAAGACCAAACAACAAGCACAGGGAAAGTACACAGTTCTCAATGACAAGATACCTACACATATTCATTGTGATATAAAAGACGAATCCATCAGTGGGTGTACAAATTGATGGGACACTACAAAAATGGACTTGTGAATATTTCTCGATGTATCGAATTAGATATCTTGGAAGTTCTTACAATAATTCATTAGATTTGATATCAAACAATTGAAGAACGAATTTATTAGAAATTTCAAAAGTTGGGAAGTGTCCCGTCAATCCATGCACCCACTGGCGGTCACAAAAACAAACTGAATTGGTATCACTATCTCCCTCCATCGTTCTCAAGACTTTGTAACTTAAAATCCACCATGTCCTCCACGTCCACCACCACCATGTCCACCTCTCTCGCCTCCAAATCCTCCTCCGCCATAGTGTTCACCACCTGGCCCGCCAAATCCACCGCCTTGATGTCCGCCTTGGTGTTCACCTCCGAATCCGGCTCCACCTTGATGTCCACCAAATCCACCAAATCCACCTCCCTGATGTCCGCCTCCGTGGTGCTCACCACTTGGTCCTCCGTATCCTCCTTGTGGGCCACCTGGTCCGCCGTATCCGCCTTGGGGTCCTCCATTACCGCCCATGTGGTGTTGCTGGGGAGGGGGAGCTTGGTTCTATTCGCATGTTAGCATTTGCATTCGGGAGTACTCAGTACTGATTTGTGGAGGGGGGTAACGAACATACTCGTGCTCGTGCTTTCCCTCGACCTTGTGGATGACTTTGCTGATGAGACCCATTGTGATTGACTTATATATGTATATGTATAATTGAGAGATATGTATAAGATTTATTCTTGTATAGACAGGTAGTTGCAGATGAGGAATTGAATTTATATTTGAACAAGTCAAAAAAACTAGCAAGAGAGGAGGTATATACTACTATATATACCTACAATCCATTCCTCCGCTCACCCACTCCACTTTAATATCCCGACCTCAGCCTACATGCCAAAATTCATTGTCCATACTTGGAACAACTTCTCGAATTCCTGCTTTGGCTGCTTGTTACGCATGCATACATATCGCTTCATTTGCATCTACCCTGATTGCACCAATCCACCCGCGACCAAAAAGCTTAAAAGGAAGAGTAGATGCGTAGTCCAAGACCCCTCAATTCCCATCCCCTCCCAGATCCTGCAATCCGGCAAGCGGTGCCGTAGAGACCATGCCCCCTCATCCCAGTATGCTTCTTTCGTCCACTACAAAACCACAGCTTCCCTGACTAATAAATACGTATTGTACAGCCACAGAGAGTTAAGCCTCATGACACGATTGTGTTGTGGTTAGAGTCGTGGTGTGTAAGTGTCTTGGCGGTGGGATAACGCGCGGACGAATTTTCTGTCGAGCTCTGAAATACTCCGCGCACAACAGCGAGTACGAACCGAGGATCTGGCATGCATTGAGTGTTTCTTTTTGCGTCAGACGATCGGATTGATGAAAAGTTACACTTTGACTTTACGAAGTATAGATGTATGTAGATAGGTATGCGAAGAAGACGAAGTAATGAATTCAATTCGAAATCCATAATATAAATATGTTACGGTTGAATATCGGTGAAGCGAAGAAGTGAAACAGATGAGCGAGGTTTCCAGCTGAGGCAATGCACGGGAACTACCATGAGTTGAAGCTTCGTCTGGCGAGACTCAAAGATTCATCTAAGAGGGTGATAAAAGAGTTATGCGAGTGTATGTATTAATAGAAGCATCCATTGCGCTTCATATACGCAGATATGAATTTAGTATTACATATTAAATCCTCAACTCGTGCCCGAACGGCAATTCATTCCTACTATACATTTAACATCAATGCCGACTGTGTTTCTGGCCGTAAAACTGTGTCATAACCGCATTCAGTACTCCAAAATGGCTTGTGTGTCAAAGATGCTTTTCCCCGTTGATAGTTGTTTCCCAATACGCCAACGGCCCCAAACTCCTCGATACTGGAAAGCATATCGTACTCCGATACTCTCGATTTTTATAATTTGCGAAAAATTGGCATTTAGTCTGGTGGTGGTGCAGTGTTCATAATTTTAGCCAACATGTCGATGTGTGAGATGAGATTGCCATTGAAACCTTCTTCCCGTTTTGGTGTTCCTTCTGTATGCCAACAAGAGCCCCATGTATCCTCATCTAACCTCCCCTCGAAATATGCAATTCGCATTGGCCAGTCCATCTTTGGCCACCACTCTTCCGGCAATAAACTAAAGATTCCTGTCACTTCTCTTTTTGCAACACCTTGGAGCCACCAGATATCATCAACAATGCGTGTCATAGCAAAAAAACATGACACAATAACCAAAGCACGAGGATCCTGTCTCTTCAGTAGATCAATGTAACGACGCGTTACGGTAGCCGCAAAACTAAGAATTCGAGCTCGCTCTGGTTTTTGATGAGACCAATTGAGCATAGCAACAGCATGTTCGTATGCCTGCTTTGTATCTGCATCTATGGAAGCATCGTCCGAGTTCGATGCATGGTCAATACCTTCGAGTAAGAAAGCAAAGAACCCTCGGCGCTCAGGATCAAAATCTAGCATTAGTGGAGGCTGCCCATTGATGATCGGAAAGATTTTGGCCGAATTTCGCAACCAATGCCAGGAAGTAATAACAATTGTCTTAACTCCCTGGAAAGAATGGAACCAAGCGAGTGGTAGGACGTAACCGCTGTCAGAATCCCCATCGATTCCATTCTCAACACAACGGGATGCCGATGCTTGGAAAGCGATGAGAGCAGCTGTACAAAAAAGTGCTTCTGCATTGCTTTGAGATGGGCCCTGGCTCAAAAGAGAAGAATATTGAGCAAGCGCTGATGCCATATAACTATGTGATGCACGTGCAAGACTTCGATCTTCGGGCTGTAATATACGTAAATGTAGAGCAGAAACGGCAAGGATAGCATCCATTAGATATGGGGAGTCATAAGCGAGTGATGGTACGATCACAGACCAGGCAACGTCCTGACTTTCGTCATTAGAAAGAGTTTTTGAGGTCGTTGCAGTATAATGGTGCATTAGCCTGAGCTCAAGTGACCGATCATGCATTGAGTCACCGTGAGCCCGGACTGTCATTGAAGGAGACCGGTAGAAGGGCATTATCGAAGAAGTGGTAGACGCCGGTGATGAGGCTTGGTTGACCGAGCCTTCGGAACTTTGACGGACAAGCGTTGGAGGTTGGAAAGCTGGTGAATCAGGTGATGAGGGCATATCTCCGAAATCACAGGAAACGCCTAATGGCCATTATCAACATGTACTCTACTCTTCAGTGAAGATATACGGACCATGCTTTTTACAATTTCCACACAAAGGATGTTTTTCGTCACACTAATTCCAAATTAGCACGTGCTCATGACCATCTCTGGATCCCAATAAGTATGATTGATTACTTTGATTTTCCTGTGCTTGCATCTTTGACAGCCGGCTTTAGATTTCTTATGCGATCTTCTTGGTGGCATCTTGTGTTTCTGCTTGTTGAAAGACTAATAAGGAAGTTGTAAGCTATCAGGGGTGGCGACCAGATTGACTATTTTGACAAATGTTCATGTTGAAAACGGATGGTATTAGTTCAATTCATTCGGTGGAAGTATGTGGGAATGTTTGTTTGACGGGTGTGTTGGAGATATATTGGTCAAAAGTAAGTGACTGATAGATATGGAAATTTCATCCCCGATTTGCAACGATTGTTTACCATCGAGCGCACCAGCGTTGTTTAAGTGCTTGAGTATCGGGGCTTCGGAACATCGAGAATTGAGGGTACCCCTGCCGTATCTGACTTGTTCGATCGTTTTTGTACGATATGATTGGCTCTTGGTGGAGATTAGTTAGTCAGCATCTCAGCCTTCTCCTGGATAGAAAAGTTCCGACAAATTCTATTCCTGGGATGAGATTAGCACGTGACTGGATATAGGGGCTGTGGAATTATGCACAGTCTGGTGTGTTTTTATTGAATCATTCTGACATTGTTACCATCCATCCGAGCCCATCACCATTTGAGATCATTTAACCATAAGTCGAGCAATGATAAAATCGCACCTCAATGTTTATTAAAAACTACCTTGGTGGTTTTTCCCATTGAGCGTACTCTGTATAATCATCTCACATTTCATCACGATTTTTAATCCGTCACATCATGATCTCGCTAACTCCTATCGACAACGCATCTTTATATCTTCAAACTCAGGATCAGTAAGATGTACAGCATTCAGATCTTATGTCTGCCTACTTGAGCATTCTCGTTCGACTACGTAATAACCTCAGCGACCTCCCTAATTGGGGTTCTAATAACCTAAAAGGTGTGTAGAATGGTAACAACACAACGAAAAAGATTGATAATAGCGAGCGGTTCTATACGAAGTACAAGATCGATTTGTCATGATGTCTTCATATTATATATACCCTTTTCATTCCTGAGCCTGCATATGATAAGCAGCCAAAGACCAACCTTCCTCTTCCTCCTGCCTTTTCTTACCTATATATCTACTTTTGAACATTCCTTCTCCCCATCTAGATGAATTGCGTGCTTTAGCCTCTGATTCAATACCTACCAAGGTCATCATCATCTACATTTGCCGCCTTTGTTCCTTTCAAATTAAGGTTTAGCTCTCGTCACGACATTCATCCTTCTTACATTATTACCAATTTGACCCATTTACCAAGACTCACTTACACATTTTCTTCCTCGACCCTTCTACCGAGTACTTCCTAGTACACTAAAAGGAAAAACTATTTAATTAGAACTTCCCCGCAATTTTTACTTACTATATTTTCCATCCGATCTACTACCAAACTTCTTTCTATCTTTTGTTGCATAAAATTATTTGGAAAAAAGGAAAGGAAAAAAGGCAGAAGAAGCTTATCACCCCGCACTACCCCTCCAAAATGACTGTCCCAAACTTCGATCACCCCATTGAAACTCCTCCACGAGCCCCTTCTCCAGTTCATCGATTTGGTACTCTAGCGGTCCATGCTGGTTCCCCTCACGATCCTGTCACCGGTGCCGTCATCGAAGCCATCTCCCTCTCCACAACCTTCGCACAAACCGCTGTCGGAAAACCTGTTGGCGCATACGAATACAGCAGAAGCTCCAACCCCAATCGTGACAATTTCGAACAGGCTGTCGCAGCTCTCGAACACGCAAAATATGCTCTAGCTTTCTCCTCTGGCTCTGCCACTACCGCCACCATTTTGCAGTCTTTAGCTGCCGGCTCGCATGTCATTTCGGTTTCGGATGTTTACGGTGGAACCCACAGATATTTCACACAGGTTGCTAAAGCTCATGGCGTGAAGGTCACATTTACACCAGAGATTGAGGTCGATGTTGTGGATCATATCACACCCGAGACAAAACTCATCTGGATTGAAACTCCTAGCAACCCAACTCTGCGACTCGTGGACATCAGAGCCGTAGCAACAGCAGCACACGAACATGGTATAATGGTTGTGGTTGATAATACCTTCATGAGTCCATATGTGCAACAACCATTGGACCACGGAGCTGATATCGTTGTTCACTCTGTTACTAAATACATCAATGGTCACTCCGATGTAGTGATGGGAGTAGCCGCTTTCAACTCCGACGCTATGAAGGAAAGATTGGGATTCTTGCAAAATGCCATTGGGTGCATCCCTTCGGCATTCGACAGTTGGCTTGCTCACCGTGGCTTGAAGACATTGCATCTCCGAGCCAGAGAAGCTACGGTTAACGCAACAGTAGTAGCAAAGGCATTGGAGGCTTCGCCACACGTTATTGCCGTCAACTATCCTGGCTTGGACTCCCACCCACACCGAAAAATTGCTCTTAAGCAACACAGAGATGGTATGGGAGGTGGTATGCTTTCCTTCCGTGTCAAAGGAGGCTCCGCTGCAGCAGAAAAGTTTTGTCAAATGACGAGCATCTTCACATTGGCCGAGAGTCTGGGAGGAGTCGAGAGTTTGGTTGAAGTTCCTAGCAGTATGACACATGCCGGTATTCCCAAAGCTCACAGAGAGGCCATTGGTGTTTACGACGACTTAGTCCGTATCAGTTGCGGAGTTGAAGATGCAGAGGATCTGAAAGCAGATGTTTTGCAAGCCTTGGAGAAAGCTGTCGTCTGGCCTAAAATCTCCAACGGTCTACAAAACCATTCTTCTTAAGTCCTAGATTGGGGTTTAGATATTATTCTTGTTAGAAGAGCCGCATGCAAATGGATTTGCGAATGCATGGGCGCTGGCGTTGGGGCATAGTTCGAATACCTCTTATCTCTCGAAACGCTACATTCAGGTGATAAACAAACATATATAGATTTATTTGCATGATTTACTCTTGTAGTTTTCCTTTTCAAGGCTTGGAAATTAGACAAAAATTAAAATTTTAACACAATATTGGCTAGCGCCATCGTGCAGATCCTGCATAAACAAACGCAATTCCTTGGGTACACATTACCTTGATTCAAGGGAGTAGTTTAAACTTGATCTTACGTGAATGTTATTCTCAACCTGATACACATTGTCGAATCCGTATGTTCGGCTTGTCCTCGATGTGTTCTCGAGCATAAAGATCGCTTGAGTGGCATTAAACAAAAGGTATGAACACCTACATTTCTGTTTTGAAATATGATATCTTGAGGCAACCTGATTCTCCGGATTACAAGTAATTGAATGAACATCTTTGGAAGAAAATTAATTCACTGCGCACCCATAGTATAGGGCTAGATTTTTATGTAAAATTATTCAATTCTGAAACCAATTTTCGATTTCATTGGTGAGGTGGGGGGAGGTGTTTAGATGTAATGTAGTTTTGTGTTGAGAACTGCACAGAGTAGGACAACCCATGACTTGAATACCCAAAACGAACCTAGCCCCCTTGCTAACATCTGCCAAATATTCTTCCCCACCATTCATACTGGGAAAAAGCCAAAAATAATGCGGCACCCCTTCATACAAATCATTCTTTACCTTGATGCCTTTATCCTTCAACATCATTTCCAAGACGGTGCCATCATCTCGCAAAGGATCCTTTCCACACGTAGTTATGCAAGTCGGAGGAAATTCATCCAGGTGTTTAGAAAGCGTCACGACTGAGAATAAAACGGATTAGCCCATCTCCTTGGATCAAGCAAATATACACGAGATTGTATCGGAAGAATACATACAAACTCTGGGGTCTTCGGGATTCGCGTCAATGCCTCCGAAGAACGTATCTCATATTATCCGCATTGTTAACCGGTACGCCAGACGCATTCTCCTCGTAGGATTTATAATGATCTTTGTAAGCCGCGGGAACAGAAGATGGTGTGCGGCTATGGGGACCATAGCTACGACGCCTTTGATTTGCGAACGTTTACCCGCGGCAATGAGATCGTGTGCTACAGTTAGAGCTAGACCGCCGCCTGCCGAGGCGCCGATTGTGAAGAGTTTGGATTGGGAGGAGTTGAGTTCCGAAGCATGTTTATAGGCCTGTCGGTGGGTGTGAGTTGGGTGTAAGCAGGTTCAGAGAGACAGAGCTGAGAGACAACGAGGGCTGGGAAATAAAGAGAAATGATATAGTTACCCATTCAAAAGCCTTCACACTGTCATCCAACATAGCCGGAAACTTATGCTCGGGACCCAATCGATAATCGACGCTCACAAGAACACAAGGAACATTTTTTGCAATGTATCGACACCACATATCTTCGGAATCAAGGCTGCCACCGCAATATCCACCTCCGTGATAATACACTCCTAAATGAAGTTCGTCGTCTTGGGTGGCATTTGGCGGCGTGTAGATACGAACGGGAACGCCATCTGCGGAAGTGTCACGAGTCTGGACTGAGGTATCAGGAGGGGGTCTTTGACTGTTGAGCTCTGCGACCAAATCATTGAATTGCTTTTTAATGCTGGGTGCGTCACCGACGGGAACGGGACGGGTGCTCAAGGCTTTTTCGACCTGCGGAAATCGGAGTCAGATATACGATTGAGGTGGTAGATCGCGAAGGAGCTTGTCGTGACAAGAATGGAGGGGTGATTACCTCGAGCCATTCGGGCTTATAACCTGCAGTTGATGGATTTCCCATTATGTATAGCTGGCTTATATTTGTAGTTTGAGAGTTAAGAGGCGGAAGTCGAAGGGTTGAAGTAGGATCTGGCAAATTTGAAGAACTGCTAAGATATAAATCGAATATCTAAAAAAAATTCAACAAAATACTTAAGGGGAACATGGCACACTTTATAGGAAGAGCTTAGAAGCACAAATCTCTGTAATAGTATAATAGTATGTGACGTAGGTATCTTATAAAGTCACTATGCCATGTGAAGATTAGATGAGAAAGTAGTACAATACCTTATAATAGCTTACTATTTTTAGAGATTGAAATATTTGGGAGACTAATCAGATTTCGATACTATCAGGAAAATGTTACTAAGCCCTTCACTCTTTCTATCGCAGATGATATCATTATAATTTCACGTACGTAGAGATATTTGTATTTTCAGAGACTTTCTTCCTTTATTCATTCTCGACTTTCCGAAATGTATTGTAGGAGCTAATTATGATATAGACTATGAAACATGAGCAAAAATCCCTCCAAAAATCATAAAAAAATCATAAGCTATTAAAAAATTAGCTGAAGAATCAGATTTTCGATTTCAAATCAAAAAGACATCATCGTTATAATATAGTATATATGAGAGTCTAGAAAAGACTAATCAGAGACTTAGATCCCCATAATATTTATACATGTTTTAGATACACAGCGTCTCCAAAAATGGAATAGAATGCGAGTTTTATGATTTAGTATCTCGTTGTTTAAATGAAGGAGATGAAAAGCTATAGTATCGTTACACACGAAATTGAAAATTGCAAGAGGATTTGTATTGAATATCTCTTCATCGCCGTGATGGAACTACCCACCTCGGGAAATATTTGAAAATGCAGACGGGATCAAACGAACCTAGAAGCATAAGTGACCCGCTACGCAAAGTTCCAGCGTGCCTCACGTAACACGTTATGTTGTTGGGACGTTACCAATTTGAAAACAAGCTGGAATCAGTGAAATCATCCAATCACTCGGACCAGCACAAGACAAAATCGCCGAGCTGAGAGCTCCGCTGCACGGACATACAGATAGGCTTTACTTGGCGAACGATGTCCATACTGTAAAGCTTGACTCCACCGGAGCATTCTTAGTCTGATCGTCACAGATTTTGACAGAGCGAAGCGAGACGAACTCTGAATGCCACCGGACTGAAAAGTTCAATTAAGCGAATCCGATGTATGAATATTTCATTATTAAATGATGGTTCAGGCTTTTTAGATGTACTCATCCTCGATTTCAGTAATGTTGATTTCTGAGGCGGATTCACCACCAAAATTTATTGGACTTGGTTAAAATAGTAGCTGATAGTCGTCGCGATCCAAATCTGAAGCACACCCAACCGCAATTAATAAATTGGAATGAGAAAGTTAAAGAGAAAAGGGGTCCCTTAAGCACCTCTTTCATCTCTTATATGATAAAGATTGCTTAGCTAAGGGGAGAGTGATAAAGGGTCACGCGATGTGTATGCATGTGATACTGGTTGCAATAATCCCAAAAATTATGAAATCAGTATGTAAAAAGTAGCGAAAATGGGAAGTCATATCAATAGATCCAAAATTCTGGTATTTCCCAGTCCGGCATGATCAAGGTTTTCTGTACGTACTTATTAGATAGTACCTAGCTGCAAAGTGTCCAGTGCGGGGTAATTTAGCGGCGTCTATCCAACTAGAACTCTGTGATATCACAGTTTAGAAGTATATCTCGGAATCGTGGTTATTTTTGATACGTTCCATAAGCCTTACTTTGATTATTACTCGAGGGCATTGTTATCAGTTCGTCCCTGGGATCTGAACACTCTGAATATTCTGCCTTCACTTCCTGCGCCAAAGACATTGCCTTGGCGTGTAATCTTGTTGAGCTACACACAAAAACTCGGGTTTCTTTGGTTTTTATTCGTATATAAGCCTTCAGATGCGAATGAATAGTCCGGTCTAGGAAAATCTCGAATGTAGCACTATAAGACATATCAAAGTGATACTTTTATTTATTCATCTATATCGAAATCATACGATTCGTTTTTCACAGCCACTGGGCTTTTCTTATATTATGCTGAGTTGATCTTCCCGCTCAAGTAAACACTTGAGGCAACAGAAAAATGGAAGTTGCTCATTTCCAAAAGGTAGCAATCATAAGAGGTTAAGCACCAGCGTTCAAGAGATATACGGACCAATAAAGGACTCATTTAGAAAGCCTCTTCCTAAGTATCGGTTGTATTTCTCTGGAAGCTCAATCATCCGATATCCCCAAGCTGCTTGGCACCTCTGCCAATTCAAGCATCTTCACTGAATTTTGAGAAATGATTTTTTTGGGTTTCAAACTCACATTCAAGCCTAATTAATTAAATTTGATACCCACTGACTGTATCACCGTCCCAAAAAGCCACAGAAACTATAATACATTCAATTTGGTGACTCTCAGCAAACTTGCCATCGATTCCGTACCCGTCAGTATGTAAAACTTGCACAAGTGTATCAAGTATTGTGTTTCGTGTGGGATTTGATGAAAATTGTCATGATATGAAAAAATGTTTGCTTTTCTGGAGTGAAATGTAACTAATACAATGAAAAGCCTGCGCGAATGAAGAAATCTTGAGAGGCCAACGAAGTCGTGATCTCAAAGGACTGTAGAAGTGTACAGGTGAAAAGAAAAAAAGGAAAACCCCCCTCAACTCTCCGCCGATTCCTCCCCCAATCAACTAAATTGAAATACAAAGCAAGAATTACAAGGTATAGACTACCGAGCATAAAGGTTTCGGGTATCAGACTTTTGATGAGTACTCGCGCTTTGCCGATAGTGGTGGATGAAAGTGAAAACATCAAACTCATCAAAACAATGACTTGCCCCGATCTTTTCAATCTGCTCCGTCACATTGACTACCAATACATATCGAGTAGGTGCTGGGTGTGCATGATATGTGACAGATTGCAACCGGATGAACCCAGAAAAAAATGCCTCCATAGAAGATCAAACCTCTCCATACTCGGGTGCGTCGGCGTAATCATTTTCCTCAGTTTTTGTTTCGGTTTCTTCTGCTGGTGGTGCACCAACAGAGGAGTTCTCTGGCATCAAACCCTTCTCCTTGAGGTACTTGATAGACTTCAAGATTGTCAAATCATCCTTGGCCGTGTCGTTAAGAATGAGACGCTGAGCAATAGTCATCTTACCACCATTCAGCTCCTTCTCTCGCAAAGCTTGATTGCGGACGTCTAAGTCGTGAACGAAGCGGCACTTGCCCTTCTTGCCGCAGGTGCCACCAGTAGAATAGTACTTGCAGTGACGTTGAAGCTGAGCTTTTGTTGGTGGTGCTCGTGCGTGGACGATACCGGTAAAACCATTGTTGCGCGATGTCATCGTTTCCGGCTTCCCCGAGTCAGAATTAGATGAAGAATCATCATCATCACTCACTTGACCACGATCTTCATCGCCTTCGTCGCCGTTTTCACGCTTGCGCTTTCCACCGGACATCTCTTGTTTAATCTTACGTTCAGCTTTCTCAAGTTCTAGTCTGAGCTTCTCGGCCTTGCGTTGCTGTTTTTCGAGTTTGGTCTCTCCTTCATCCTTTTTAATCGGCTTTGCTTCAGGCTCTTTCTTGAACTTGTGATTCTTGTTTTGTTCACGTTTCAAGCGAAGCTCCTCAGCAGCAGCTTCTCTACGAGCTTTCGTAGGGAAGCGGCTTTTACGCTCAGCGAGCCATGCCGTGAGATCTGCAGGTAACCTAAAATTCATTAGCAAAAAGAACAAGAAGAACTAATCTTCTAGGCCTGCAAAAACATACTGTGGAGTATCTGGACCAAGCAAAGTAACCAAACGAGCTTCTTCATCAACATCATCAATCTCATCATCGCTATCCTCATGATCCACACCGTTTGGTGTCAAACCAAGGGTATTTGTTCTGCGCTTCTTCTTGTTCTTCTTTGCATTGTCTCCTGCACCTGCAGGCTTGAAATGCATTGGAGGAGATTGTGAATTGCCATTGAAAGAACGATTGTTGTCGCGACCGCGAAATTGAAAATTATCACCGCGACCTCTACCTCTAAAGTTCCCATTTCCTCTGCCCCGATTAGAGCTCGAGTTGAATGAATGAGAATCATGCGATGGACGCTGTCCTCCATGACCTCCATTAGAGAAGTTTTGTGGGGGATATGCTTGATAAGCAGGCTGAGAAAACGGAGCAGGGGGGGTTTGATGATTGGAATACTGGGGGGTAGGAAAACCATTGCCCGCTTGAGCCATATGATCTCCACGTTCGTTCTCAAATCCCATGCGGATCGGAGGACCCATGAGAGGTGCTTCATGACCGCCACGGCCATTGTTGAATCCGCCACGACCACGACCTCTATTATTGTTATTGAACTGGTGTTGTCCTTGAGGTGGACCTTGCCATTGTTGAGGTGGGCCACTAGGGTGTGGTTGCTGAGAAGGTGGGCCATAGGGTTGTTGAAATGGTGCAGGTTGTTGTGGACCATATTGTGGTGGTGGCTGTTGATTGAAGCCTTGTGGGGCATAATTTGGATGGTAGTTCTGCGCAGGAAGAGGAACTTGAGGTGGTGGCTGGTGTGCTTGTTGAGGTGGACCGTGATTGTGCTGAGGTGGACCATGTTGACCCTGTTGTTGCCATTGCTGAGGATAATTATTAGGGGGACCGTTGTGGCCAGGACCTTGGGAGCCACTTGGAGGTCCTATGTAAGGTGCTGGATTATGCGGATTGTATTGGTCACTTGGAGGACCCTGTATCTGTGGAGGACCGTTGTAACCATTTTGATGCGAGTGAGAAGGGCCATTGTTACCGCCTCTCCCTCCACCTCTTGGGGGGCCGTTATTGCGCGTCTGTTGATATGGAGGAGGTTGCTGATATCCATACTGAGGATTTTGTTGAGGATATCCAACAGAGGGTGGCCCCGAAGGAGGAGGAGGAGGGGGAGGGAAATTGTATTGCTGCGTACCAGCCATAATGACTTCGGGCTTCGGGTTATTGCGTTGATAAGTTGGAGGCTGATCGGGAAGTTGACTCAAATATTGTGAGATCTTCAGAACATGTATATTCTGCGCAGCAGGGGTATGGTTGATTATAGGTTGACTGTACGGAACAGCTGTTGGTCCTGAGTTTGAAAGTTGTCGCAAACCGTTTTGTGCCGGTGGTTGGATCTTGGTTGCACCGTATCGACCAAAAGGATTGCCGAGTATCGTAATGGGGGCTACCGCGTATTAATTGATGAAAACCGATGGCTCAATGAAAGAATTATTGAAAAGGGATGATGAAGCAAGATGGGAAAGAAAGCCGCCTCGCGCAATTACGATTTGGTCGGGAGGACATCTCTCTTATTATTTAGTGTGGAAATTGTCGCACAACATGAACCAATAAAAACTCTCCCTAACTCGGAGAACTTGGCTGGATTATGTAAGGCTCTTTTCCATCAATCTTTCGATCAAGAACTTCAGAGTTGGAAGGATCTGATCTTTGGTGAATTTTGGGAAACACTTAAAGAAATAATAACATACCCATCTTGAATAATTTCTCAGTCGTTTTTGAAGATACCTAGGTAACTTTAGAAAGAAGTTTTCAAGAAAAACGTTTGATCTGGTAGAAAGAAGAAAAAGGGAAAATTGAGGTAGTCGGAGAAGATTCTTTATTTAGATCCGAGTTGAATTTTGTTCAATTTATCATACTGTCCTACTTGATGGGCTCGCGAAAGTGAATATTGAGAGGAAACAAGCAAATCTGATCTAGGTAGTCACGTTACATTGTTTTATTTCATTTCATTTGGTTTTATTCACTTTCAGTTGGTGGCCTGTTGTTGAAGCAGCATCGATCGTACAAAAGGAAAGAATTATTATAGGAGAAGGAGCAAGGCACAAGGCACAAGGCATAAGAAGCAAAAGCATTTTTTGACTTGGCCAATAGCCAGCGCGATATTTCATCATGTTCATTCTCGTGAGTCTTTCTTTCTAAATCAGGGGAGGAAAGATCATATTCTAACTTTTTTCAAAGACCAAAATTGCCGATTTAGTTCAAATCGCACCTCAGGATTTGGGGAAAAATGCCAGTCAAGCAATTGAGGATAACATCAACCTTAAATATGCCAACAAAGTGATTCAGAAGATTGGCCTTTGTATCTGCTTTTATGATCTTCTCTCGGCCTCAGAAGGTTTGATTGGTCATGGCGATGGTCTTGTGAATGTCAATGGTACATGGTTCCTGGGAGTCATCACAGCAATTTATGTTTTGCTAACCACTCAGCAGTTGAATTTCGCATCGTCGTGTTCAGACCTTTCAAATTTGAAATCATGACAGGAAGAATCAGCAGTTCTATTGAGAGCGGTATTAGAGGTTAGTATATACGTGTGTATGCTCATCAAACTCCACTAACAATATCAAGTTCGTACTCACTTTTTTGATGAAATCTTCGTTCCTGCAAAAATGCTACCAGAGGGTTCACACTTGTAAGTCGGCCTCGTTCATTCCCTTATCCATTTTGGTTACTAATAATCACCCAGTAACCACAATGAGCAAGTTTTCATCTGGGAGACCGAAGAAGGTACACAACTTTACTTCGATAACCAGGAAACAGTGCGATTTCGGGTCGACTCCGAGCAATGGAATGATCAAGCACCACTGGGCCCTGAAAAGCAAGATGACAGTGAGGAATCACGAGTAATCGAAGCACCTTACAAGATAGTAGCTTCGATGGAAGAAGTTGGATTGGGGCCTTGCTTATGGTGGGACTAAGGAGAAACGGACTTTCAAGAAGTTCCAAGGGAGCCAAAACAGTTGTGTGGAGCAACATCGTATGCATTTCTGGAGTTTAGGAAAGAGTCTAGGATTTGGAGTTCATTGAAATTCGATAAGCTCTTCAGGGCTATTCTCAGGTATATTAGAATTTAGAAGTAACTCCGACAACTAAGATCGGTGCTAGTCCCAGGGCTCTTTTGAATCCACTGTAGTCACACTGCATTCTATGTAATAGTTTGTGTACTAATACTATTCAAAATTCCGCAATAATTTTACGGCTGCCAAAATTTAGGGTCAAATTCCGCCCTGGGCATAAAGATACTTTCGTGATTGCAAAAAGCTTTGTCACCATCTTGGTAACCATAAGACAAACACGCATATGAGCTTTATATAATGAAAAACTTTCTTTGGAGCAGTATGTACGGGTATTTTTGTAATTGGGGTTTCAACGCTTCTTCTCTTTGTTTTCCTTGTTGAACTTCTCATAATGTGCTACCAACTTCTCCATATCTCTAGCTCTGTGTCCTGCTGGAACGTTCCATGGGGATCCCGTGTTAAATTGTCTGTAGAAAATCAGCTTCTGGGTTAGGTACTGGAGATATTGAGACCAACTCAGGGAATCTAAGATTGACATGTGCACTGCCCACATCACTCTGGAAAAGGTTGCGGTCAAAAGCAGCTTGTTCGAGCATAGAAACATGTAGCGCATTTCTTGCGGCCCATTTCTCTTTATAGTGTGAATAGCTATCGATCAGCTTCGCGAGACCAGAAGGAGATCCGTCGGCGGATGGTTGGGCGTATTGGTAAACTCCAATCGAGATAGGGATAGCTGCGAGGACAAGGAAGAAGCCGGTCTATATCGCGATTAGTCGTATGACTTATGTAAGAGACAATCGAAAGCTCACTCCGAAAGACTCGTTTGTTGGGCCCGCATGATGATGTCCATGTTCTGTACTCGATCCAGCGAAGTGATGGACCTCATCACCGGTCTTTCCATGTTGTGCAGACGACCATCGTCGCGAAACTCGAGTAGATACTTTTCCAACTCGATCGGCAGATTGAACTGCCTTTCTCCTGAGCGCGAACATTTTGTTGTGTATTAATTGACGTTCAATATGTCATTCCTAGAGGTCGTTATGTTTGGAAGTCCCTCCAATTGATGGCCTTTGATGACTAATGGAGCCTCAGGCATTCAGGCGAAAGACCCCACAAATCGATTAACCCTCCGAAGGCAAAGAAAGCGAAACGATTGAATAATAAATCTGTACTTATGATTTGAAGGCCACTTGTCCTTACGATGACTACAAATAACCCAGTAGATCACCACCTTACTCTTGTTGATGCTTTAAATCTGGAAAGTGAATCAGAAGACTCAAATTCAGCAGAATCTCTTGCTTCATTAGAAAGTGATACCGAAGAACGACCACCCGAGAAGATACTCACTGAAATAGTGGGGAAGAACAACCATATCTGGTATCTCGTCAAGTGGAAAGATTGTCCTCTTTTACGTTCCAGTTGGGAAGGAGAATCTTGCTTTGAAAATTATCCTTGGGTTTTTGATCGGTGGCTAGTAAATAAACAGGGCCAAAAAGAAGGGAAAATTCAGCCTTTTGACTTGCAAGCTTTCGATCAAGCCTGCAAGGACCTCGACCTAGCAGAGAGGCAACGAAGAATTCTGAGACGGTTCAGAAGAAAAGCTAAACGACTTTTATCGATTGTAGCTGATTGAATAAGTCATTTGAGAGGAATCACTATTGTACTCGATACATTTCATAAACAATTATAATTTAAAATGGTTATTGTAGGAACACGCAGCATAGTCAGCCTAGCATGGCTCAGTCTTCCAATACTTGCGAGGGCATTGTCGATGGATCCAGAGGCCTCACCATCCGCAGATACCGAGCTCATATGCCCTACAGACAACCAAGCTGAATGTTACCCTCGTATCTTTCAACCAACAAGAGACTTCCAACTCATCAAGCCTGGACAGGATATTCCACCAGGCCTTCACGTTCGGCTAAATATATCTTCTGGCTTGAAAGAAGCTCGCCTGAATATTCCAATGGAAGGTGATGATGTTACGCTGGAGCTTGACATACCTACAGAACAAGCTATGGTCGTCATTGAAGATGCCGAAGTTGAAACCTCGGAAGACCTGCAGCCACCCTCAGACGCACCGGCGTACAGTGGCCATGGAAAGATACAGCCCCCACCACCCTCATCATCTGACTTTGAATCATTCCGAACTTCTCTTGCCTCATTGAAAAAGCAAGATGCTTCCCTCGATTCGGCTCTGGCTTCACTCTCGGAACTGTCACACGACATTTATTACGGATCTGAACTTATGGCCGACGAGGAGGCAGTTTCTGCCCTGATATGTCTCATGGCCATGGAATCCTCGGGGGATGGAGATGAAAACGACCATTCAGCCTCCGCCGCTCTCTCCGGTTCTCTACAAAACAATCCTACTGCCATCGGCTCCCTTTCCCTGTTTCACGACATCGTCATGAAACCTACTTGTCCTGTCCTTCGTGAAAATGAATTAAGTCTTATTCCTGCACTCCAGAAGAAGCTGTCAGCCTCCACAACATCACCCTTATCTCTCAAATCTCAAATTTCAGCCCTTAGTGGCCTCTTGAAATCTCCAGAAATCCAAAAGTCTTTCCTTGAGCAAGATGGTACTTCATACCTACAATCTGTCTTCTTGAAGTCTGGGTCTCAATATGACGTCGTTCGAAAACGTATCGTACAGCTTTTGATGGACAATTTCTTAGATGATAGCATGGGGGCGCGGATAGGAGTCTGGCCGAAGGTAGATGTAAATCAGAAGGGGGAGAAGGATTGCAATGGCGACGTTATCAATGATGAATGTTGGGCTTGGTATGGGAAAAGGTTTTATGGAACGGAAGGTGGAAGAAAGGAATGGATGGACGAATTTTTGGAAAAGATAAGTCAGGGTAATCAGAGCGGAGGGAGAGACAGGGAATTATAAATGCAGATGTATTGCACGCTTGTTTATGTATGACTTCATATACAAAATTGAATTGATGACCAATCCGCTTCCAGAGGAACTATAGCTGGCAATTTGATTGCGACAAATAGTAATTTGTGCTGCATTGCGATTCAAGCTTTTTCCCCTAATGTGACAGATATGCGCGAAAACCAGCTTTCCGGTCACCAGAAGTATAAGGAGGGTTATGAAAAATATCACTGTATTGTCACTATGGAAATGAGACTCCGCATACCCGCCCTAGACTACGCCATGTTTTGCGGACAACTGATTCTGAAATTTCATAGAACTTCTAACCAATCCTGCTACCTATTCAACATACTTTCTCAAGCCCATCCGCATTCAGCGCAACCAGCAAGATACGGTATTATGAAAGAAAGAAGTCTCGAAGGCTTGGAAACATTGTGGTACTTGGATCGGAAGAAACTTGAACATGGTGTGCAAATTTAAAAGAAGTATCTGAGATTCTGTCATCGCTGTGTTGTAGTGCAGGGCTCCCGGTGAGGCAGTTGACATTTACCCTCAAGTTGTACGTTCTGGACCGTGCCTGGTTCGATACTTGTGCCTGAGGCATAACATACCGACATCATCACTTTTGGGTGGTGGTCAACTCCATTTTCGAGACTCAGTACTCTACAAGCTCTCTACAATATCGAAACTTATTTACCAGCTTCCAATCTGCCAAAATGTTGTTCTTCAGGTGAGTGCGATCCCACAAACAGCTTTGAGGTTGCAGCAGCTAATATTTCTCCACTACAAATAGCTTCTTTAAAACCTTGGTAGACCATGAAGTTACAGTCGAGCTCAAGAACGATATCCAGATCAAGGGCATATTAAAATCGGTAGACCAGTACCTAAACATCAAGCTGGATGACATACAAGTGGTAGAGGAGCTGAAATACCCACATCTGGTCAGTAGTTCAACATGGGCGACAGCAATGCAATGAAATGGGATGGGCTCTGTGCTTCGAAATTTGTGATGCTGATGATGCGCGCATAGTCATCGGTCAAGAATGTTTTCATAAGAGGAAGTGTCGTTAGATATGTACATCTTCCCGGCGGCGTAATTGACACAGCACTTCTGGAAGATGGTAGGTCCCCTATACTGACCGAATATTATGTACGGAAGCTAATGATCAATTATAGCTACTAGGAGAGAGGCCGCGCAACAGGCGACTAAAGGAAAATGAACGCATACACTCAGAGCGGAAGATAATAGTTGATGTGAATGATTTCCCTTCGTGGGAAGGGTGTACGCTATAGATGATATTGAGAAGACAATGGGAAGAGGGGCATGATCAACAGGAGAGGCACTGCGACCGGCCAGCTCAGACCATTCTACGTGTTAATGAAGATTTATGGGAAAGCAAACACGGAAAGTAACTTCGACAATACGTTGCTTCGAATTGCTTGGGTTGTAAAGAAAAAACATCAAGATTTCATAATTTCCCCAATTTTGCTGAAAGTCTCCCAAGAAAGATAACACAAACACCCCGAGATGTATTGTATGAAGTTGTTTGTGCTTCATAAAATCCAAAAAATCCATGGGAACTTATTGGCTCTGCCCCTCCGAATACCTGAGTGAATATTTTATCGCCTCGGGTCAGGTGATAGCGTGGACCGCGCACTACTTTTCGTGATTTCTTATCAGACCACTCCAGATGAATCGCCTCTAGATAATCTATCTTTCTTTGGAAATACTTTTACGGTTTCATGTAATTTGCCAATGACTTCTGGATTATAACAATTAATCAAAATCGATTCGAGACTTCCTCATTTATCAATGGCCTAGACAAGGCAGCCTTAGCCTTGCCCTTCACCCTGCATCTTAAAATACAAGCCACCGATGGCAAACCTTGACACTTCACAATTCTAATATCGCACAACTGTAAAATACTATGTTTCGGAACCCTCGAGAGAACTCTACTAAATCTACAGACTCTCATTTGAAACTATCCACCGGTAGACCACCTACGCCACCCGGCACTCCCTCAATTCCTCGACCGGTAGTTACAATGGCCCCTCGAAGTACAAACAAACCGACTACCCCGCGACCTGCCAAAAATTCCATTGTCTCTGCTTTCAACAAGCAATCATCGAAGAAGAGTGCGACAGCAAAAACGCCAGTGAAAGCCAATGGCACCATCCTGAATTTCTTTAAGAAAGTGGACAACCCACTCAAAGACGATGACTCTCTTTTCGTAGCCCAACGATCTGGCGTGGCATCGTATTTTCCTCCCCGCGGACCCAGTCCAGGCCTGGATGAAGGCGATTTGTACGGAGCTAGCGAAGAACTGATGGATGAACGTTATAATGAGACCGAAAGGTCGGTCAAAAAGCGTAAACTTTCAAACAGTCCCAAAATTGAAGATTTCGAAAGTAATCTCGTAACGCCTTCAATACCAACCGAGCCGTGCAGTCCCTCGGTCGAAAGTCCTTTGCCAGCTGAAAAGGTGAAAACTGCAATCAGAGTACCACGCCGATCAGGGCCGTTCTTGGATGACTCCGATAGCGATGGAGAGTTTATGGAAGGCCCCAAAACTGAGAATCAAAACCAAGAGCGAACACGCGTAGAGGGCAAGGAAACCGGAGATCCTCTCAAAAATGGCATTACAAAATTGAATATTGAGAAGGGGCCCCTTATTAAAGATCCCTCCGTCGTATCAAATACGGAAATACTTTTACCTCTGGAAGGTAGCGTTTTTAAGCCCAGGAAGAAAGTTCCGGTTGCAAGAGCTCAAGCGAAATGGGAAGCATTACAGCCAAAAAGCACAAGGACCATATCATCATCGGAGGATGAGGAACCAGAAACGTTGAGAGATTCAAAGTACTTCGATAGTAAGAGCAAAGGGAAGTCGGAATCGGAGTACGAGGAGCCTGATACATCGAAAATCTCAAAAAAGACCGATAGTAAGGAAAAGAGCAAAGGAAAACGAAAAAGGAAGAGCAACCCACTTCCAGAAGTTCCGGTCTTAAAGCAAGAGAATACAAGTGTAGATGCATGGGCAACCTTTGAGGATATGGGTGAATTTCCTGATGAAGATCTGGATGGTGAAGAATTCTTAGAGCGCAAATGGATGGAGGAACAAAATAACTTAGAACGCGATGAAGCGCAGGAAGATGAAGATTCATTCAATGGATTCGATGACGACGATGGCGTTAATGGCAACACAGGAGAAGAGAATGTCTCTGCTTGTCCTCTCTGCGATGCCAATTTGAGCAGCATTACTCCAAATGAAGCCTCAATGCATGTCAATGCGTGTTTAGATGGAAAACCCATACCTCTACCAGCAAAGATCAAAGCAAAAGCAAATATAGAATCAAGTGAGACAAAAGTGGTAATGCCCGAAGTTGCCAGAAACCGTTTTGCCAGGAAAGCAGCAGTTCCAAGGCCAGGGCAGGTGAACCCAATTGATCTCAACAACGAGGGGGGATCCGCATTTTCCAAAATTATGTCAGGCCACGCAGAAGATGCTGCTTGGGCTAATGCTGCAGATAAGGAAAAGTCGTCTCGAGGAAAGCCTGCACACCAGAGGACTTGCCCATTTTACAAGATCATGCCTGGGCTGTTCATCTGCGTTGATGCATTCAGATATGGTGCAGTTGAAGGCTGCAATGCCTACTTCTTGAGTCACTTTCATAGCGATCATTACATTGGTCTAACTTCTACCTGGTCGCACGGCCCTATATACTGTAGCAAAGTCACTGGCAATCTCGTCAAACAACAACTGAAAGTAGATCCAAAATGGGTTGTGTCCATTGACTTTGACGACAAGATCGAAGTGCCTAATACCCAGGGCGTTTCAGTGACGATGATTCCAGCTAACCACTGCCCTGGAAGCTCGCTTTTTCTCTTCGAGAAGACTACTGGCGGTGGCCAAAGGCCTAAAGTTCAACGCATTCTTCACTGTGGCGATTTTCGAGCTTGTCCGGCTCATATTGCTCACCCTCTTCTAATGCCCAACATTGTGGACTCAGTCAATGGGAAGACTAAACAGCAAAAGATCGACGTCTGTTATCTTGATACTACATACCTGAATCCCAAATACTCATTCCCATCACAAGAAGACGTTGTAAAAGCTTGCGCAGATATGTGTGTCAGTCTCAGTAAAGAAAGGGCAGAAGAAAGTGATGCATGGGAAACAGTCAAGAGAGAACGAGCAGGATCCAAGATGACGAATTTCATCAAACCTCCTCTGAAGATTGAGGCTGAGGACTCTGACAACCCAGAAACGTCTTCTAAGAGCGAGAAGAAAGCTCGAGGCCGTTTACTTGTTGTCTGCGGCACCTACAGTATTGGCAAGGAACGCATCGTACTTGGTATAGCTCGTGCTTTAGATTGCAAAATCTATGCAACCCCAGGAAAAATGCGTATCTGTGCCGCTTTAGAAGATCCCGAACTTACAAGTCGCTTGACATCAGATCCTCGAGAGGCACAAATTCATATGCAGATGCTTATGGATTTACGGCCAGAAACTTTACAAGACTACCTCACTGGCTATAAGCCCCATTTCACACGTGTTGTGGGGTTTAGACCAAGTGGTTGGAGTTATAAGCCACCGAATTCTCGGTTTGTAGATTCTCCGCCGATTCATACAATTCTTACCGCTGCGAATTGGAGATCAGAATACAACATGGGAGAGTTGGTACCACAAAGAGGAAGTACAAAAGAAGCGCAATGTTTCGGAGTACCGTATTCGGAACATAGCAGTTTCAGGGAGTTAACGATGTTTGTTATGGGTTTAAGAATTGAAAAGGTGGTTCCAACTGTCAATGTCGGTAGCGAAGTTGGGAGGAAACGAATGAAGATGTGGATTGATAGGTGGCTTACGGAGAGGAGAAAACATGGAGTACTGAGATTTGGAGATAAGAAGGACGAGGGAGTGGTTCAGTGGTAGGGAGCGGATTACTTGGGTACTAAACAGCTTCTTCGAGGTTTTTAGTCTCGAGTTATAGAGTTCCAGGATGAACTGTAGAAAGCTTTCTAATGTGTGTTTTGAAGAAATATCGACAAACAGGGTTTGAGTAAAATCATAAAAGGACGCAGAGAGGAAGAATTGTAGTTAGGTAGTTGGTTATGAATTAATGACAATGACAGATAAGATTATATTGTGTATATATAGTCAATTGCAGTTATCCTACTGACCTATATTCCTACCCAAAATTCTTGTATTTGACTTTACTGTCACGAGTACTATCAGCCTCTGTCCTCTTGTTCAAAGTGCTAAATCATCTAGGCATACTTCTGCTGATTAGGGGTGGCGAGCTCTTGCCACATCTCGAAGAATCAAGTTAAAACCTCTAATCACAATCTCCTTACGGGTATCCTGACTTCTCCAGTACCTCTTATTTACACATCGATCGATACAAGAGCTTTCATGCTTGTTATATACTACACAGTTACAAATTGAAGCTGATGATATTATTTGATAGTGTTTTAATCAACTTTATAAACATCTAGCTAGTTAATAGAGTTATGAAAATACTAGGGGCACTCATTTCTATGATCACTATTTACAATTGTCATGACTATTTGGTGAATCCAAACACTACCCACCTATGATGGTTATAAGGGTAAATATTATAAAACACACCAAAAAGCGGCCGTGCTTTTCCTTATATATAAGGGCTTTAATTAATCAAAATATTATATTCTTTGAAAATTAATATAATAAATTCTAATATATCGAAATATTATAAATATAGATTTTAATATACTAATATATTAAAATAAGTTTATTCCTTAATAATTCTATTAGATAGTTTATTAAAATCTTTAAAATCTTTAAAAACTTTATAAGTTTTTATAAATAAAAGAGAATTTGAAAATTGAAATTTGAGGAGATAGTTTAATATATATTTGAATTGTTTAAAGTAATAATAAATAATATATAAAAACAATAAGTTTTTAGTAAAAGTGGGTTTTACATTACTTATTCATATAACCACTGTACACAACACTCCTTACATAAAAACTGTGCTGCATTCATAAATTCACAAAATCAATCATTAATTCAATCCAATCCAATTCTACCTAGGTAAAACAAAACCAAGCAAGCACCAATTCCCTTACCCGAAACCTTGGGATCCCCCTTGTTTCTCACCCCTGTCTGTTCTCCCTGAGCTTGCCCATTTCCCCACACACAACAGCCACGGCAGAAGATGTTTTTCCCCATATTTTGTGATGGCATGATTTGCGGTGTGGATTTTCAGGGTGCGCCGTGATCGGCGGTCAGATGCATGGAGATGATGGAATGATTGTCAGGGACTGTGGTGGGATCCTTGTATTTGGGAACTTGTTGGGGGGTGGTTTGAGGAAAGGAATGGGGATACGGGGTTGGATGGGGAGAGGGAGAGGGAGACGGAGATGGGTGGATGGAAGTGGGTGGATGGTTTGGAGATTGATGATGATGATGATGATGATGATGACGATGATGATGGTATGCATATGTGATATGTTTCATGTACCTATATATGCACTATCTATGTATGTATGTATGAACTCTTGTTTATTGATATTTCTGAATATTCATGTTTGGAATTCTGAGTTGAGCATATTGCTTGAGACGCTTGGTAATTTACTCTACATATGTACTAATCATGTAGGGAGTGATCAGGTGAAAATTTCCAATTACTAATTAATTTCCATGCATATTTTCTTCTCGGTATATGTATCGATACCCGTCGATACGAAGTATTCCATCACCATTCATATCCATCCATGTCTACCTAGTAACTCCACTCCACATATCCCACGCACGCAAACACGATCTCCTAAAAAGGGGGGATCCCAAGAACAAGTAGTCGCATGACCAATATTCCGTATAGATAATATATTTTCAAAGTATAAAAAAAAGCTTTGAGAGAGTGGGAGCAAGGGATGGAAGGGACGGTGTCTTAGGTGTCTCAATTGCACTGTACGGAGTATGGTGTCTTGACTCTGGGACCCTGTCTAGTCCGCCTCATTGTCGATCGGGCTAATCGTTTTCGGCCATTTCTTGGGGTAACGTGGCGTGCATTTGCATGGGGGGGGAGGGGAGGGGAGGTGTGGAATGGGGTGATCGACGAGCGAGCGTGCTTACCTACCTATTTGATATGTATCGTACAGAGAGAGTACTTACTCTGTAGCTCGGTATGGTATGGTATGGTATGATATGATATGATATGTAAGGCATGCTCGGCAAATTGTGGGGTTGGAATTTGGAATGGGGGAATGGGGGAATGGGGGAAGGGGTGGTCAGATGTCTCAGATATGAAAAATGAGGGGAGAGCGAGGGGGGCTCGAGAGGAGTTTAAAATGGGATTGGAGGAATGGAGGAAGAGGAAAACGACAAGTTCTGAAAAAAAAAATCCAATGGACGGGACGACTGCGATTTGGAATCGATTATACAAATGTGCGACGGATCGAAAAGGAGGCTGAGTGATGTACCTAGTTAGCGCGTCAACTAAGTCACACAAGCTACAACGTACCTGCGAGACTAGGTATCTCCGTATGCGCGCGTCTTCTCTTCGCCATCCCGAGGTTGCGCTAGCGATCTAACTACCTAGCTACTTACTTACTAAACTGACTGACTGACTGACTGACTGACTGAATGACTGACTGACGTTCTAGCGCTCTGAAGCTCTCCTTAACACTCTACCCCGGATTTGGGGATACGTGATCATGTACGATTGGACGCAACGGCGAGACCGACTACGAGACAGAGAGAGAGAGAGAGAGAGAGAGAGAGTAAAAACAAGAAGAACATCAAAGACAAGACAAGAAATAAAACAAAAGCAAAAATAATAATAAAGAGCAACAAGTGCATGTCTGCAATTGTCTCTCACTCTCAGAAGCATCTCCTTTATCTCTATTTATCTCTTGATCTTATACTCTATATAGTCTACTATAATCCTATATGTATACACATAATCTTGCTTGCCTGCGTAAAATCTTTCCCTCAATTCCCAACTCGCAACTCCCAACTCCCAATTCTCTATCCTACCTATCCCATACCCTTTCCCCATTCCCCATCATCCATCCTCCCTCTCCCTCTCCCTCAACCCCTCCTCAAACCCAAACTCAAAACTCAAAAAAAAAAGTAACGAAAAAAAACCCCCCACCCAAAAGACCCCCTAAAACCCACTCTCCCTCATAAAAATGGCCACATAAACAAACCTAGTACCTAGTAAAGCGAGCAGCGCACCCTTACTGCACTGCACTATCAATCAACCAAATCATCAAATCCATCAATCAATCAAACCACCCACCCACCAAATCTTCAATCAAGATCGACATGCCGAAAGATTCCCACAGAAGAAAGGCGCGAGATGCGGGATGCGGCATTCTAGAAGTATAGGGGCGACAAAGGAATATTTTAGCACGACATACTAGGGTATCAACACTCATATTTCATAGGATGAGATGGACCATAGAAATCTTAGGGGGAAATTCTAGGAATGATTGTAAAAGGATGAATGAAAGAGGCCGCAAAGTTTTCTCATCTAGTGTAAAAGTATGACGACACTTCATCAAAGCCCGTTTAATCCCTTACATACCATCAGATCACAACATAACCACATTACTTTGCATCACATAGCTCCAGAGATTATTTGCTTTGTATATTGTTCATTTTTGTTGACTACTGTATTGGTGTATATGCTCAATAGTTCGCCAATTTCTTTCTCCTCCCCCTTTCCTCCCTAGGTATGGCGTGCGCCAATTCGCATTATTGCGAAAATGCAGTGAGGTGTGCATTTGGATAGTGTGCTTGCGCACAACTTATGATCCCCATCGTACAGTGTAAACCCAATTTTTTTCCTCCTCACCAAAAGACAAACCTGTCTCTCCTATACCCAGTGAAAGCCCAACCCCCAATCGCGACGAATTTGCCCGAACCCTTTATATGTAACCCATTGCCAAAGTACAATTTTGGCTATCATCCTCAAGCCCTGACCCCATTAAGAGCAAAACCCGTTCCCAAGCCAAAACGCCGCCCAATCCCAATTGTGGTTCCTGAACCCGGTGTGTAAATGCAGCATCTAATATGTGCTTTAGTATTATGTACAAAAGTCGCCGTATATAGGTACGCCGACATTATATTTCCATCAATAATTGTATCGTATGCATGAGTTGACCCTTGGAATGATAATGAGGCTTTCGAGAGCCGTTGTCCGAATATGAAAATTAGCGCCTCCATCCGACATTCCAGATGACATGGGCGATGTCCTTTGCTGTATTTACAGTATCGACAACTTTTCCAAAAAGTCCTTCAGATACAACATCATCTTCGTCCTCTTCATAGGGCATAAACATGCCGGATGGCGTTCTCCTCATACCAGATGGCTCCTCATTGCCAACGCAGTCCGAGGTGCTGAGACTGTGGAATCGATCTTGCGCAATGGATACGCTATCTTTTCTGTGGGCAAAGGCATTTGGTGGTTGCCAATCGATATCGTCATCGTCTTCATCATCGCCTAGAAGCATTCTTGTCGATGGTTTTGAAGGTTTCAATGTGTCTTGAGAGGGTGACGGTGACAACTTTCCTCCGTGAAAAGACCCACTGTGCTTCATGGCTGTTTCCTGTGGCTCGGGAGTATCTGCTCGATACTTGAGTGTTGTAGATGGTAACATTGCAATGGTTTTGCTATCAGTCATAGAGTTGACTCTGGAAATTATCCTCTTCCTCATCGGTGGGAGTTGTCGCTTAGAAGTGCTTCTCTTCATCATGATAGCTCCATCATCGGAGTCACTATCGTCAAAGTCTTGAGTACTGTAATCCAACTCGTCATCATCATCGCCCTTGACTTCCAAAGCTATGCATTGCGACACTTGTTCATTAAAACTAATGTGTTTCTTTTCAGTACCAGGGGTAATCAGTCCTGACGAGGTGACCGATGAAAGCATGCTCAAATCAGCTTGCTCAGATTGTCTACTTGCAAATTCATAGGGAACATAGTCAGATGCAGCCCTAATTATACCAGGGCGTCCATCCCCAGATTGCTGTGCTTGGACCGCAGCAGCAGCTTGTTTGAGTAATGAAGATGATGACAATGACCTTTGAAGCATTATTTCGGACATGCTTCTTTTCTTGAGAATTGGCTTCTTTTGCAAAAAGGAATTTGATTTCGATAGTCTGCTGCTGCTGACAGGAGAAATATCTGGGGCGTTGAATGTGGTTGGTCCAGCTTGAAGTGGACCATATAGCCAGGTCACATCACAATCCTTCAACCTACAAAATGTCAGTTATTTTTCGATTCAAGTCACAAGAGTACAGTAGTAGTATAAACATGAAAACCAAAACCTACCAATTAAGTGTTTCGGGCGAAACGGTCTTGAGTCTATATTTTGCCTTCATCCAAGTTCTCCACGAAGCATTTTCTAGTCGTTCATGATTAGAGTATTCACCCCCCTTTGATACAATGAGTTTCCATGATGCCCATATATCCTCTTCTTTCCAATTGTGTGATAAATAATCAACGTGCCGCGAAGGTTTCGCTTGTAGTGCTGTGTCATCCTCGGCATGTGCGTATGGTAGTTCTGGGGATCCAGGTCGGGAGATTATAGAGGTACTGTTTGAGGTGGGTGAGACAGCATAGGAATCGTCGGTATGTGGACTGGTTGGCGGCTCTAAATCTTCAATTTGATCGCAATATCCTGTATCGTCGTATGTGGGAAAGTAAATTCGATCTTCGTCGTCTGCATCGTCGCTATGATCGAGTGACAAGCTGCTCGCTGGCGTTGACGAGTATGAAGGAGCGACAGAATCGGCATGTAGAGTTTGGGGAGACGATGGTGCCGAAGACACCGAGGAATTACTGGGTGATATTATCGGGTTGAATTTTACGCTGTTCGATCGAGATAGAGATTGTGAATATGACGACGGCTGTGTGACGAATTTGGGCTGTGAGTGTGATCGACGAAGAGGACTTGACGAAAAGTAGGAGTTTTCTTCCGAATTGAGGACTATCGCCATTTTTGCGGTGATACCTTCCGGTAGAAGAGTTGGGTTGATTGGTGGCGGAGTATGTGGTTTAAGGTCAGAACGACCTGTTATTGAGAAAAATAACCTCCTCTTCGTTTGAATTTTCTATCGTTTCTAGATTCGCTGACTTCCTATTCCGTTGTTTCAAAACTTGTACAATGACTATGATATCAATCATAAACTCGAATACGTCCAGAGTACTGAAAGGTTGTTTGCGAAAGTATGGTTGGTGGTAGGTAGGGAGTGATTAAGGTAGGCAGGATTAAGGTGCAGTAGGAATTCTCCACAATTGAGGTTTTTATTGATGAATTGAAGTGAGCTGCGGTTGATTTTGTAGGGTTTCAAAGGCTTTTCCAAATCCCAAGTGATCAATAGGATACAGCAGCAGGTTATCGATTGGAAAGAAAAAGGGTTGATTTTGGTGTTTAGGTTTGTAGGTGATAAGGGAAACGAGTGAATGTGGAGAATGGGGGAATGGAGGATGGAGAATGGAGAATGGAGAATGGAGAATGGAGAATGGAAGATGGAAGATGGAAGATGGAAAACGGAAAATGTAAATGTGAAATGGAGAAATGAGAAATTGATCGAGGTGAAGTAATATAACAAATCAAGTGAGGACTGATTCTGAAGAATTTAGTTGGAAAGTCTTTTTTTCTTTGGAGGAAGTTTATTTTTGTACTAGGTATAGTAGGTAGAGTAGTATTAAGTAGAGACAAGAAAAGAAGAAGTTCTCGACCCTTGGAATTTAGGAACTTGGACATTCATGAAGTGGCTTTGGTGCGGAATTTTTCTGATTGAAAAGTGGGTGGGAAGTGGATAGTGGGTTGCGAATGGAATGAGTGGATGGATGGGCGAGGGACGGGGTGTGAAGTGAGGAGTGAGGGGTGAATTTAGTAAATAATGGTGGTGATGGTTGATATTGAATGTGAATATGGAATACGAACGTGAGGGGTGTGTGTAGTCAGTTTGTATGTAGAAGGCTATATATGTCTAGGAGGTATATGTGTAGGTAGGTAGATAGGTAGGTAGGTAGGTAGGAAGACAATAATAATAACTGCTAAGTAATAACTGCTAAGTAGGTAAGTAATAATAAGTGGTAAATGCTAATGACTTTCCAAGGTTGTGCGTTTCTCTAATAATGCAGGGGCTCCCATTATGTACTAGGTAAATATAAAACCCCCCGTAAAGTATTCTGTACATGACAAAAAAACGTTAGATCTCTATCTCATACCAAGAAAGGTTAGATATCATCGATCGAAATGGAAGTAAAGTAGAGACGACGAGGACGCCTTCGATATATCATATACCTAGGTAGGTCCAGTCTACTACACATGAGCGAAGTGTTTGGTCTCGACGGTACCTTTGTATGGAATCGCTATCTACGGACAATGGTAGTTAGAGCTACCTACCTGGTATTGCATGGCATTGATACACTTTGCATCACCATCATCATCATTCATTCACTGACCTCCAATTGATTCCATTACTTAAGATTAGGTACATGCAATACATATGTACGACACAACCAGCATCCAAACAACTCAGAATTCCTTCTCTTTCACCACCTGACTTTCATTATGCTCAATGAGGAAGTGTGTCTGTGAAGAAAGGAATGTTAATTTAAAATTAACAATTCCATGATGAATACTCGCATTCCCTATCCCAATTCCATGGAGTCTGAGACAGAGAACCCAAAGAAATCCCGTGTCAGAGCAATCAAAGGTCTACCTATAGGTGCCTCTCTTCTCGTGAACTTTTACCTTTATTCCTGTCTAAGAACCTTACTATCAGTCAACTACGGGCCTAGGTATATCTAATTATCAATAGTATCCAGATCTCTAAACTCTCTCCATCTTTTTTATCTCTGATAAGGTATGGATGGACTCTAGCAATGGGCCATTCTATAAGCTTTCCAATTCCTGGAGAAGAACCTTGGAAGACTGGGGAAACGAAACACTTTCAGACATTCATCGTGCGATGTTAGTTCTTGATAGGTAGAATGGGTCAACCGACAGCGACCCAGATCCGAATATGGTGTAGAGAGAGGGGGAAGTTGTCTCGATTGATATCTAGGCCTGAGCGTTGTGAGCCAATTTATTCTCTCGGCCTTTTTCCATTGTTTCCAGGTCGTGGCTTGTCGACTAGATAGTCTCATACAAAACTTATCCAAATCCTAGCAAAGCTGCTCTTTGATATATCGATCAATGTGTGGAATGAACACGTTTTGGGATGCTTTGTTACCTTCGTCCACGCAGGTACATTCCGGTAGATTACGTGTATACGTGCTACACTGCAGTAATTCTACCTAACCAGTCTTGCTGAGTAAATTCTGTACCTCGTACGCACCTTGAACTACATACTTATATCTCTCATCTACTTTTGCATCTTCTGTTGCATCATCATATCAAACCACTCGTATTTCCCGCACCTCAGGGCCTTTCACATTTTGCATCCTAGTATTTGACAGGCTATAATAGAACACCTATAGCGTCGTGAACCGGGGCAGATCAATCATTCCAGACCGATATGGTGGAAGCGAAATGCTCATCATCGATCAATCACCGAGAATCCCATATTTATCAATACCAGGTTAATGAGATATCACATCGGTCTCAAATGATTAATGTCGAACCATTGCTACAACGATAGAAGGCCTATCTCAAGAGATAATGAAGTGGCACGCTACCTCCTGCCCTGATTCTACTAATAGATATACCAAGCTCACTAATTTTGCTAAGCTGGCTCTCAAGGTGAAGAGAACGACGACAGACGACAAACACTTCAACCTACGAGCCCGATTTTCCGAACCTAGAATTCTCCAAGGTTGTATCCCATCTGCCAATCACATCTCGTTCTTCCTCTCTTTGCGGGACAATGTGGGGATCATTGGAGGCGAGCAACACCGAATACTCACTGGCTGCAGGCGTAGGCTGGTGGCTCGGAGAGAAAATTCTCGTTGCCATTGCCACTAAAAATGCCAATTACCCCATGAGGTGATGGCTCAGATTCAAGATAGACCGGAACGACCATTAGTTTTCTAGCTTCTAGATAACCCCTGAGAATATCAAGAAAGAATCCATGTTAAAACCTTTTACATCGCGAGTGTTTTACCGAACTTCAGTCTTGGTTGGGGTTGGCTGTCTTGTGCCGGCCATCCTTCAAGTGTCTCTTCGAGCAGCATAACAAAATATCAAGACAATGCCGTTGAACCTCGATTGCTCCAAAATATGCCAGGCCTATTACAATCAATATCTCCCCCCTTATTTCCCATTTCCGGATTGAAGAAGCAACAGAAATGTCCGGTGTTCTAGTCAAAGCTTGTTCCATGATGGGAAAAAGTATGTTTTGGAGTAGTTGAGTTTATACGGTAGGTTATCCCAGAAATCTCTCATACTAAACATATTCGTTGGAGTAGCTCGAGTAGTAGGAGTAGCTTGTCACGCAATAATCTTATCTCAGAATATTTTATTCGCTCGCTTTGACAGAAACACATACAATGGCTTAAGAGTGGCAGCATGTAAGAAGTTAGAATGTCGGCTATCTTCAAACTCGGCCTACACGTATATACCTAGGTCCATGGCTACGGAATCAAAGTTCAAAGTATAATCCTTCGATGGTCTGGGGAAATTACCAAAGTGTTCTCAAACAGACCTGCTTCGTTGATTGTGTTGTAATTTTAAATTCAGACCATTCTTTCCTGCTTCTCTTCACCAAACGCCGCAAGTCTATTGTCGGCAGTGAGAGCTGACAATTCTAGATTATTACTTTCGGCGCTTCTTCTACAAATATGGGTCTCAATCTACTGATAGGAAACCGAGCCCGACGGGAGATCGTCTATTTCCAACTTCCAAGAAATATGCAGCCTTTTAACTGCACCACTAAAAGGAGTCATCAACTGAGCCTCGGGTTTGACCGATGAAGTATTTCTCACATCGTAGTTGTCCGAAAACAATTGCATTGTAGTAGCCTTACCTCCGTATCGCTATATACGAAGGTCAACAATGTCTATACCGAGCCGGCACGCATTGTCCTTTATGGATGATCTTGGACGATCAACCCGTGCCGTCGAACAGTTTGCGCTGTCATCGCTGCATAGTCCGTCCTACCCAAATACGACATCTGCATGATCACTGACATCTATGGAGAAACACCCGGGGCTTCTACCGCCCTCATCTTTCTCTGTTTGTTCGTCCATTCGATATCCGTCTAACTATGGTGAAGCAAAATCAGGTTTGAGATTGAACTAAACACTAGAGAAAGTTAATAGATGTGCGGACGTCTCTGAAAGGTTTGGCATTATCAACGTCTGTATCTGATAAGGACCTCAAGAACAAGCATCAAATGATAGACAGGCATTCATGAGTATATCACTTCCTGCAGCAACTATTGAATGCTCCAGGTTATGAAAGCTCGATATGGAACGAACATTGGGCGGGCGCATACAACATGCGGCACTCTGTCATATTAATAATTGGTTCATACAAGTGGTCAAACACGAGTTTATTCTTGAGTATTACACATCCCGCATTTTGAAAAAAAGTGGTTCCAGATTTAACAAGTCCCTTACAAAGCTTGAAAATTGGTTCTCAACTTTTCTATTGGCAGCTCACACAAGCCACATAGTGGACTCGTTGGATTGGATTTCTATACAAAGCACAACTTGATGTGCCGAGAAGTCTTCCTCATTATGGACTACAGCTTATCAGTTTATCGGAAGCTCGTTAACAACGTCGACATAGTTACAGTATCCAATGACAATAAGAAGAAGCGTCAGAAGTCAAACTATAAAGTAGTGGAAGCAGCTATATTCTTACAGTGGCATCTGAATGCAAGTTCAGGGTCAACCTGACTCACATCCCCGGAAATCTTTCGCCATCAGTCCATCAGTGCAGGATATAGCCAGCAATCTAAAAATTGTGATTGTGATTATCAGAACGCGACATCTCTGGGGAGGGGCAATCAAATTGAATCAAATTGAATCAAATTGAATCAAATTGAATCAACAGGTGACCCTTATCGACTTTCCCAAAAACTGGATATGTATTATGAACAGACTCTCCCTAGTACGAGGAAGGTAATCTTGAATGAAAATTTCAACGGCTGTATAAGATATCGGGTACCCGGTAGATGCGAATTTTTATTTTTAACATGGGAAAGTTACATCCGACCGATGATAATCTCAAAGTGGTATCCCGCACAGTCGAGAAGAATTTATCCGGCCGAATTGTGGAGTCTCTGAGCAAATCCCATACAGTAGTACGGAGTCCATGGCGACAAGGCGCAAGTGTTTTCCATCTCATTTCTATTTCCATTTCCATTTATATTTCCATGTCGAGAGTATTGGAGGGCTGAAGGCTGAAGCAGGGCATTGTTGCATAAACAGACTATCAAGGGTTCAAAGGTCTCGATGAGTCTATTGTCGAGTGGGGGAAGTGGGCGGTTTTGAACCATTGAGCCATTGAACCATTGAACCAACCATTGAACAATCGAACAATTGAACAATTGAACAATCGATAAGTCACTCAGAACTTCAAAAGTCATCCACCCACACCAAATGCAAGAGCAAGGTTCTGATTGACCTATTGCCTATCTGAGTATCATACTATTTTATCTTCCACAATTCAATTAATACCGGCAACTACCTAAGTACTCGGAGACTGTATGTAGGTAGTAGATACATGAACTGCACATGAATTGCACACTTACACTTACACTTACACTTACACTTACACTTACACTTACACTTACACTTACACTTACACTTACACTTACACTTACACTTACACTTACACTTACACTTACACTTACACTTATTACACTTACACTTACACCTTATCTTCTTTCCTCTTATCAAATCTTGCTAAAATGTTATGTTGTCATCAAACATGACAATTGTATTGATATTGATTAATCATTCATCCATCTCCTAATGTGCAATGTCGTCCATAGCATAACCTAGCTTTACTCTCGAGCTCTTGACTATCTCAAGTGTTGCAGTAGTAACCACCAGCCTTTTCAAATTCCAATGAAGCAACCCCACTACATCGAGGTGGTTGTCATTCATGATTCATGTGCCTTCTTCTTGTTTACAATAATTCACACCTGCCCATTGCTACCCCTCACCCACACACACACCACGGATATATTCTTGAGGAAGTAATCTAGATCCTCTCATAACCCCAGCATGTCAAGCCCATGCCGATCTCCCCTTACCCGTCACACATCATATGATAACGGTTCACCCTCTGCGCCGTGCTACGAACTCCTGCCCACGACACACCGCAATATAAATTCCCTGGGCCTCACTGCGGTCGTGATTTGCATAGATACCTAGGCATTGTTCGCCAAGTTTCATACATCCACGTTCGCTCATTCGATATACACAATACTGGAAAGAGTCTCTCCTGGATTTCATATGTTTGTAACTTTGTATAGAGGAGCTCATTCACACCGCATATAATGATAAGCAACTGACGACGCTTTCGGCAATCGGTCCCCTACCATGCGAAAGGAGTTGCTTGGAATGCAAGTGGCTTGCGTACCACATCTTGGTTTGATGGCTTGAAACTTGCCGGTCATAGATGCCAATCTTTCGTGCTTAAAGATGTCAGTTTAAAGTGTAGTTCCCTTGTTTCTATCCCTTTTACCCCGCTGTCTGGAAGTAGGTAGTCATCTTCACAATAGAAATCAAGCAGCACAATACCACCAAAGGATCTCGAAACCACAAACACAATAGCAAAAATCCATACACAAACACAGTACCAAGTACCTATACATGAAATAGAAGGTTCCAGCCCCCCCCCTCAAATCTTATCTATAATCTCCTCATATCCCATACTACCCTCATACATGCACCGTCGTATCCCACACCCTCGTATCTTAACTTTCTCCTCACGTCATTCCCCAATCGTCCATCGTCGCATCGGAAACACTCGGAATGACACGTTATGGTACATGCATAAATGAATGATGGCGTAGTCATGGCGCGGAGCTTATGCAAGCCCTCGATGTATGATGCACGCCGCGCAAGTGTTGCTGCAGCCACTTTCACACGATACGGGCTCTGGAGACGATAAATGCAGTTTCTGGGACGAGAGCTTCCTCTCGGGATCGGATACGGATCTTCGGGAAATGAGTTCAGATGAATGTGATGGTGCAATTGCGATCCATATGGATAATAAAAAGATCTTGGTATATGCACATCAATGTTCCATCAATTAGCAAAGCAACGTTTAACTCGCCAATTCCCATCGGCATCAAGTAGATTCCAACAACCGATTTTCAATATCTTTTTGACAGCACCACTTATTTGATCGTCTTCTTGGAAGTCAATGAGACTCTATCAAGCATCTTTGTGAAGTATCAAATACATCTCATGTATCGGTGTCGTATCCCAACCCTACCTGCTTCAAGTGTACTGCTTCAAGGGTCCTTCCTTCAATACATCGTCTTCGTCTCGTCTATGTACAATGATGTACATGATACGTCCTACAAGTACATGGTTCGTTGAATCAAATCTCGCATCCAGTAAAGACAAAAGTTGAACATGTACCGAACAAGCGAGCCAGGTACCTCAGATGTCACAACATACGGATGTACAGGTACCTCTCTCCCCGGTTTCTGGATGGGACTATGGACAGTATAGATGCAGCCGAGATGTCGAAGAATCGAATTTGGAAGATCGTTGCGATGTTTGGGGTAGTCGAATGATTATCGTAATCTCTTTCATCTAGGATGGAGTTGCATATTCGATACTGTTTCGTCTATATCCATCATTCCTATCTACCATCTCATAAACCACATGTGAAAAGTTTGGGGCCCAGACAGGAAAAATCGAATCCATGGGATATATTCCCCAATCAACATCGGCATAAACTGCAAATACACACCAAACCATATCAAATCAAATCAAATCAAACCATACCGTTCAACACCGCAAACCCACCCAATAAAGACCAGGTATGCAGAAGCTCAAAACAGGAGAAAGCAAGAAATCAAGCAAAAACCTTGATAGATACCTCCAAACCACAACGTTCGTCTCACGGTATGTCCATGTCGTGCTACTTCCACACTTTATATCAACTACACACGTGCCGCTCTGTATATACGTACATACCTAAAATATACACCTACATTTCGGTATATGCTTACGAATGTAAGATTACAATACCAAGATACATACACATACACATATACACATATACATACAAACACGAGCAAACACACAAACAAACAACCCCCATGCACACTCCCCCCCTTCCCAAGCCACAGCATACCAAATGACTAATACCCCTATCCCATCCCGTACCCCCACGCAACCAAATTCCCCCACGCTTTTTCACAAAGCACCTACTAGGTATGTACATGTACATGTACCTAGGTAAATGTACCTAATAGTTACACAAACCCATGGTCCGACCTCCCTCTTCCTAGTTTTAAATTTCTAACAAGTCGATCCCGGTAGGTGTTCTAGGAGGAAGAGAGGAAATCATGCCATGCAGTGCGATGTGACACCCGAAGCGAGGTAAATGGACTTGTACTTGTACTTATTCTTGGTCTTGGCTTCGGACATTAAAATCTTGAATGGACGGTACTTGTTAGCTGCTCTCTATTGTGGATTTTGTACCAAGAAAGTGTCATTAATATTGTTGTTGTTATTGTAGGTAGGTGAGGAGTGCCCATTGTATTCAAGCAGATGTAGACTCTACGGGGTTGTAATAGTTTTCTTTCTTTCTTGTTATTCAACTCTCATGCTAGATTCCAAATCTATGAAGGTGGTCTCTATAGGTAGGCGATCTTCTATTTTCTCAAAACTCAACTCGCATAGCTAGTCCTTTTATCCAACCGCTTTCTAACCCCTCCTCTCCCCAAAAGCTACCTCTTCTGGAATCCTGAAACTAACACAGAACATCCTCTTCTTCGGCGCCACATCTCTCACATCCCAAACCTTCGTTTCATACTTATCACCCTGCTCAATCTTCATACCCAATTTCTCGCTCACCCTTTCGCAAATTTCTATATTAGCCGCCTCGTTATCTTCATTCTTTGCCGCAAAACAATGGACATGTACCATTGGCAATTTTGTTTTTGTATGTGGGGCAAATAGGTGTTGAGATTTATGATAGAGGCCATGGAAGGAGGGAAGGAAATCTATGGCGGTGGCAGGGAGATTCATTACGAAGTGGGAGATGGTGTTGGGAATGGTGAGGACTTTGGGAGGTGGAGGTGGCTGAGTTGACGGAGGAGCACTGCGAGAGGGTCGTTTGGGAGCGATAGTAATGGTATTTTGATTTGTGGCGGTGAGTCGGAGGAGTTCGTCTGCGGCTTGATGGATGAATTTGTGGCCATCTTCGTTGAAGGGATGAACAAAATTTTCGACCTGAAGAGTTATTAGTTATATGACCTTTTGTGATTTTCAATACGATTGAGGAATGGAGTCTTGGTCAGATCAAAGCGCCTTGTCAAAAGCATTCTCATCAAAGTAACCCAACTTGTGGTTTATGTTGACCGTCGTGATATTGATATCATCATGAACAAAAGGGGCAAGATCTTCAGTAAGGGAAGACAGACCTTATTTCTAACAACCGCATCTTTCATAGCCTTATAACTATCCGGATTCAAATCATTTGCCCACACAAAAACCCCTTTCTTTCCTGCTGGTAAGGCGAAGGGACCCACCCCCGCCATAACGTCACAGACGACATCCCCAGGCTCAAACAGATCCACCAATCGCTTATGTTCTGTTTGCAATCTACTATTCCAATAAACTTTCGAGTAATCGAATCGAAACGTACAATCTCCCTCGCGGATTTCAACATTCATGTTATCTTCACCGGCGAGCACTTCGTAAGAGAAAGTCCGGTATTCAGAAACGGTGCCCACATCATCAATTTTGTTGATGACCGTACGGATGGTGGGATTTTTGTCCATAAGAACTGCCGCAACGAGAGACTTATAAGGAAGATATTCGTCATGTAGGTTGAGATGGGCTGGTACTGTTAGAAAAGTTCAGACGATTGGAAAGAGGAGCAATACCAACATGCCCGACAATGGCGAAACCGACTGGAATCTCTCCTTGGGCATCTTCGGGAAGAATAGATTTCATGATATCGACTGTAAAGATTAATTCCTATAAATGCATATGGTGACCGAAAATAACATACTATAATTCCAATGATCATAACCCAGAGTCAAATCAAATGGGATAACTCCCAATTCCTGTGCCTTCACAGCTTCATGTAAAATTGGACTCCAAGTGGTAGGATCTGCCAAATAAAATCAGAATCTCATTCTACCACCCCTAAGAAATCCGAGGTACTATACCATCATGTTTTACTTTAGGATTCAGAAGCAAACACTTTCCACCTTTCGCCGCAAATTCTGGGTCTGGATCCGATCGTATAGGCGCAACTCTATCTTCCAACAACATTTCTTTGCTTTTTGTCAATTGCGATCGACATTTTGATATAATTTTATTATTCATCAATCTTGCTGCGGAAATTGGTATAGTTTTGGAAAATAGAGCACGATCGAGTACTCCCGCTGCGGAGCGCACAACGGGTGGGCGAAATAATGACATTTGGTCGTTAGATGTTACTGTAGATTTCTACCTAGATTATCAGTAAAGCCATTCATTACTACGGAATGCGAACATACCTCCATGACTTCATATCGTTTTGTCATTTCTTGTGAAGGTTTTAATTTTGTGTGTAGACGACTCATAATTTCGCACAAGGCTGAAGCGAGAGATTTTAGATCATGAGCTAGCGATAAGGCTACGCAAGGCTATGACCGAATCAGGTGGTGATGTCATGAAAGGCTATATTCATTAAGATTTCCCGACGCGCTGACTGCTGTTGGTGTAGCTCTATAAAGAATTGTATCTCAAAATGTCGACAGTGAAAAGAACGATAGATTCCTTCTTCAAACCACCGGCAAAGAAACCCAGAGTATCAGAATTGGCAACAACAGAAGAAGCGAAAGGAGAAGCATTGGTAAGTATCGTACAACACAACAGCTTCATTTCGCCACTAATCAATGAAGGAACGCGAATTCACGCGTCATTCAACTTATCCATTTCCAATACCATGTCTTCCTTCCTCCATATCTTCAGAGCTGTCTTCGTTTCCATCTACGATCGGCAAAGAGATAAATAATCAAGCCGATCTCGATCTTCTTTACTTCGAGCCTTACATTCCCAAGTATCTTGAACGTCATATGTTCCAGTTTCTTCGTTCGGAATTGCCCTTTTATCGTGTGGAGTATGATATCAAGCGAGGAGGTATATCGACGCATATCAAAACTCCAAGGTAGACCTTCCATTCTTTGAATTTAAGCCAATCACTAAGACTCGAGGAGGTGGACCACGGTATTCGGCCTCGATGAAACATCTAAGTTCAATGATAATGGAGAACTCGTTGATGCCAATAGTGGTAAGAGAATCGAGAAAGAGCGATGTTACACCAAATATCCACCTCGGCCAATACCCAAATGTTTAGACGATTTACGACTTTCCACTGAAATGGCGACGGGTTGCAAGTTCAATTTCTGTCTCGTCAACTATTATGCATCTGGATCGGATTCGATCTCATATCAGTACGTCAACGGTAGACAGGTTTCGCTGTCTTTCACACCTAATTCTGTGCTCTGATATCAAGGCCCACTTTTCCTCTTCTCCAGAAGCGTCGTTTCCATTTTCTAATGCAACTTCTGTTCTCATTTCCCCCCAAAATGCGTCTTTGATAGGACATACTGATTTCCTGGCTTTCAAAAGTAGTGACGATGAAAGATTCTTGGGCCCATTGCCGGCCATTGCAAGTTACTCGCTTGGAGCAAGGAGAGATTTCCTCATGAAACATAAACCTATCCCGCCAAACGATAACGCTCCTCCTCCGCCAGAAACAAAACCTATAAAGTTGCCACTTGCAAGCGGAGATATGATATTGATGCGAGGTAGGACGCAGGCAAATTGGCTTCATTCTATTCCCAAACGAACGGGGAAGAATGCCGATGATGGAGGAAGAATCAATATTACCTTTAGACGTGCTATGGTAAAGGGTGGAACGGAGAATTACTATAATTATAATGTTGGCACTGGACCTGTGTATAAATGGGATGACATCCTGAAGGAAATGAGAATATGGAAAGAATTATGATTGGATTGATTAGAAGTAAACTTCACCCACCATCCGGATTTATATATTCTCGCATTGTAATGGGATCTAATCTATCTTCCGAACCTCATCTGTGCGTTGCCATAGTTATATAACGCTTGCAAGAAAACTTGATATCCAACTCCGTGATTATCTTGCACGTGAAAAATTTCTGTGAGGCGTAATTGCCATGGTGGATATCCGGACAGTTCGACCGTTGGTCCAAATAATATCAAAAGATTTGGCTCTCCCATGATGCTTTCCGTAATTTCGGCATCAATGAGTTCTTGGCTGATATCATTCGACTCAATTTTGCCTCGTTGGGACATCTCTGTTAGCGTTTTGGTCAAGTCAACTAGTGAATCCCGGCCGTCTTCGTTTGAGAGAAGTAGCACCGAAATATGCTGTAAAGAGCCAGGAAGTGTATCAGTCGTCGACGTAGCTGATGAGGATTCCATGGATGGGACATGGGGAGCTCTCATAGACAAGGCTGGGTGATCTGGTCCAAAATATGAGGCCAGTTTTCTCACTACTGCTCGATGCGTCGCAGGTATATAACCTTTAAGAATTCCTGCATTCCATCATTAGCACGCCCCCAATTATACCTTCCCTTCCATACTAGAATCACATACCAGTCTTTTCGTATACCGACAACATTGGAATTCCTACACATGCACACCATGCTGTAATCTCTGCTACCTCATCGACTAGAGCTTCCAATCCTGCACCTCCTCTTGCACCGTCCTCCAGATTTAATATGACACTGACATGCTCGGGTAGTCTCTCTAACCCCTTTACATCCTTCTGTATCAACCCTGGCGTCCGATGATGGTAAAATAAAATCGCAAATATGCGATCCTTTACCGCATGATATGCTTGCCTCAATCTAATATATAATGAAAATACTGCATGCACAACAGCATATACTAATCCATGCAATTGGAAACGAAAGAAATTGCGAATGCCAAGATGAGAGCGGGATTTCGAAGCTGACGATTTAGACTTCGACTTCGATTTAGATCTACTTTGGCTTTTGATTGATGAAGTTCGCGAGGGTAGATCGGAAGGGAGCAGTGGCTAAAATGCAGTTACGGCGTCAATGAGTGGACGAGTCAATCGAATGGGTACCTGCAGGTACACAACGACAGGGCGAAATCAAAACTTACCTCGATAAGCTTTCGTCTTTCTTCTGCTGTCAATAGCGTGTGACCACCTTTTGCATCTTCGCGGTACGCTTCGAGGGCTTTCGATTTACTAGTCATGTTGATAGTGACACAAGAAGTGTAAAGAACCCAAAGATAATGGATAGAAAATTGGGGAGTGAAGTGTCCTAAAATATCTCTAGAACGTTTGAAAGGCTGGAATTCATTACGAGGCCACGATTTCTGAGGATCCACAGGTCTTCAAGGTTCAAGCGAGGCTGACCGTTCCGCGCCTCCGACCCATGCTATTGATACATTGTTCCCATAAGTCAAAACGCACTTCACATACAAGCTTCATGAAATTTAAGTATGGCATCTCTTAATAGTGGTTCAGTGAGATCACTATATCCAAAAGGGCCAAGCTTTAATTTGGAAAACTTCTCAAGTAAAGACTTCATAGTGAGAGATTTTGTGGAAGAACTGTCCGAAAGTGCGATTCCGATAAACAGGCGCTCTGGACCAGCTCAACCGGCATTTGATGCCAAACCATTCATAAGGACATTTGAAAGTATTTATACTCACTTACTCAGCTATCAATACTACCAATGCTGATGAGGATTCAGGTGCGCTGCAACAGCTTGCGACACTTTCAGATGAGCTAGAGGAGAAGGAGACAGACCTCCTGACATCTGTTCGGCGGGCCGAGATACAGCATGATCAAACATTAGACACTTTAGGGCGCAAGCTGGATGAATCAATTGATTCTTTTGAATCGCTCGATATAACACTAAATAATCCTAATGGCACGAATGGCGCAACCACAGATCGATATGGGCGACCGGAGGCAGGAGGAAACATTGCGGTTCAAATTGGAGAACGACTTGAGGACTTAGACAAGCAGAGACGGCGTGCGATAGATGCCAACTTCTTAATACAATGCTGGATAGAAGTTAGCGAGAATGGGTCGCTCATATCTTTGGAAGATATGATCAGACGGCAAGGTGGAGGGGAAAACAAGGTTAGATCTGCTGTTATCGCCAGGCAACTAATGCGCATGAGCCAGAGACTGGATCCGGCATCTTGGGCTAATGGTTCGAAAAAAGCCAATGGAATTACAAATGGCGTTGTTGGATACAAAGGCCATAACACTAGGGAAATTATAGAGAAATTCTCTGAAACTTTAGAAAAGGATCTTTTGAAACAGTTTGACAACAGTTATCGGCGCCAGAACTTTGATGATATGCTCGAGTGCGCCAAGGTCTTACACGATTTCAACGGTGGATCTAGTGTCATTGGTACATTTGTCAATCAGCATCAATTCTTCATCGACCGAAGTCAACTTATTGCAGAGGAGGTCACAACCGACAATGAGACGTGGGAGATGTTAGCCGATCCCGACTCTGAGCCCCCAGGAGTTGAACCTAGCTTACAATCTCTCATTGATGAGATCAGAGCTGTCATGCAAGAGGAATCTTTCATTATTAAGCGAGCGTTCCCATTCTATGAAGTCGTTCTCATCAAATTTATTCAGCGCATATTCCAGCAATCTATACAGCAGCGTCTAGAGATGGTGCTTGAAAAAGCCGACACTATTTCTTCTTTAGCCTTCCTTAGATCGTTGCATGCCTCAAGGACTTACATTAATAGCTTGATCGAAGACCTTAAAGCACACGGTCTTACAGAGCACCCCGAACCTTGCACAGCTCAAACTGCACAAAGTTTAGATCAGCAATTAGACGAACTATTCGTTCCATACCTGGTTGGAAATTCGTATATTGATCGAGAGAGGAAGAGTCTGGAGGAGCTCTTCTCTTCGTTGCTCTTTAAGTTTACCATCTACCACTCACGGCGAAAAAAGGTTCCAACAGGTTTCATGGCTTCTTTGGCCCAGCAGGGAAGTCAACTGTTATCTTCGGCAAAGGATGCATACATCGATCGTCTCGACTCGTCTGAACTCACCCCCACTCAAAAGGCTATGATGTTACGTGTTGCTGGCCTCCGAGACCTTGATAACAATAAGAATGAGATTGAAGTCACAGATGAAGACGGTGTGATTAGTGTCGCAAATGCCAAACGTATGCTTAAATGGCTTGCAGAGGGTGTGCGACGAGCGTTGGAGATGGGGAGTGGAAGCGACACACCTAAAGATGTCTCAGCCCTTCTGAACCTTCTGCTTAGCAGCATGGGTGAGGTGTATATCGAGACAGCACTTGAGGCCGCTGCCGAACGAGCCGCCGCTCAAGAGAACATCAAAACCGAGCCTGATTTGGCCTACCTTCCTTCAGTGCGACCGGCAGTCATCATTACAAATGTGATGTCGCGGTTCATTAACACAGTACTCATACGCCTTGCAGAAACAAATACGACTGTTCGACGTGGCATGGAATCACAGACCAAAGCTAGTGTGGAGAGAATCGAAAAAAAGGCTAACGACATCATGCGCAGTACCATTACTGTGGTACTGAACTGGATTACAAGGCTGTTGGCAGGCCAGAAAAAAACGGACTTTCGACCTAAGGATAGTGATCTTGGTTCAATTGAGACTTTACAAACTGCGACCTGTCTTGCCATCTGTAATTTTCTCCAGCGTGTGGCTAAGAATGCCGCACAAGCTGTTGATGGGCAGAATCTCGAGGTATTTAGTTGTGAGCTCGCGATCAGCATTCGAGACATGCTGTTTGAACACTTCAAAAAGTTCCAGGTGAATGCTACTGGTGGTTTGATGGTTACGAAAGACATGTCAAGTTATGTGTCCGCGCTGAAAGACTGGCCATTAACAAAGGATATCACGAGTGAAGTGGAAATCCTTAGCGACATTGGCAACTTGTTTATCGTTGGAGCAGAAGCTCTTAAAGAAAAGTCGAGAGCTGTGCTTGCAAGTGGGGCTAGCAAGAAGTTGCAGAAAGCAGACTTCAAAGCTTTTGTATTGAAGAGAGACGATTCGGGAAGCGTGGGAGTTCAAAGTGTGCTTGCAGGATTATGATACCAAAGCTCAAAACGGATGTCAATTGGAAAGCAGGCGTTCAGGTGTAAGCGGGAAAACAAAGGTGAATAAAAGGCATCTTATATGAGAGGGCCTTCTTCGTCGTTCACCATTATCTATGATGTTGTACAATATTACAAGACAAATACGTTTGCCGTATATGACCTGCTCAAATATAGAGTTGGGAGATTCTTCCTGATCCTATGAGATCCATAAAAGGATTCTTCTACGTGACCTTTCTCGGCCCATTATATCCATCAAATCCCGCCATATAACGCCCTTTCAATGCCCAAACTCCATTGTAATCCTTTAATATCGTACAGGCGGTCTTCGCTATTGACTCATGGCAAATTGAACCCAAACCCAGCCATACAACTCTTATACTTTTCCACCATACTTGCACAAGCTACTTGCGGATCCTTGGCCGTGCTAAATAGCATACATTCGTCTCGAGCAGCTTTCTCATCTTTACATACGCAGCACGGCTTTTCCAGAAACTCCTTAGCTAATGTTCTAAATTGCCAATCATGAAAAGAAAATGGGTCCGTACCTTGGGTTTTGCAGAAGCTTCTCCAGTTGGTTTGAGATCTACGCCCATATTTGCGCTGGTGGCCGATGTAGCTAGTTTCAAAATCAATATCTTGCTCACTCGAAATGGATGGGGCAAGGAACTTTGGAAGAGTAGAGAGAGACATACGCATGTTGATTGCAGATGTTGACATATTCATATGTCGAATATCGTCTTTCAGAAGGCTTTGTAAATAGTACATGTACACTTGATTGTAATTTTGCCTCTCAATTTGTTGTGTTCGTGGAGTATTTGTATGTGGAATTATATATTTGTATTTGTATTTGTAAGAAAGCTCCAAAATTCCATCCGTCACATAACATCACGACACTATTCCGGACCGAGCGGCCGTCTGCGGCCGATATGTCGGTAAAAAGTCTCCCCGGTCCGATGATCGACCAAATCGAGATTAGCCTGTCTTAACCCTGAGCATTTGAAGACCTGCAGCTGCAACCCCCACCACCTAAAAACATTGCCGCATCCATCAATTTCTACAATCTGCAACTAGATCTCTTACTTGCAAATTTTTGTTTTTTTCCTGTCTCTTTCGAAACTTGTTATACTTGCGCAACGTTAAGACTCAAGATGGCTACCGCAACAAAAATCTTCTCGTTAGAAGGAAAGGGATTGAAATTGGATTCCGCCGCCGATGTCGAGCCGCATATCAAAACTTTGAGGGAGATGAAAGATGTGGAGGAAGTGAGATTTTTGGGAAACACTTTAGGCGTTGAGGCTTGTAGGGTGGTTGGAGAGGTTTTGGAAGAGAAGACAAGTTTGAAAGTATGTCCAGTCTTCCTCCATCAATTTGTGTCTTATTTCCCTCGAGCGGGCATTTTAGATGCCTAGAACGATGGGCCAAATATAGTTGCTAACCTATACATTAAGATTGCAAACCTGGCGGATATATTTACTGGACGTTTGCTTAACGAAATTCCACAAGCTCTTTCATCTCTCCTTACTGCTCTGCTCAAGCTCCCAAATTTGCATACGGTCAATTTGAATGATAACGCTTTTGGACTCAATACTCAAGCTCCGCTCGTCGCATTTCTTTCTTCGCACACCCCACTTCAACATCTCATCCTCAATAATAACGGACTGGGACCTCATGCTGGTATTTTGATTGCAGATGCACTTAGCGCATTACACGCAAAGAAAGTCGAGGCACGTGCGGCAGGAAAACAAGTTCCGGATTTGGAAACTGTCATTTGCGGACGCAACAGATTGGAGAATGGCAGTATGACGGCTTGGGCAAAGGCATATAGCTTGCATACCGGTGTAAAGGAAGTCAAGATGGTACAGAATGGCATTCGACAGGAGGGAATTAGTCACTTGTTGAGTGAAGGTTTGAAATATGCTAAGGACATTGAGATTCTCGATCTACAAGACAATACTTTTACAATTACGGGTTCAAAGGCCTTGGCTAAAGTCGTGGGAGGATGGGCCAATATTCAGGAGCTAGGTGTTGGAGATTCCTTGTTGGGTGGGAAGGGAAGTGTTATTTTTGCAGAAGCTTTGAAGAAGGGCAAAAACACCAAGTTGGAGATTTTAAGATTGCAGTTCAATGATATTGGAGTAAAGGGCCTAACAGTCTTTACTGCCGCTGCGAAGGAGGCTCTACCAAAATTGAAGAAGATTGAGTTGAATGGAAACAAATTCGACGAGGATCATGATTGCATTGTGGAATTGAAGGAGTTGCTGGAGGAAAGAAAAGAGAAGTTAGCGGGTGAGATAATCATTGAGGATGATTGGGGCCTTGACGAATTGGAGGATTTGGAAGGAGAAAGTGATGAAGACAGTGATGAGGAAGAAGAGGAAGAGGAAGAACAAGAGGAGCAAAGAGAAAAATTGATCCACGACGCAGAGGAAGCTCAAGAAGGAGAACCTGTTGCACAAAGAGAGGACAAGGATGTCGATGACCTCGCAAAAGTTCTCGGCAAGAACCTCCAAGTCTGAAAATGGTATTACGATTATGAATGATGGATTTTGGATGATTTTGGCGGAAATGAATTTTCAGGGTTGGCATGGCCAAGGAATGGTTTGGTTGGATGGGTAGAACACGTTGAGGGAAAGGAAAGGGAGAATTCGGGCGGAGCTCTTTGTGCATACCCCACTCATGTCACTGAAGTAGAACCTTCGGTTTTCTGTCTCATGCACATATGCATAGCATGGTATAATTGCTTCTTTCTTGACGAAAGTTGGCGTTGCGAGCATTCCCGTAGATAGATACTATTAGACCGGTAAAGAAATGACACTTCTTTGCCATCCAAATAAACACTATTCGTTGTTGATTCAATTTTCATCCGAGTATTGTATGATAATAAGAAGCTTATACCCCAATTAACCTTCAGTACCTCAGAGCTCACCCAATAACATTTGGACCAAGATTATTGAGGCTCTTCCGCATCATCTCTATTCGCCTGTATGTATGTCATGTCTATCATCAAACTCCGAACTCGGTAACCAATCATGTTGAAAACATCCGATTCGTTACCGAATTGACTTTTTCAGCCCAGTCATCATTGTTAAGCCGCCATCTAGATCTCTTGATTATATATCAAAATTCCATAAAAACAACCAGGATCCGATTACTCACATTACCTGGAAGAAGAACAGGTCTAAAGTTCTATTTGATTTATAATACAGATTCCATATTTATGTGTTGAGTAAATAGGTAGGCAAAGCCAATAAACTCTAGGTTTAGGAGGTACCTCGGCCTTTACTCGCAAAGTGGGAGAGTTGACTATTTTTTTCCCTTTGTTGATATATGGATGACTCTTCGCTCTGAACTTGTCAGATTCTTCTTTTATTTTACTTTTTTACTTTGGATATCTCAATTGAAGAGATGGATCCTTCTGGTGCAGGAACATGTGCGCAAATTGCTAGGCAAGATGCTAATCGAAAGGTTGATGATGGAAATACGTTACCTAGTTCGTTTGAATCGGGTGGCGCGAAGACTTTTGATCCAGTGGACATAGAGATAGCGAAGCAAAACACCGGATGGAGGAAGATTGTCAGGAATTTCACTCCCTCGTATGTTATTTTCTTTTGTGCCATCAGTATCTCAGAGAAGACTCTTATTAGTCTTAAGATCTTTGCCACCTTCTTTTTTCTCCTTTTCACGTTCTAACATACCCCCTCTAGCTGGTTCTCCGTAACAATGGGCACGGGAATCGTATCTATTCTACTTCATAATCTTCCCTACAATGGCGCCTGGCTGAAATATATCTCTATCATCATATTTGTACTCAATATCGTGCTTTTTTCCACATTTCTTGGTATTTCGCTGGTGAGATATATTTTATATCCGCAAATATGGGGCGCAATGATACGGCATCCAGCGCAATCGCTATTCCTGGGAACTTTCCCAATGGGGCTGGCAACGATTATCAATATGATTGTTTTTGTTTGTGTACCAGCTTGGGGAGGATGGGTGGTTTATTTGGTGAGTTTTGTTTACCTTTTACAATATTGAAAATCTTGAGCGGCATGGATGAGGACTAATTTCTTATGTAGGCTTGGGCTTTGTGGTGGATAGATGCAATTATTTCTGTAGCGACTTGCTTCTATCTTCCTTTCGTAATGTATGTTTGCCCTTTCATTCAAATTCTCTTTCTCATTTAACTAATCTCTCTCATAGCATGTCTCTTCATAAAGTTGAACTTTCAACTATGACGGCGGCTTGGCTTCTCCCAATTGTTGCCCCTATCGTTGCAGCCGCTTCAGGGGGCATCGTCGCTTCCGTCCGTAAGTCTATTTTTGTTGTCTCAACTTCACATCCCTCCACATCTAGATATATCCATTTGGATTTTGCAATTTTCTCAATTTTCATTTGACTTCGAGTTGCAAAATTTCCTCCCAAAATTCCATCACCTAACAAAGTAGCAAACAAAAGCTTACATTTCTCAGTCCCCAATCCCCAACACGCCCTCTATACCGTCCTAATCTCCTACATCCTCTTCGGAACAGGTTTCCCCCTCGCAATGACAATCCTAGTGATCTACTTCCAACGTCTCACCGTCTACAAAATCCCTCCTCGAGAGGTAATCGTTTCCGTCTTCCTCCCCCTCGGTCCCCTAGGCCAAGGCGGTTTCGCACTCATGCAATTAGGAAAAGTTTCTTTAACCCTCTTCCCCCAAACTAACACTCTCCCCGCAATCCCAGCTCCTGGCCCTGGCCCCATTTTCTATACTCTCGGATTCCTCTTCGCGCTTATCATGTGGGGCTTCGGTCTCCTGTGGTTATTCTTTGCGTTGGCGAGTATTTCCCGATCGAGATTTCCGTTTAACATGGGATGGTGGGGGTTCACCTTCCCGTTGGGAGTTTTCACAACATCGACTGTGATGATAGGAGCAGAGCTCCCTTCGCGATTTTTTAGAGTGCTAGGAACGGTTTTTAGTGTCTTGGTCACGGCGCTGTGGGTAATGGTTGCGGTGGGAACGGTCAAGAAGGCGTTTTGGGGAGGGTTGATTTTCGCACCTTGTTTGAAGGATGTGGAGGGGGCGGAGAGGGAGGCGAGAATCCATTTTGAGGGGAGGGGGAAAGGGGGGAAGAAGGGAGATAAGGAAAGCGGGGACGAGAATGGGAATGGGGTCATACAAAGGAGAACGGGGATTCCAAGTCCTGTTTAGGGTTAGCGAGGATGTGCTTTCTCGTTCTGGCATGCTGATTTTTTCTTCAAGCTTTTTGTATTAGATGGATTGAGATGAAACCCACGCTTCTTGGGCCACTATTTCCTATTTTTCATGTTGTATAGATAGATGAATATAGTATTAGAGAATTCCATAATAAAGCATAATTATAAGATACCGATACCTACACAGTCTACCCATCTACAAACATCTGCAGCCTCTAAAAACGTGAAAATCAATATAAATAGCAAGTTAAATTCCGACTTCTGAATTCAATTCGAGGATGTAGAAGATTGAGATGCGCTCTTAATGTTTAAACCTTAAAGGGGTTTGATCTCAAAACTAGAGATGGACGTCAAGTTTCCTAGTATTTGTTATATTTGTACATGTATGACCAAGTCGTATTCATATTGTACACCTCAGCAAGTTTCAATACACAAATCTATTCATTCATTCATTTGATCATCTATCTTAGGCTCTAGAAAGTCAGAAGAAAGGTCAAAAAATAGAAGAGATAGAAGAGAAAGGAAAGAAAAAGACAAGAAATAAGACAAAACATATAATTTCCAATCAATCCCATCCCATCCCCAGTCCCCAATTTCAATCCCCAACAACATCCATCAACCTATCAAACTATCAATTATATATACAACATCTTACATTTTTCTACAACTATTAATAATCAAAGAGGTCCATACTACTACATCTCATCACCTCATCTCAAATACAACTTACAAGCATATATATCCCTAACCCATTCCTGATCTAGTTATCTCCAACATACTCAGAATATCTATTCATCCATTCATCTATCTCTCAACACTTACCCACCCAGTAACTCATTCATCTCTGACCGAGCAATCTAAACCTCAAATCTCTGCTTCATTCTCTCTATTCCCATTCCCATTCCCATTCCAACATGTTCCCATACATCCCTCCACCTTTCCATCACCCCCTCACTCCCAAACAAACAAACCACAACAGATTCCTGAAAATATCAAACATCAGAAATACCCAAAAGAATCCATCAAATATCTAAATTATGATTAGTTCTTTGCCACAAACATACAAAACATACAAATAGTACATAATAGTACAACAAATCGCAATACACTACACTCTACTACACTCTATTAACTTCCCCAAAAGCGACATACACACAAACACACAACAAATCTTCATATTCACATTCACATTGATATCCACATCCACATCCGCATTCCCATCACAAGACGAGGCACACATATCCAAGCACTATAATCACAATCACAATCACAATCATATCACAGTACCAAGAACTCTCCATTTTCCCAAACAAAATCCTCTCTAGCCGACCCAATGCTTCCAAATCCGTGAAGAAAGGAATGAATGAACTGAGTATACATATATATCCGACTTCCACCCACGCATCCCTATGCATATCATCTACATTCCTTTCCTGGATATTCTTCCTATCTGCTCCACCCCATCTCTATCCTACCCCGCAAAGCACGTGTGTATCGACTCAGTGGAAGGCTAATTATGTGTCCATTTCTGGTTGATTTGTTGATAGTGTAGTCAGAAGATATATTCAACTCGAGCAAGTCGTTGGATTTGAGATGTATTGATATGCTTCTGGAATTCTGTCGCTGGAACGCAGAATCATACGTCTCTGGGTATGGATGGCAGGAACTAGAATGCGAGCAGTTGTTTTGCTGCTTCCGAGACTCGTATACTCGTGGCCATGGCAGAGAAGATTGAAATGAGATGGGGAGTAGTTATTTGAGACTTGAAAAAAAAAACAAGAAGGGACGAAAAGGGGCTGGAGAATGAAGAGATGAGTGAGAAGTAAGAGAAAAAGACACGTGTAGAGGAACGATGAAGGGAGAAATGAAATGAACAGAAGTGAAGGATGGAATGAGCGTATACTTCGTTCAAACCACCATCGAAAGCGAACACTTCATTGCAACTGATTACCTAACCAACCCGTGAACTTTCTCAATATCATATCGTCGATGCAACTATCAGAACATCGCTTGGAGATTAATCTTCTACATTGGTATGACTGATAAACAACCTCGTGTATGTATTGCAGCCAGATTTCCGAGCCAAGTTCGACATTCGGAAATGATCAAAATTTCCCGTATCCAATAACACGTCCATCGGCAAAATTCAGCATGCAATTCGATAAATTCAAGGAATCCATTCTGCACATCGCTCGGGTGAACTTGCAAATGTGAAGAAGTCTGAAACAATTTTCGAACATCATCAAAGTCCTTGGGTGTACGTTACTTTCGGACACGTACCGAGGGATAATGGTTTACCCAATATCATTTGACGATTAGATATTGTCTCGCTTCGAGACTTGTCTAACATTGATAGGACCAACTGCTGTGATCTAGATTTAATGTCCGTGGCGTTGAAGAAATCACAAACACGTGTAATTTAACTTCTACTCCAATCGGAGCAATTTTGACAGCTTTATTAGCGCACAGTTGTACAAATCGATCTCCATAATGTACTAGGAGTAGTATCTTGAAGCTACTCTCAAGGTCAACTTCGATCGACAAAGGGGTGACGTTAGGATGATGCGGGTTACTAGTCTCGACCATCAAGGGACCAGGTTAAATCGGCATGAATACCAAGAGAACTCAAGATTGTTTGCAGCATTCGCG